TACATAAATTTCCTCATGCCCAACAGGCCCAGACTTTTGGAATGGCTTGACAACAGAGGAGAAGCGCCAGTATTACCGGTGTAAAAGTCAGTACGAGCCACTTGATGATGTTATCCTGTGGCCCCTCGACCAGAAGAGTAAGGAAGGCTTTTTCAACCTACCGTATTTTCCGGTGTATAAGCCCCGCTTTGAACACTCAAAATTCACCCCAGAAAAGGGGAGGGGAGGTGCAGCTTTTACTCCGACGATCAAATTAACGGTGATAAATAGGGTAGATGTCTGTATTTTGTGGGAAAAAATGGCGTGCGGCTTATACCCCGGAAAGTACGGTACTATTTACACTTAAAATTTGTTGATGCCATCTTGATTTGGTTCGTGCGTTCATAGTACTAGTAGTGATAGGTTCTTCTTGTCCGTGCTGGTGTTTGCAAGCGTTGCGTGGTCTCGTCTGGTCGCAAGAAGAAGAAAAGACGATCACTGCTACCTGGTACTGATTTATCTTCAGGCAAACCAGTCCTAAGGAATCGTCCTAGGATACGCAGAAATCGAGTGTTATGGACGGGTGACCTTTCAAGGCATGTTGAGTGTATGTATGATAAGACATTAGAGAGGTTCAGGGACTTGTTTGCTTCATGCGAAACGAGTCAATGGATCAGGTCTGGGTTGGAGTCTAGTGAAGATCTCGTAGATTGGATTCGTTTACATGAGTCCAGGCTGTTTGATTCGTTAGTAGTTCTGAGATCGCTCTGCACCGAATAAGAATACAATAATGGTGACAGAACAAGAGGGTACACTCTAGTACCTGTACAGTTGTACCTGTACCATAAAGTACCGTTGATCCGCCCCCCCCCCCCCCCTCTCTAATTCCCGCCCCCTGTCGATTTTCTACTTGTGAAGCGACTTCGGCGTATACAACGAAATACGATGTTGAACCGACGCATGCACTGCTGTACACAGTACGTGCCAATCCAGGATGAAAATGTGCACAATTCAGCACATCGAGTCTGATCCTCCACGTTGTTGTACATCGTACTGCACTTGACAGCCTTGATATAATTCCCGCCCCCTGCCAAAACCCCAGCTTGGAAGCGACATGGCAGGGGGGGGGGGGGGGGCTTGCGGATCAACGGTATTTTACGGTACTTCTGTTGCAGCCTATCAGGTGCTGTTTCAGTTGCCATCATGTCACCATTGCCATCATGTCACCATTGCAATCAAAGCACACCTTGTTCACAATTCACTTGACCTCTTTGACGCATTACGCAATTTGAACACGGAGGAGCGAAATTGATTTCGTTTCGTGAACGAGTTTGCAACGAGCCGCTGGACCTTTTTTCACATCATGCAAGCCGAACATGAAGCGAAATCGATTTCATTTCGTGTGCGAGTTTTGCAAGGAGTCACTCAAGCGCCTTATTGTCTAGTTAGGTACTGGGAAGACTGGTCTCTGAAGACAGCTAGTCTCTTATTGCAGCGGTGGCTTACCACAGGTTGTACTGTGCTAGTGTAGCTTATGCAATTCAACTGTGCTGGTTCACTCAGCAACACTATGACTTCAGGCCCGTGACATTGAAAGTGTTCCGTACATGTTACATTCCCACCAGATGGGTATCGACCGGAAATTCCGTTTGTGTATGCATTGTGTGCGTTTTCGTTGTCATGGTTGTCCGCAGTAAAGCGACTTAAGGTGAAGGACCCGGCTCTGCTGGAGAAGGTCAAGCCCGTCAATGATATTTTCAACCGGAAGGTGTCTCTGTGGCAAGGAGACATTACACGTCTTGAGATCGACTGTATCGTGAACGCCGCCAACAGCAGCCTGCTGGGTGGAGGAGGAGGTAAGGGCAGGATAGAACTGTCTGCATGTGGCATGTACATATTTGATTGTGTAGTGTGCCCTTTCGTATCAAGCATTTCTTCCAATGGTGCGTATGTTGTGATAAACGTATTGGTTTATTCTAAATAAATACTAGTAGACTCCATCGAGGAACGAGTGGGAAAGAACCGCAAAACAAAGAACAGCACAACGAAATCAGCATGCTCAATATGTAGTCATGCGTGCATGCCAAATACCAGTGCATGACGTAAGCTGCGTACAATAAGACAGATGCACGCGGGTGGGTGCATATAGGATAGCGTACATAATAATACAACACGCCCTTTTGAGGTCATAAATTACATAATGGGCGAACAAGCCAGACTATGATCTAAACATAATAATAATGAAGATACCAAAAAAAACATTAACAAGAGGCAAGGCAAAGAGAACAGTCACAGTGTAGCACAGACTACAGAAGAAGAAAAACTAATCAAACATTTGACTGTCCTTGGTGTGCAGAAATGTTCGAACGGTCAGGTTGACGGCGGTTACGGGTGCTGCGACGGGGTGCAACAACAGGATCAGCAGGTGCGGGAACAGCAGGTTCAGACGCACTATCAGTAGAAACGCGATCAGGCAGCAATGGGACATAAGGCCGTAGGAAGCGACGATTTCGCCAAAACACACGACCACTACGTAGCTTGACGTAATAGTCTCGATGGGTACCAATGGCGACAACGATGCCTCAAGCTGTCCACCGTTTGGTGCGCGGATCTTGCAGATCTACGTGCATGCCAATAGTGAGCTTAGATAACGTGCGCGGCTGAGACGAATCTGGATCCGGGACAGGTGGAGAATCAGAACTCTCTATACTGGTAGCACGCTGTTTCCACTCCGGGGCAAACGACGAGTGATGCGCCAGCACAAATGACGAGAGCGAACGACCGAATAGCAGCTGGGCAGGACTGGGTCCAGACGGATGTGGGGTATTACGCCGTTCCAACAGACCACGCTGGAAGGCATCGGCGTCCAGGTCGCCATTACTAGTGGTTTTCGCAATCAGATACTTCATGGACTTCACCGCGGACTCGGCATGGCCATTCGATTGCGGAAAGTGCGGGGTTGAGGTGACGTGCGTCATCTGCCAACGGTCGCAGAACTCAGTGAAGCGTCGCAACGCATACTGGGGACCATCGTCGGTTGAGATTTCACTGGGAAGCGACGAAGTTGACGTACCACGTCAGCAGATGTGGCTGTGCGGCCTATCTTTGCGACACACGGCCAACCGGTGAGTCGATCGACCAACACAAGGTACTCCCAACCCTGGCAATGGAAGAGGTCAGAGCTGACACTCTCGAACGGCATTGACGGTCGACGGTCACTCTGCAGCGGTTCGCTCGGCAAAGATGGCTGGAATTCACAACAGGGCTGACATGCGCGGACAAGGCGGTCAAGCTCAGAGTTCAATCCAGGCCAGTACACCAGTTGACGCGCACGACGCTTGGTGCAGTCAATTCCTTGGTGTGCAGCGTGTAGATCTTGCAGCACTGGTGCACGTAGAGCAGCAGGTACTACGATGCGATTGCCCTTCAGTACGACGGCGGAGTCGACAGATAGGTGTTCGCGTCCATTCCAATAGGGCTGCAGATGCCGTGGAAGGTCGGAACAGGAGCGTGAGAAGCCGGTGAGGACCATCTGTAGGAGATCTTGATACTCAGAGTCCGAGGCACACGCATCTTGGAGCTTGGCATAGCGTAATGCTGACATCGAACCAGAGTCATCAGCACGGAGGCACGCACGAATAGCGGGGCCAGATGGCAGGTCGTCTTCTCCAAGCAGGTCAGATGCGTGTGGGTCGGAGACGGGTGCTCGAGACAGAGCGTCGGCGGCATAATGCAGTTTTCCTTGTCTCCAGGAAGCATGAAATTGGTACGGCCGAAGCTTCAGCAGGAGACGCTGCAAACGAGGATTCTCGACCTGATCCAGGCCATACGTGTTGAAGATTGGAATCAGGGGCTGGTGGTCTACGATGAGGTCGAATCTGCTGCCGGCAAGGTACAGGTGGCACTTGCGTACAGCCCAGACAACAGCAAGACATTCAAGCTCAATCATAGCGTAGCGGCTTTCAGTGTCGGTGATAAAGCGGCTACCACACTGGACGAGGCGCCAGCCAGACGGGTGCAGTTGGAACAGTGCATAGCCGAGACCATTCGTGCGGGATGCATCTGTTTCCAGACGTGTTTCCAGACCGGGTTGGTAATACGCCAGAATAGGGGGTTCGACCAGAGCATTCTTCACACGGTTGAACGCATCGGTGTGTGGCGTTTGGGACGGCAAATTGGTCGGGCTGTTCCAGCGATGAATCCAATGATGGTAGATAGGGCTGCTTTTTGATGAACGGCTGCAGCAGCTTCGTGAAGCTTAGCTTCTGTTAGCCAGCGACCCTGTTGGGTGTGCTCACGTACATCACGCAAGTCCTGGAGAAGTCTGGACCATCTATCCACGATAGTCTGGACCATCTATCCACGATAAATGACATCATGGTGTTCACAATGATGCTGATGTCAGCCTCACCGCCAACAAATTCCAGCTCCACTTCCAAACGCCGGCTATGTGTGGCAAGATAACGTAGAAGAATTCAGAGGCCTTCCATTCCGTTCCATGTCGTCCTGTTACGGGCTCTGAATTCCGCTGGGATACCGAGCGCCAAACACAAATCTGCCAAGTCGTTTTTCATGAATCGAAACTTCTCGTGAAAATTCAAACTCAGGCAGAGCATCCAGAGAGAACTTCATCAAATGGCGTTGCTCAGCAGCGTCAGCCAAATCCTGCTCCCTCTCCAATAACTTGAGAAGTAGAACATCCTCTACATCTTCATCGTCAGGATCATTGAAGAAAAGCAATTTCATGTCACGAAGATCATAATCCATCTTCACTTCCAATCGAGGCAAGACAAGCTAGCTGAAGATTGATGGAAGTAAAAAAAGTGGAAGTATATAAAAAATATATTATATAACCGTACAAGTACTCGATACCGTGGCAACAACGTTTTTTGGTCTGCGTGACTTTGCTAACGACGAGTACTGGACTCACGGTAAAATATACGCAAGTTTATAATTAAAATTTCACGGTTCGCGTGAGACTCGGTTTCTCTATATAGAGAAGGGTGGTGGCGTTCCTACGGATGCGGAAAACTCGGCCTTTATGCAAGTTTATAGCGTTAGCGTAAAACGTTGAATGCTATGGGTGTCTAATAAGACAGATGTACGCGGGTGGGTGCATATAGGATAGCGTACATAATAATACAACATATGTGACGCCCCACATTCTCAATTGCTGTCTGCCAGGGATTAGTAAGATCATTTGTTGTAATTTGTGTGTGTGTGTGCACATGGTGTGTGTGTGTGTGTGTGTGTGTGTGTGTGTGTGTGTGTGTGTGTGTGTGTGTGTGTGTGTGTGTGTGTGTGTGTGTGTGTGTGTGTGTGTGCGTGCACATTGTCGTGTGTGTGTGTCTGTGTGGGTGCACACGGTCGTGTGTGTTTGCAGTGGATGGAGCCATTCACAAGGCTGCGGGCAAGTCGCTGTTCAACGAATGCGAGACACTGAATGGCTGCTCAACGGGTGATGTGAAGGTCTCTTCAGGTACGGTGGCCTCTCACTGATGTCTCTTGAAAGCCTGTATACTGTACTTGCATATGTCCTGCATGTCGAGCATCATCGTGGTAATAAAACGGCGAAGATTGGTCATTGGTTTTGTTAAGAGTTTTAGATGTGCAGACGACAATTCAAAAAAGATTTGTTCTGTAAATTCACACTTTTAATAGGCTGGTTGTTAGGTCGTCAACACCTCGTAAGTTTTGTCACTGGGTTGTCTATTGTTGTCGCATTGCATCATTCCACTCTTGTTTGGTTTCTTCACACTTTCATCACCTTGTCATTCCGTTGCTGCGAAGTATGTGTATGAGGTGATGCATTTTTACTGTGTTGTTTCTGGCCACTCTTCTTTGCGCTGTTGCTATCACATCACTACTTTTAAGTATAAAATACATTGGGCTTGGTCAGCTTCCTTTTACCTGTATTCTACCTGATGAGAAGGCAATGAGAGTACTCGTGGGAGAGCTTTGAGGATGTTGATTGTGAGGAGTCTGAATCCTATTTTTTTCTTGAGAGTTCTTGCATTTTTTGTTTCCGAGAGGACCGTTCTGTAGAGACTTTGACAAGTTTTGTCTATTTCGTTTTGTTGATCTGCTGACAGGTCATCGTCTTCCTGCAAAAAGTAAGAAATCTAACTGTGCTTGGTTTGTTTGCTAACTTTTAAATAGTGTAACTTAGCTCTGCACAGCCACTAGTGTGGGTGGTAGGGTTTACCTGATCAACTTTAAAATAGTGTAACTTAGCTGAGTACTAGTGTGGGTGGTAGTGTGGGTGGTAGTGTGGGTGGTAGTGTGGGTGGTAGGGTTACCTGATTACAACGTTGTGGTGCTACATGCGTGCCACGATAGCACTGCAAAACTCCTACTCCGCAAAACTATGCACCTGTGCAGTTTCATGTATCATGACCGACCCAGGGGTCACCCTGTGTTGCAAGTACCGAGGGCAGTTGGGCTGAGCTAGCGTGGAACCAGAGGCATTCGGTGCTCCCCATTTTCGTCTTGAACTTGAAAGTACAAAATTGCAATTGCATGTTCCCGTACCTCAGTACCTGTAGCTGTTTTGCTCAGCGGGGATAATCAATCAACTCTCTTGCGTTAGCTGGTGTCACTAGCGGGTCATGGCACACTCAATCTTGCTGAGTTCTCTCCCCTTGGACGTTCTTAATGTACTATGGCTGCTATGCACTTTCTAGTTACTTTGATTAATAGCAGCCGTATGTGTCCGTGTGTGCCCGTGTGTGTGTGCCTGTGTGTGCGCTTGTGTGTGTGTGTGTGTGTGTGTGTATGTGTGCTTGGGTGTATGAACGTATGCTTGGGCGTGGACACGTTTGCGTTTTCTACAGGGATTCTTCATACTGTTGGCCCGATGGGAAGGAATCCGGTAAAGCTGGCCAGCTGCTACGAGCGATCCTTGGAGGAGCTACTCAAGCTGGAAATGCGTACCATTGTATGTTCATGTCGGTAGTGTGTGGTTGATTTGACATCCGACCCAAACTCTGGAATGCACGCTTGTGTAGAGGTTCTTGGATTGCGTCACAAGCGAGGTTCTGCTCGGCGTGAAGCGTAGAGAGTCAGTCTGATTCACATAGAGAACAGGTATCTGGGTTAGAGTCTACGGCTTCGCTTGTTTCGGGGTCCAGATATCTACGCGTAGATGAGGTTCTCTACGTTGTAGCACACGCGCGCGCGCGCGCGCGCGAAGAAAATGCGTACGGATGTTTTGCGAGGATGAATGTTCAGGGTTCACTACGGGTCGTGTATATACACTGAGTGTTGATGTTTGGTTTCAATCGTGTTAATATTCGCTTTACACCATGCTTGTGAGTGAAAGCACAAACCTTACGTGCTTGCAGTACATGTATATCCCGGTGCTACTTCTACTCAGGGCAATGCATGCAGTGCACATGTCAGTGGGATGATGTCACAGTAATCTTGAGGAGTGTGCCTTTGTTCTGGTTTTCTCTCACCTGCCCAGGCGTTCCCATGTATCTCTACTGGGGTCTATGGTATGTGGAGAGAGAGAAAGAGAGAGAGAGAGAGAGAGAGAGAGAGAGAGAGAGAGAAGCAGCAGCAGCTACTGCACACATAACATCGTTTCTTCCCTGGCTGCTGCCATGTGTGTTACTGCTGCTGCAGTCGTCGCTCACCAATGTCACAATGTCACCGGTGCTAAGTTTTGGGCAGCGTTGCACGCTAATTCCATGTGCCAGTGACCACCCACTCTCATGTACATGCTTCTTTCCGTTGTCGTGCCAACTGGCACTGTACCAGGCTATGCACATTGGTGTTCGGTCTACTGATGTGTATAGTGTACTTGGGGATATTGTGAGGGTTGAGATTGTGGACCTGTTGGTAACCATGGTGCTCTTGTGTGTGCTATGCCGTGCGTGTGTGCGTGCTATTCTGTGCATGTCTGTGCTATGTTTTGTGCACATGTCATATCCTGTACTTGCCACCACATGCAGGGTATCCAAGTGAAGCAGCAGCGCATGTTGCACTGGGCACAGTGCGCCAGTTTCTGGAAACCGCCGACAATGCCAGCAAGGTATGTAATTCAAATTGTGTGTGCATGTGTGTGTGTGTGTGTGTGTGTGTGTGTGTGTGTGTGTGTGTGTGTGTGTGTGTGTGTGCGTGTGTGTGCGCGTGTGCGTGTACAATGCATGTGTGGATGTGTGTGCGTGCCTAGGTGCACATGCTTGTGTACGTGTGCATGTGTGGGCACTTGTATTCTTTTTTAAACATTCCTATGCAGGGGCGTCGGACAAGGTACGGTCACTACGGTATTGACCGTACCACTATTTGCCCCAAGTACCCTGTGAATCAATAAAATGCACTAATTTGGGCTCGAGTTTCCCAAAAATTTCGGCTCAGCCATCTCTCCCACACGAGTGAATTGTACTTCAGATGGCTGACTGTACCACACTAAATTACCTTCCGACGCCCCTGCTCTGTCGTGTGCTGCCTGTCTTCACACATCGCTGTTGTTCTTGTTCTTTTTGTGGTTGTTGATGTGTCTGTAACTTCTTGTTCTCATTTATGCTCTTGCTTCAGGTTGATCGAATCATCTTCTGTGTATTCCTGACCTCTGATCATCGCTTGTACCATGAATTGCTGCCCGTCTACTTCCCCTGTGATCCTACGCCTGCTGCAGAATCTGATGAAGGAACTGCCGCGAAACGCCTCAAGACCCCTCCAGGTAACAAGCAAGTACAGTACACGTATAGTGATGTCATTTTTCATATGCTTCTCACCGTTCTGCACTTTTAAAATGGTGCACTTTATTTTTTCCGTTGTTCTGCCTTCCTTTAATGGTTTGGAGTGAAACAGACGAGATTTAATATGACTGTAAGGATGTTGACTGATTTAGCTGGGCAGCTATTTGTTTATTTAGTGAGGTGAATGGCCAGGCATAGGCAGTGCATGGAAGTGGCAGTTCGTTTGACTTCCATGGTGTGCTTGGTGTTTGTGCTCCCTTCTGATGGGCATTGACGTCTGACTGTACCTTTGGCCCAACCCCACTGGTGAAGTCAAATTGTGTTGTGCGCATGCGTGTGTGTGTGTACGTGTGTGTGTGTGTGTGTGTGTGTGTGTGTGTGTGTGTGTGTGTGTGTGTGTGCGTGTGTGTGCGTGTGTGTGTGTGTGTGTTTGTGTGGCCATATCTAGCTGCCGAGGAAGAGACTGAAGAAGAGGAGTCTACAACGGCGTTTGAGTTGGACAGTGTTGACCACCTAGATTCACTGGAATCAAGTCCATCTCACGATGAGTCAGGTAGGCAAGCATTGGGTTCAGAAAACACAACAGCTACTTCTGCTGCTGCTGCTGCCGACGCTACTGTGGACCTTGGCCGCCAGAGCTCTGGTACGGACACTCTGACTGCAAAGATCGATACTGTGCTAGGCGAACACTCTTCGAGCACTGTATCCACGCCAGAACCAAGTAACTCGGGGGACGATAGTGAGGAAAGTCCCACCGCCACCGGCAGTGTTGTGCCAACGCTGAAGAAAGCGTTTACTGAACCTGCACGCCGCGCTGGTTCGTAGTGTACCTGTGCAACATGCTTTGTCATACTGGAGGCAGCTTGGTCGGGCTGGAGGCAGCTTGGTCGGGCTGGAAGCAGCTTGGTCGGGCTGGAGGCAGCTTGGTCGGGCTGGAAGCAGCTTGGTCGGGCTGGAGGCAGCTTGGTCGGGCTGGAAGCAGCTTGGTCAGGCTGGAGGCAGCTTGGTCGGGCTGGAAGCAGCTCGATTGTACTGGAGGCAGCTTTGTCGGGCTGGAGGTGATAGTGGCATGAATGCAATCACTGCTCACTCCATTACTTGGATGCGAGGAATTTGGTGACATAAATGCCTGTCCATTTTTTCTGATGCGCAATCGGCATGATGTACGTGAACATGCGCCAACACGCATGTAATACTCAACAGAGATGCTTTGACTTTGGGCTGGAGAGCTGCGTTTATTACCAGCCGAAAACTAGAGCGCAGTCTCGTTTCTTTTTTCAAGGACCACCCTGATCTTCTAGTATTATGAAAGAAAATCGTAAAACATATTTCTCGGAATTGTTGCATTCTATTGATCATAGCATTTTGTCTTGCCCTTAAAAATGTAGCTATGAAACACATCGATTTTAGTTTTAGATAAGACCATGATTGTACTTGAGAAACATTTGAGATCATCTGATCAGAACTTCAACGTGTACGTATAATCAAGAGTACATAACCCCCCAGAGTGTGCAACTCCCACATACCCTGTTGTCCCGACAGAATTTCAAGTTGACGTCATTATTTATGACGCAATGCTCCTTGCAGCAGTGATTTACAACATGTGTACGGGTGTCAACGCATCACACGTTTTTCTTTGCAATAATTTGTACAGGATCGATCGGCTTCGGTCAACCACAGGTTCCGGATTCGTCTGATAATCCGTGTACAGTGCGCATTGCATCATCAAAATGACGTCAACTTGAAATTCTGTCGGGACAGCACCCATAGTGGAGTTGCACACTCTGGGGGGTTATGTACTCTTGGTATAATGTATACTGTATAGCAGGAAATTTTCGGACGGAAATATTTTCGGACAAAGCCGAATTTAAAACTTTCGTAAGGATTATATTTTCGTACAGTGCTGCATGCTAAATACACGGGTTTGCATGCAGTACGCATGTATAGTGCACATAATTTCACATGAACAAATTTTAGTACGGAATTAATTTTAGTATAAAAGAGGCCGTGTACGAAATCGTACGAAAATTTCCTGCTATACAGTATTGATGTCCTGGGGGGGGGGGGGGTTGTTTGGGTGGTGCCTGTTTACGCTCGGGCTTTTTTCACGTTGTCCGGCGGGAGTGCCATCATTGTTTTCCCCGAGTGCTCTTGCATTGTTTCGCGGAACACAGTGCTCTTGCATTGTTTCGCGGAACACGGTGCTCTTGATCGTGTGCTAGTGGCTATGATGGTACGTGGTAGCTCTGCATCTGCGGTCTTTTAGCCGTGGCCGAGCACACTGACCACCATCATCCATGATTGTGTCTCACTTTTGCTGCCTGCTCTTTGTCTTGTGTTTGCTGACAACATGAAAATGACCATAGACCCATAGTCCTGGTTGGCAATGCCTGTATGGGTGACCGTGTCAAAGCAACTCTTCCTGTTTATTTTGGAATCTTTTTTAGTTCATGATAGCGTGTGCTTGTGCAATCTTGTTTGGTCTTGTGTTGGTGTTGCGGATAAATAAGCTGAGGACGAGATATACTCACGAAGGCAAGGGTGGGCTGTCTGTTTCCCAATAATTAGTCAGGTTGTGTTTAAACGCAGTGCGGCCTGGCATGAGGGCTACGTAGATGTGGCCAAAGTACCATTGTATACCGTATTATCTCTAATGTAAGCACGGTCCTTTATTTTTTCAATGTACCTCCGCCCCGTGCTATTACTGGAGCCGTTCCTTTATTGGAGACTGTTCCATTATTATTTCAACCTCATTTCAGAGGCACGTTGCCATGCCAAATTCATGTCAGACACACACACATTTCAGGGGGTTTTCGCCGGTACAGATAATGAATTTACACAGTGTGCTTATAATGAAGACTGAGCACTTTATTTTTTGAATGCCGCCCCTATTATTGGAGACGTGCTATTATTGGAGACTGTGCTTATATTAGAGATAATACGGTATGTAATTGAAGCCCAGCATCAGATACACAGGGTGGTGGTGGTGGTGGTGGTGACCCGGCTACGGGCATCACGATTGTCATTTCCATGCTCAGCTCCGCCATGTTCACAAAACTTTTACTTGTGCAGGCTGTCTATCAAAAAGTTAGAATGTTGACGAGGTCGTATTTCACGCAGTGATATGCGTCGTATGCAACTCCTGCACATGCCCCATGATCCAGCACAAGCCACAGATCCGCATTGTCTCCCAACAAGCCATGGCACTGACTACGGGTATACAATGTATATTGGACATAATCATGTTGTGCTGTTGACTGATTTTACGTGTTAGTGGCATGCAAGGAGTCGTACAATAATACAATTTCCTGCTGGCACACGCCGCAGTTCTGGTTGCTCTGGTTGTATCCGGATGAGCATTACACATAGCCTCATTTTCATACTCATTATTCACTATTCATTATTTAATTTAGGCTCAATCAGTGCAATGTAATGTCAAGTACCATGATGTACACGTGACAGCCATGCTGTGCGTACAGATATCATCAAGAGTACAGGGTAATTATGTACTCTTGATATCATACATGGCGACTGACAGTTCGTGGATTCTACATGTTCATGTACTCTTGGTGTTGTCACGGAAAGACTGTTCAGTATTGTCTGCATTTCGATCATAAAGATTCATCAGTGTCGAGAAAGCGCCTTACTTGCGGAGGACGTGTTGTTACGTGTTGTTGTTGTATTCAATGCCAAAATCAATGCCAATGATGGCACCACTACAGTCGAGTCAACCGTTTTCGACGTTTTCTCTTCTCTCGTACACAACACTATGCGTTTGTGACGCTCAGTCACGAGTTTTAGAATGCAGATGAGGTGAGTCCGTGTATGACGACCAGGTCGAGATGATGTCTTTTGATGGTGACCACGAAGCTCGTATATTTGCTGTGATCCTCTTTTACCTGATCTGACCAGCCGTGGCGCTATTTTTAGCCTGTTCCGTTAGTAATGTTATCGTTTGGGTGCTTACGTTACATGCATCATGCATACATGTAGCATAGCATAGCATCCGATCGATGATGGCTGGTTTGAAGCGAAAGCACATTCATCGCCATTCATAGCACCGCGCTAGCTCCGGACGACGCACTGGAAGTCTGCAATGGCGGTGAGTCAGATTGTCACGCCGACACGCGTTTCTAACTCGATCAAATGCAAACACCAGCTGCGTATCCCCTCACTACCAGCTCACTGAGCGCTCAGGCTCAGTCAGTCAGTGCCTGCAACACAGACCAGTGTTGACTAGTTCAAGTAGTTGTAAGCGCTTCGTTCAGTACAAAACAGGACAGGTAGTAAATCTACCTACCGTGCATAATGCCTTGATCAGTTGATGCCTGACATGATGCCGTGATGATACACTGCCACTGGCATGGCTGCGGAGTGTGGCTAGGCTACAGTAGTCAGTACAGACTCAGTACAGGTCGCGACGACAAACTCATGAAGCGGAAGAGCTTTCACACAACGTTACGTGCACACAAATCACAATGACGACGGGACTAATCATGATTGTTACTCAGACTTTCAGCTCATTTACCCAGCATTGGCCAGCAGTGGCAATATGTACTGGCATTACACATTATTAGCGACTGCTCTCAGACTGTTCGTACTGTACTTGTCAACTGGTGACAGCTGTACTTGTAGTGTAAAACTAAAAAAGTAAAAAAGCTCAAGACAAAGAGTGCGAACCAAGTCAAGTCATGTTGCACTTGCTTGCACTTGCATTCGACCGAGCCATGTCCAGCAGGGTGAAAGTATGCAGCGGGACTTTCCGAGAGGCTGGGTACTTCCCCATTCTTTCTCCGTGCTGAGGCAGCCGCCATGCATGAACGTACTACGACTACGAGCGGACGGGACTGGACAGCGCCGACCTAGTACCTGTGCTTGGCTCCAGTACTTTTGTGATTTTCGGGTTCGCGGCTTTGTGGTCTTCTGGCAAGTTCTGCAGCCGCCAGTGAAGCTAGCCTCCACATGTTGGTTTAGCGGCGGGCCTATCACTAGTACAAATGGGTCGAAGGATCCAGGGAGCGCCGCCACCTACTCGTAATAAGTATTAGTATGTCAAACGCTGCTACATTGTACTTTTGTAGCAGCTATATAAAAAGCCTTTCGAATCGTCGAGTCCAACAAAACGAACAATGTCAAGCTCCGAAAGACGTCCACTTCAAACACCTTTCAGCCCAAGGAATATAATCGCCAAAAGGGTGAACAACAAACTCGCAGCTAGTCGCTGCATTAGCAGTCAAAGAAAATTCAGCAAGCTGCGCAGCAGGTCCTGTCGCATCGTCGGCATGGAGTCTCATTCGCCTTCCTACAATGTCAATACTGTGGATAGCACAGCGGCCACGTCTACTGACGATGTGCACTCTGTGTCACATGATGGTGAAGCCAACAACAACTCCTACTTCGACTCTCATTGGCTGGCGAGTAGTTCTACAACAGAGGTGAGAAGTAGCTCGGATCAATACCAGGACGACATTGACAACGCCTTGTTATGTCTATCGGCTGAGGAGCGGCAATGCACGGAGCGTGTTGCACAGTTTCTCATCACAGCGACTGAGAAGTGGGAGCAAGGGGCGCAGGGCACGCAGGACACACCGCAGCGGCAGAGGCAAGAACCACGCTCGACTCCTACACCAAGTTCGTCCTGGTATGGAGCTGGCTTAGCCTTCGGACAGGGATTCCGCTACGCCATACTGAAGTCATGTGTGTATCTCTGCCGCACGTGGGAGTATGTAGAGTGTGCGCTTAGACACAATGTGGACCTGAGAGGCCAATGATAACTTTATGTTGATACGTTGTAGACGACCATACCCTGAACCCTGAATCCTCATCTTTACTGGCCTGGCTCCTCTTGATTCCATTGATTAGTAGCCACGGCCAGGACTGCTTATGTACCTTATTCTGATCATGGCCACTACAGGCAAACATGCACACACAAAGCAATGGCTGCCTGATGCTGTTGAAACTTGAAAGATTATATATTTTGAGATTTTAGTTCTCATCGTCAACAACATTTATTATTATTATTATGCAGTATCTACCAAAAGCTTGAAAGGCTGTACCAATTTTTTTAAAGAATTTGAAGTATTCTGCTATATCTACCTTTCTATGACGAGTCCACAAAGGACGAAGCAATTCTAGGGCTGCAGATTTAATACATTTCTATGAATGTATGCCTAGTTTGTCCGGCTATGTGATAAGTTCATCATAATTGTGCCTTTGAAGTACTTCTTGACAAACGAGAATGTGAGTGAATGAAATGGCCACGTGCAACATGGAGTGCATGTTCAGTCTCCGCCGATACAAGTCTTCACAGTTTGTGCATAACCATGATAACCAGCAGGTCGGGCTGGACTCGCTGTGAGTGGGAGTGCTGGCCGGTGGTGGATAGCATGTGTGTGGGACGGTGGCTACTAGTTTGCTGCACGGAGGTGGAGCCAGTACAGCATGTGGATGATAATGTCAGTCACTGGCCGTGCCGAGAGTCAATTACACATCATGACATGTAGTCATGATGAATGCTACCATCCACTACTAGAGGTTATCATGCAGGAAAATACATTGCTGTACTGTGCACGCTTGCTTTGCATGGGGGAGTGGCAAACTGTTGCTTGCGATCCGGCGCCCCACTCCATACAAACACATCACGTGACAATGACGTAATTAATGACGTAATTGCATAGCCTCTGCATGCAATAGGCTGACAGACATAGCCGGTATCTTGGCCTGATTCACGGCTGGTGAGAAATACAAGCGAGCATCGGCCTAGCACGGCACGATGTGATACACCTGCTTATAGCGAGTTTCTCTTCGGTAGCGTGTAATCGTTCTGCAGGTAAGGGCGGAATACAACGAAAAGAGAGCAAGTCCAGGCGTAAAGAATAAATACCCCAACACTTTATTACAGTCCTGTCTGACTACTCCCTGGTGTCCCCATGTCTGAAAACAGTCTGAAGCACCTTGTACTTCCAGCTAGGGAAATCCCCCAGTGAAGCACATGGGAGATCCCCTTCCACTGTACACCTCCATCCCCTCACACTAAGTCATTGCCCAATGTATGCTGAGAACAACAGATCATAGTGTACAATGCACTTAGTAGGTCGCTTTAAAAAGAGCCTTACAAGAAACCACACAGTCATGTGATCACGTCTTCATGCTAGGAGTAGGCTGAGTATTGTTTGCACACGGTTCACTAGTCACCACTAGTCACCACTAGTCACCACTAGGGCTCACAAAGGCAAGTGCATCACCTCAGTGTCTCTGTACTCTTGGTCCATTTGAGACAGTACAGTGATCCCGGTACGAATGAACAAAAAGTGATTTGGGGATTCTGCATGATAATATCATGTTGCATGCACGTATTGGCAGTGGCGGGAACTGTGCGGAGCATCAGCACAGACAGTATGCTTCTAAGCATGCATAGTGCTGAGTGCCGGCTACGTTTCACTTTGGTCAAACCACCGCGGATGCAATCCATGCGGAAATCTATAGACATGATATGCATAAGAGGCTGCTATACCAAAGGTCAGACAGTATGCTGCGACAGCCAAGTCAAATTCCTGGGAATTTCCCCAAAACAATCAAGCCGGGCAATCATTGTCCAATGCATGTCAGTTGTGTAAGCCAGCGCGCATGCACGTCCAGAATGCATGCTTTGGGCTTGACTAGCGGTGACATGTTGTCACAAATATGTCAAGTACACTCACTAGCTTACTTGACATTATGGCCTCCATATAATGTTATCAACTGTCGCCACCATGAGTTTGACTCGAGGCGCACCACAACACACCACATACACACTAGTATCCGTACGCTGCCGCCAGTATAATAGCCATGCCTTTTTCCGTTATGGGATCACAAATCTGTCCCCCAATGCTCAGCGACCAGTGGCAGTGTGGCAGGTTCGACTACATGTACACACACAGGAGCAAGTTCTGTACCTGTTCCTTAGTTTCTACTCTGCACGACGGCTAGCTTAGCACACTCTGGTCTGAACGTGGCCAGTGACATGTGCTACAATGGACATTGTGTTGTAGACTTTTGTTACCTGACACAGGTCTGCTTTGAGTCATGCAGTGTGTGACTCGATTGCTAGTCTAAAGTGACCAGCTAGCCTCCATTGCAGCACTTTCCTGCTGCTTTGAGTCATGCAGTGTGTGCCTAGATTGCCAGTATAAAGTGACCAGTTAACGTTAGCCTCCATCACAGCACTTTCCTGTCCCTCAGCTCTGCTGCATCACCCTGACTCTTGTCCTCCTTTCCGTCCTGGCACCGTGCCCATGGCCTCCACCTATGCATGGCATGACCCTCCTCCATCACTGCACATCCTGCCAGCCTTTCAGAGGTCATATGAACGATGTCATGGCATGCTCTACAGTATCCTCCAAGTATTGCACTGATGCCAAACCAATGCTTGTGCTGCCACTCCATACACAACAACTCAAAATAGGAATGATGTCATCGCTGAACCTCCAGAACATCATCTCGATTCTATCTCTTTCATGTTACGCCAGGTCATCAACTCGGCTTGCGCAACGTGTACGTATGAGATTGCGTGTTTCCGTACAAACTGCCACCAAATATGCACCGTTGGGCAGTCCTTCTGCGAGTTAGAGACACAGACAGCCATGGATCACTTTCAAGTGAGTGCCAGGACTACTGGGGATTGAGCCACTGCAAGGCACTGCAAGGGACCTGGACCTCGTTGTAACCTGTCCAGGTAGGGATCAGAGATATCCGAGTCATGCGTTTAACCCTGTGTGGCGAGTCATGATTCTAGTACTGCATGGATGACTTGTGCAGATAGCAGCGGTGCGAAACGTACTGGTAACAAGAAAACCATGCAGTGTATGCATACATGTACATCAGACTAACCGGTATCGAGTGCACCGTCTCCAGTAGATGAAGCCGCACTTGGTCGTGAAGCGCTGCTGAACAGACACGGACACCGTGACCTGGAACGGCTGGATTTTCAGTTTGCGAATCGAGCACGCCTCTGTGATCACAGCGGGAATACCACAGCGGGCCAGTGAGATTCTTGTTTGAGCACATTCAGGGGGCGGAATACATAATTATACACCACGATACACTGGTACTGGACACTTTCACTTGGCATGCGCCATCGGCCATGTAACAGTTACGTACCCCTTACTTCTAGCTGCACATTCGGTGATTAACAATCCACCCTAGATATCCTTCCAGTGCTTCTGAGGAGAAACTGAACTTGAAATGGCGCCACCAGAAGGCTTTAAAAACTTGAATGAAAAGTTAGTTCACGCAATAACTCACTTCCCGTCAGGCCTTTATAGACGTGGAAGTTATCTCGTGTACAGTGGCTCAGGGCATGATGATGGTAGTTGTTGACACAGTAGCAGGCCGAGTCGCCGTGCGTTATGACATAGTTGGTGAGGTGCTGGCGACAGCGCTGCGCGCATCGGTGCACGGAGCGCAGCAGCGGGTGCTCGAAGGCAATCTTTGTCATCTTGCCCGTGCCCGGCTGGGCGGCCGAGCAGCCTAGATGCACTTCAGCTGCAGGCACCAACAGCACAGATATGCACATCACATACTTGCCAACCATACCAATTTTCCCGGTATTATACCGAGAAACTACGGTCACTACCGGCATACCGGGGCTTTTTGACTTTGATCGAAAAACTACCGGTATTGGCACTGAACCATGAGTGTTCATAAAAAAGGTTGTCTTTGTGGTGTGACGATCAAGTTGCACATGCGGCCCTGCATTTCACAGAATCACACATGTAAGGGCGATCTGACAAAAAAGAAACTCTGGTTTTGGTTCCGCAATGAGCAATGGGTTAGAAATGAATAAAAAGAAAGAAAAAAGTTGCCCCAAAACTGCAGAAAATACCCAAAAATTATCAAAAATTGTCCAAAATAAGAAAAAATGGCCGAAATTGGCGAAAAACAGGAAAATAAAGGAAATGAGAGAAAATGAAGGGAAACGGGGTGTGTGACTAAGGGATTTGCTTTGGCTGGGTTGGCAAGTATGACATCAACATATGCTCACATACAGGCCTGCCAGAACCGGTCCGGTTGGTCAGGTCATCTCAGGACCAACCTTTTGGCCACCAACAAGTGTTATTTGCTGGGGATGAAACGTGCACCTGTCATTATCATACACAAAGTACGAAAGGCCATGTTACTACAGGACCAGTCAGAAACTCCCTCCGACGGTCCTGATATAGCACTCATTGATGATGACTGCACCATAGCTTAGTGGTAGAGCATCGCTGGCAGTAAGCGAGGGTCTGTGGTTCGAGTCCTGGTGATGTCGTCCGGGCTAATTTGTTTCTTCAGACTTTTCCCGTTTGCAACTTTCCTTAAAACTAATGAACAGAACTCTCTGTTTTAACACCATCACATGTCACAACTCAGTTCACACTCATTCAAGCATGACAACCTGGTCCCGCAAATTGTCAACCCCATTGCATCCGTTTCCTTGTAACTCACCTGAGTTTCATAATTTCGAGCAACTTCCGAACGTAGCTGCTGGATTTGCCATTTCAAGCATGGACAATTTGGTGACGAATAAAACTACTTCGAAGTACTTCTGGTTCTGAACCAAATCATCATTTTTGCTCCAACAGTTCACAAAAGCACAATAGCCGCCAAACATTACGGATGACTATAAGTGGTCTATGCATACCCAAAGGTCCTCAAAGCTTGCTGACAAGTCCTCGGAGTTATCGTATTTTCTCCCAATTATACAGCGTGCTAGTAGCTTACTCTTGCAAGGCACTGAAGAAGTGCAGAGTGCTGTCTGATAGTTGCTGCCAGCACATGGCTGTCCGCCATGCTCTGGAGGCTGGCATGTCCTGCTCCGAGACTTCAATCCTTGTCCGCAGAGAGCATCGCATGGGGACCACCTTCCCCAGCTATGCCAGTAACCGTCCACTGTGGAGGCACACCATTGACAACACATACACATACACACATTACACTCATACTTCGTTTATCAGTGGAGGAACACCATTGACAACACATCCACATACATACATTACACTCATACTTTGTTTATCATGCATTTTGACGGGGAAAGGACATATATTACAGCATACATGTATGACATCACCATTACCACAAAAAGCCTGTGACAAAAGAGTAGCAATATTTACACTGAAACGTGCCCAAAAGGGTGCCCGGTAGACTTAAGTTACGGGCCCGTAACTTCAGTGTCCGGTTAGCCAAGGTATGAGTGTATTAGCCAACTATGAGCTATACATGTCCAGAACGCATACATACTTCACATCATTGGGGCTAAGAACCTACCAGCGCACGGAGGTTCAGTACAGTGCTTGATCCGCTGAGAAGATCCAGGACATAGACGTCCATCGTGTTGTGGCGCAGGGTTGGTGCAGTTGCGGTATCTCAGTTTGAAGCCCTGCACGCCACATGTCTCGGAGCAGTGCGACCACTCCGTCCAGTTCGTCCATCCTCCGTCAACTGTCATAGCACACACAAGTATCCCGCAAGGCTATCACAATGTCCGAGTAAGCACTGCACGCATGCACATGTGAATCAAGTTGATGAACAGCCCATTGAATGCTGCACTGAAGTTTACAGTTCGCTCGGTAATACTAGGTCAGTTATCAAATACCAATATATGCACGCATGCACCCAGATCTAACGTTAAAATCAGACTTGATTGCCTCAGCACATACTTGGACATGGTACTTGTGTTGTACAGTCCCTTATCTCCACAGCCGGTCCAGGGCAGGGTGTGCCACCATTCTGCGGATACGGATTGTTACAGTGGCGACGTTTACTTTGAATTCCGCCATCAGCTCCACAGGACACCGAGCAGTCCGACCAGTCTTCCCAAACCGACCAATCTCCATGCACTGCTCACACAGTCACCATGATCACAGATACACATTCACAGGCACCATGGTCAAACACACACATTCACAGCCACATACCGTATTTCCCCGATTATAAGTCGCACCTTCTTACACTAAAATTCAGGGTAAAAAAGGGGGTGCGACATACAATCGAGCATGACTTACTACTGAAGTGAATAATATCGCAACAAAATTGCTCAAACCTGAAAATGGGGATGCGACTTATAATCGAGTGCGACTTAAAAAAATACGGTACACAGTCACATATTCACAGTCACCATGATGAAACACAGACATATGCACCGCCCGAGTCAGTCACAGTCACCATGATCACAGACACACAGACACACAGACACATGCATATGCATCATGCACAGACACATACACACAGGGGGAAAGCATCATCGAGAGGTTGAGCTGCACGTGGATTTTGACGTGACGCGAAAGTTCAGCTCGCGTTATTTGTCTTGCACGTTTGAAAACAACGCGAGTGACCTGCAGCTCACGTCGAAATTTGGAGTTTTACACCCAATTTGACGTGAAATTGCGCGTCACGTCAGAACTAACGTGCAGCTTAACCTCTCTAATGACTATGAATAGATGACATACACACATAGCGATATGGAAAGGCACATGCTCAAGTCAACGACGAGGCAAAAACGATGTGCACAGTGCACACCACCCACACACTGCCCCCGTGACGCACCACCAACACAACATCCACACCACCGCCCAAACCACCCTCCTCCCCCCCCCCCCCCCCCACCCCACACACACCACCCAGCCGCCCAAACCGCCCACCCACACACCGCCCACACACTCACCGTGACATTTTATCTATTTACACCGTATCTTGAGCAATGCATGCACATGACCAACATATACGTGTTCTTCATGGTTAAAGATTGGTAACGGTGAACCGACCTGGGCAAGGCTGAACATTGCAGATCTTCACTTCCTCTGAGCTTCCACTGCACGGATATCCACCAAAGCGAGGAGATGGACTGCTGCAGTCACGGGAACGCGACCGCACACCGGAGCCACACGTCACGGAGCAGTCCGACCAGTCCTTCCACTCAGACCAGTTGCCATGCACTGAGGATTTAAAATACCACACAAAGCACAGTGGCACAAACACATGCACATGGACACATGCACATGGACACACGCACACACACATACGCGCGCACACATCAACATTGTCATTTTCAAACACACGTATTGGCCGGAAGGAGGGCAATGGGACTCAATGACAGGTGGCTGCTTCAGGAAGCACCACTTTGTCACCCTCTCAGTCCAATGATCAAACTCCCGGTGGACCCAACAGTTGTAATCAGGTGCTGAGCATCGTGTAGACCCCGGCATGGACTACTGGCGTGTAGGGCGCTGTGGAATGGGGTGATGGATGTCAGAATACTATTATACAGCACTGTCAGGTGCCGGAGAACGGAGTCACGGCCAGAGAACGAACAGGCTAGGATTTCACCAAGCACAGCATACCAATGTACACACGGTGACTCGACTTTGCATAGACTGTAGTACGTGAAAATAGGAATGGCCTGGGCTAGGAGGCTGAGCCGCAGGTCTTCGCCAACCGACAGTACTGGTACTGTAAGACAAAAGCCTGGAGTGTGCTGCACATGCACCCAACTGAACATGCTCTGTAATGCCAACATGTGCATTGAGTTAAAGTTACCAGGACATTGCTGAACATTGCACTCTCGTTGCTCTTGAGCTGCACCGACGCACACCAGTCCTCCATTGCTGGGCGCAGAGCAGTCTCGATGACGCTGCTGTGTACCACTGCCACAGCTGACACTGCACTCCGTCCACGCCTTCCATGCAAACCACCTACCGTTGACTGCACACGGCAAACACACACACACACACACACACACACACACACACACACACATACATACACACACACACGCACGCACGCACACACACACACACACACACACACACACACACACACACACACGCACACACACACACACACACACACACGCACAGTGTAATGCATGTACCACACATTGCTCTCTTTAGAATAGCATATAGATGGTCCTGCTTTGGGGCCGCTGACTTAGCACAATAAAAAAAACTGCCGCTGGTGCTGCATAGGTTGTCTACTTGACTATACGTCTATCAGGTTCACCTGTACGGGCAGCGGACTAGGGAAAACACAACTCTCATCCTAGATATCCGTCTCAATCAATGAGATACTGTAAAGCGTGACATTTTCGCGGCGTTATTAGTTCACGTTTTCAGAATCCGGACAGGTTTGCGAGGTTTTAATTTTGCGATTGCAGAATGGCATTCTTGCTAAACCTGTGGCATTCTTGCTAAACCTTTCATGGATCTCCTTTTCGCGCTGTCTAAATTTCGCGATTTCCAAACGGTCGCGAATTTCGCAGAAATTAGACCATGGCAATAATTTCACGGTTTACAGTATCCGTCTCAACCAATACCAGGCTGTATGCGCTGGGTAAAACACTAAACAGCCGGGCCCTGGTCACTGCCCCCCCCCCCCCTGCAGTGCAGGATACAGAGGTTATGCGATTACATCATCAGTGTTGATGCCTTGGCAAAGTCTCTGCACAGCGCACGCTAGCGATGCACTAGCGACTCACTGTCATGTACCCGTGTGCCCATGACTGAGCAGTTCCGCTGTACGCTTAGCACCCATAAGAGATTTCGGAAATCTGCCGACTCGTCATTATGACGTCTCTCACATAACCTCTATAGATGGGCATAGAAACGATTACTTGGCTCACCCGTATTAGCCTGAACGGGGTTTCTCGGCACTGTGACTTCTGCCAGTGGTGGTGAGACTTGTCCACTCACCCCCACCGCTAGGCGCTGCACCTACCGCTAGGGTTTACCGGGTGTTAGCGGCCGTCGGGAGTTCCCTTTGGGAATGGACAAGATGATTTACTCTTTTTGTTTGTATTAGCCTGAACCCCTCCCAGAGTGATTTTTATTCCCTGGATTAGCCTATAATGTTACCTGGGCATGGTTGCTCTGAGCTGCATAGCTGCAAGCGGGTGCTCTCTCCACGGCACGAATCGCCGCCAAAGCTGGGCGACGGTGCGGTGCAGGTGCGCATTTCCTCGCCAAAGCCCGTGCCGCAGGTCACCGAGCAGCTTGAGCTGGTATTCCATTCCGACCATCCGCCGTGTACTGGCGCCGCCGGGGACGGGAACACAGAAGTGAGAAAGAGAGGCACACCAAGTTTGAATACAAGCAAGCAACATGTTTAACCTATTGCAGCATACGTTGAAGTACATGCAAGTTGAACTACAGTGAAACCTGTCTAAGGCGATCCCTCAAGGGACGAGAAAAAGTGGTCGCCATGGCCAGGTGGTCTTCATATCCAGGTTCAGTGGGTCACGTGACCATATCCACATGTGATACATCAGTTTGATCAGTGTATTGCAGTGCACACACCTCCTATGCTACTCTAGCACGACTCATGTGCCTGGCCTGGGGTCCTCAGACCTGTCAAGTGGTGTGCATGCACCATGCACATCTACACTTCCTGCACTGATGTGTAGATCTACCATGCATGGTGCACCATGTAATAGTGGATACGTACATTGTGCATTTACATGTACTAGCACTGTGCAACGCGGTCGCGGATGGGTGGTCGTCGTCTGTCGTGTTGAGCGAGTGGTCGCCTTATCCGAGCTGTTTTGAATGTGAATGCGTCCGTGACAAGGAAAAGTGGTCGCCATATCCGAGTGGTCGCCATTACAGGTTTTAGTGTACTTAAAAGTAGGACATGATGCATCTACTACTGTTGTAAGCATGGCAGGTGCAACACTTCCTCAGCCAACTTTGTTTTTGAACACAATTATATAGCCGGTTGTAAAGTGGATGTACAAGCTTTACTTTCAGTGCTGTTGTTGCTTTAAGCAGGGAGTGGTGCTTTCTTGCAGGCCCAAGCTTGCCGAGTAGAGGGTTTGGCAGGCTGCTTGTATGCGCTGGATGGCTAACTATGTTGGCAGCAGAGCTAGTGTTGTGACTACCAGACTGTACATATTTGTATCACTTTCAAAAGTTAGCCACTAATAGCCAGACACCGCAAGGGTGTCATTTTTGAACAAGAACTATGTCCAGAAATGGACTGGTAAAGGAAAGCGATATTCTGTCCTGGACAAGTGTCCTTCCTGCAGGACAATTATCTGTTCAGGCTATCATTTTGGAACCAAATTACCCCAACTTTGAAAGAGATCCTTTCAGTGATGGTCAGTGGAGTACCGTGACAAAAGAGGAAAAAACCAACAGATCCCCAATACGGATGCGGGGACTACCTACTGTGGTATTACTGATGATTGATGACTCACCTGGACAAGAAATGTTTGTACTGCATGTGCGTGTCAGCAGCTGCGGGCCGTCACATGGCCTTCCGCCATTGCTCGGCACTGGATTGGTGCAGGTACGGAACATCACCCTCTGCCCATCGCCGCACGTCTTTGAGCAGCCCACAACCAGAGGCAACCAGTCTGACCAGCCGCCATCGACTAAACATCGGGCAAACACAGTTGGCAAGACATGGTCCAATGTACAGCAACATCAGTTACTGTGATCATGTGTCTGGGAACTTGATTTAGCAGTGTCCGAATATACATGTATAGCATAGTCTGGATATGCATGTATAGCCGTGTATGCTGTGTTGTCAGTATGATCCATGCTCTGCTGAACAACATCAACAACAACAACAAAGTACGGAACATTGCTTGTAGCCCGGCGCCAGACATGGCTGTAAGCAATAGTGCACATCGTGCATAGCATTCCAACGGGCAGTGCTAGTTGTCATCAGTACACCGTACTTTATGTGTACAGAAGAATGCCACACACCCTCCAACATCTCCCTTGGAATTGGTAGCTGCTGGTTAGGTGCTGAAAGGCCATCATTGGTCTTCAAGTTTCAGTGTACTTTGCAACAAAGTTTAAACCACCACACACAACAATACCTACTTGTACTTGGCTAGTAGTTCATGCAGCAGCAGCAGCAGCAGCAGCAGACACGCCAAGACTCTATACATGATCTAACATTGCATGACAGTCACCTGAGCATGGCTTCCTACGACAAGGCTCGACCAGCTGATGTGGTCCCGGGCAGTATCGGCCACCGTGGATTGGAGTGGGATTGTTGCAATCACGACGCTGGATGAGAATTCCAAATCCGCATGTCTGGCTGCAGTCACTGATGTTCTCCCACTCACTCCAACCTCCATGAACTGTAGAAACGTAACAGCAACAATAACAGACATGGTGAAAATCACATTGGAAAGGTGTCACGTGCTGTGCATGTAACAGCCACGGGGGATACGATGAATGAAATATTGCACTTGCATGCGGGCAATGCCAGCTCCGATCTACACTCATCAGTGACTGGTGCCGTTTGTCCAGATACCATCTGGTACTGCGCGCACACTCGGATACTATTTCATAATTATCTGGATTGGACGCGCACTAAGAGACTGACTTTGAAACATCACAGTGAATGTACGCTGTGCATACAAATGGTATCGTCGCACTATCTGACTGCATATTATCTCGTTACTTTGGTGGGCTGTTGGTCATAACACGTAACGATAGGTCCTTTTCTCTTTACATATTACTATTGGCTCAACATCCGACTTTTTAATCAGTAGATTCATCTTACCTGGACAATGTGCATCAAGACATTGGCCCACCTGAATGCCGAGACCAGTGCAGTTTAGACCGCCATACATGGGAACAGGATTGTCACATGACCTGCTGCGTGAGAATGTACCCAGGCCACACGTGCTGGAGCACACTGTCCAAGGCGTCCAGTCCGACCAGATACCATCAACTGCAAGGGACACGATCACCAGAGCATTACCCGAGAATCATGCCGCAATGCTGCTCAGTAAATACTAACGGATTGCTACATTGGCATGGATTTAAAATCCGGTGCCGCCGATGTCATTGACCATTACACTGGCTATGTAAGCATAACGCTCGGGCCTGCGGGGCAGCTTGGGTGGATAGTAATGCTGCAGTAGAGTGTGCTTGCAGTACTTGGCTGGATACAGTGGTTCTCGATTGGGGCTCTGCATGAACGTGTATTTCATCAGGCAACACTGAACAAATCAGACCGATCACGTGCACTACTAAATTGGCAATACAGGCCGGGATACGGCATACGCTGCACTCGGCTCACCTGGGCAAGGTGCCTCCATACAGCTCTGTGTCTGAGTTTCATTCCAGTTGCATTCTTCGCCACCTAGATAGGAATCAGCCATGCTGCAGTTACGAGTGCGATACCTCTCACCCATGCCGCACTCCGCAGAGCAGTTGGACCAGTCGTCCCAGACAACAGGGACCTGTTCCAATAATCTCTCAACTGGATGACGACAACAGGGAGAAAGAAATGTGGTATTTTGACTCAGTTTTGTTCCAAGACAAGTACCTACCTGGACTTCTACAAACTCAGTTTTCAAGTTTACGACGTCATATCCACCAGGCCATAGGAGCTGTGGGTACCCTGTGCTATCCATGCAAGAAGGCATATATGCCCGTTCAATCGGTGCGTCAACCGTGACAACGAAACTGAACTGAACACTCGTGTCGCAGCATCGTCAACACACACGCACACATGCCTGCATGCAGCCGCATTCAGTGTCATGTCAGTGGCACAACAGTAGCCACCGCCGCAGGACACATATGCATGCACCAGGATAGTGTACCGGCAACTAGGCCAGTTCAAGTCCACTCACAACTCCATTTAGGATGATAAGGTACATACGGCAATATGATATTGGGCATAGCGGCAACATAATTGGTATCCTAATCTGAACCTTGAAGTTCATGCAAGTTCGCAAGCATACAACATAGCGCATGCTACAGTGCCGCCACACTGTACATGTACTGGGTCTTGTAGTCATACGCATGGTGCTTACTTTCACAGATGGTGTTTGGCCGGCATTCCCTGACCTCCACACTCTGCCCCACACACGGCTTGCCACCGCTCTCCGGTTCGGGATTGTTACACGGGCGCTGCCGCTCCTGCACGCCGACGTCCTCGGGTTTCTCCTGACAGGAAATAGAGCACGGTGTCCAGCCAAGCCAGTCTCCCCAACCTCCATCACCTATTTGATACAGCGTGACCAGCATGGGATAATGGCAATGGCAATGTCAACGATGACAATGACAAAACCATCAGAGGATGTATACTGAGCCAAACCCATGATGCACAAAGGCAATACCTTTTTAAAGACTATAAGACAGATGTTTTTTTTAATGATCCTTATTGAGCATCATAGTAATGGCGCTGTTCTGCATTGTGACACCCAACATTATGCCAAATTTCAAGACCATCCAAATTCCAAAGTGCACTGACAAGATACGGGCTGTGTTAGCCGACTGTGCATGGCATTCTTACGTCTGCACGTTGCAGCCTTTCCAGTCCAGACAGCCTGTCCGTTGTGCTTCGTGCAGCGAATGTCAGAGTTGCCCTGCAGGCTGTAGCCAGTGCGACATGAGAACTCGGCTCTGGTTCCGGCACGGCGGGTGCGTCCGGGCGGTGAGAACACCACAAAGCCATTCTCAGGTGCAGCGGGATGGTCTTCACATTTCAGTACTGTGTGAGCAAGCGGGTGCAAGCAGACACAGAGAGGGCGTGTGAGCACCAACTATGTTACTTGTTAGACAAACTAACTTGAGAGTTATGTTCATTGCATTAATTGAGAGACACTTTTTTTAAACAAGTCAAACCAACTATACTCGGAATCATGCAAACCCTTGTACATGCCATGCACACTGGACTAACAAAGTAAGAGTGAGTTCACATAGATTATGTATGAGCATCTTATAACTACACACACAGGACTGGGGCATAGCAGGGAGCTTTACCTTCCAGCACAGTACGTATAACTGCTAGAAAGCGACTCGGAAGTCCTTAGAGTGCTCTACAAGCTATAGACCAAACAGTGCGGCTTTAGGTATTGATATGCAGTATAGCTACACGTATTCAGTCCAAAGACTATCAGTCCATGATCAATCAGTCAAATCAGCCACATAATTCCAGGGGGGTTTCTTATTAGCACAATAACTTCTGTGTATATACCGTACGACAGTTACCGTGAGACCAATGAAATGATTATGATTCAAACACTTACTCTTGCACTTGGGAAAGTCGTTCAATGGACGCCATAGGCCGCTGATGCATGTCTTGTTGCGTGGTCCGATCAGCCTGTGCGCGTCGCCACAGTGAAACTCCACACTGGCGTGCTTGTCTATCACGTACCCATGCACTGGGATGGGGTGACGCGGGCAGCTATCTGTACACACCGCAAAACACACCACCACCCCAGGGCACATAGCCGCTAAGCGAACTGGGAACGTACCGTGAAGAGGAGCACCACACCCACCCGTGATGTGAGTTTTCTCCGTCGGTGGACCCCATAGAAAGGGTGTCCAGAGTTGCAAACTCTTGAAAGCTTATTTAAGATCTTGGTTGTACATGTAGCTGGAACTGCCTGCATTCAGGGCATGGATATCATGCTCGTAGATCCGGATTCTTCCATCTCCGGCGCCTTCCATCTCTGGCGCCAAACACACCACTGCAACAAATCTTCCACCTACACCCGCACAGCCACGATTCAAGTTGGCTTCAATTCAGTGTTCCGAGTCGATGATTTTTCAACCTACCTTGCATAAGTTACATTGACAAAAGAAGTCACCATGTGCAATGGTATGGTCTCTTATCCACCTTCAAGTGCACAGAAAATCATGGTGATGAAATAGATCAGTCTATACTGGCACATGTAACACTGAGTGTAAACCCTGATGGAGCACACGGTGTAGACAGTGGCTACTTCACTGAGAAGCTAGAAGTCGATCTGATAACCACATACACTGACGTACACTACGCATACTGAAGACGTGCGAGGCTGCGTGATCATTGCGGCAACAACAAAACATGTAGGAATATGAGGAAGTGTTGTGAAGTTCTCTTTCTCCCCTAAGCCGACCATGATGTATAGAATCAGACATGGATGTCAGGGCAGTATCGTTGATTCAGGCCCGAGAGCGGCCCAAGGCCGAAGGCCGCAGGCCGCTCGAGGGCCGGAATCAACGATACCTGCACTGACATCCATGTCTGATTGTATTTCACACTGCCACCCACGCAGGACAGCACAAGCGAAAACCACAACGCTCTCCTCAGTAGAACGTGCACGTGCAAGCGCACCCGCAGCATGCTAGCAGCGCAAACAAAGCCACTGTACTGCACTAATCTGCATAAATCGAACTTGAAATACATCAACTAGAAACACCGAGTGCCTGCCTTCCCAAGTTCTCAAGTCCTTTATAGCATTCGTTGCACAACAATGGCAGAAACTCACAAGCTGAAGTTCCACGTCCGTGCGCTCTCGGGCAAGCCGTCGAGCGCACGGCTGAAGTTTCGTTCTGAAGTTTCGTTCTGAAGTAAGCTCCGTGCGCTCTCGGGCAAGCCCTCGACCGCGCGCACGGTACGGCTGAAATTTCGTTCTGAAGTTTCAGCTCATAAAGTTTCAGGTCCTGAAGTTCCGCTCCATGCGCTCTCAGCTCTCAGTTCTGAAGTTTCATGTCGACCAAGGTGAAGTTTCATCTTTTGTTGATTCAGGTCATCTCAAGGAAGGTGAGGTTTCAGGCCCTCGAGCAGCCCTCGACCGTCGACGAGAGAGAGTACGGACCTGAAGCTCACAAGCTGAGTCCTCCACGTCCCCGACCACCACCCCTAGGAGTGCCTTCCTTTTATACCTTCATCCCGTCGTGCTCAGTTTCACCTCCACACGCTCTCGGGACGTGCTGATTGGTCAAGGACCTGAATAGCACGGCATGTATGTCGAATATACCCATGGCCATGTGTGAATATACCCATGTGTGAATATACCCATGTGTGAAAATACCCATGTGTGAATTCATTCATTCATGCCCTCCTACCATGTGTGAATATACTCATTCACACATGGTAGGAGGGCATGAATGATCACGTGATGGGGTGTACAGCGCGGTGCATGGTAGTAGACGTGGCTGGCAGGGCATGATCAGAGGTTCATGCCCAGCCTGTGACCGCTCTGATTGGGTCAAACCGTGGCAACGATCACGTGGCAAGTGTGAAGATATAATTAACATGTAGCTGGCACTTGACAGTTCTCTCACCCAATCTGGTTATCAGCGTTGTCCCCAGATTTACATGAAAGGCCGGAACAAAGCATCCCGTGATAACATTTACTCTGCTTCTGCATTTCCCCAATCAAGGATTATTCAAGTTGAACACTGGGTGTCACATACAGTTCAGTCATTCACGCATTTCATAGACTATTCATTGTGAGTTATCAGCCTACGTTAGTGCCAAGTTACGCACCTTCCGGCTTGAAAGTCTGGCAGAGCAGCTGATGGCATCCACGCACGCACGTACACAGCTGTCCCGCTCCACACTGGCCGTCCGACAAGCAGAAGTTGCTGTCCACCGGGCATATGTCCGACCCCTCCTGGTTCCTGCAGGCGGCTGCAAGCGCATCCAGCAGCTTTGAGTCGGCACCAACATCTTGTCCTACTTCCGCATCTGCCAAGCAATCACAGGCATGCACCGGAGAGAATCAGCGCGATGGTGTCACTTGAAAGCAGCGGGTCAAACTGCATGGCTACTATACAGGTATCATAGTCTAGCAGTCAGAGGCAGAGCTGCATTAGCTGTGTGCTATTGTCCGCTATAGGAACTTGCCTAAGCCAGTGCAGGACTGCAGGGCTTCACTGTGTTGGCTGTAGTACCCGCCGCAGGCTATTCACCTGGCGTCTATCACAGGACAATGTGACTTGCACACTGTTGAAGGGGCTATAAAGCTTGAATGATTTGCCTGCACTTCTTTTGCTGTGTCTTCTGTTTGTACCCCCCCCCCCCCCCCTGCCTGTCCTGTGGTCCTGTGGTCTTTCGGTCAATCTCAGATGTACATGTACTTCCTGTGCTAATGCACGTATACATAATGCACATATACATAATGCACATATACATAATGCACGTATACCATGTATACAGTGCAGTACTTGTATCGCACCGCTAGAGTTGTCCACCCCATTTTTTTTAAGGGGAAGTTAAGGCAAAAATCAAAATTTCACCAGTTGTAGTCTTCGGGGTGCTGAGTCGAATGGTCTTGGTCCGAGAAAGCTGAGACGCTCCCTTCCTACTTGAATCCCAATCGAACTCGCGCACTTCCACCGAAACTGGGTGACTGCGCCCTACTAGATGGGGATTTGTATGCAAACTGTCACTAAAAGCGCCATTGCGTTCTTATAAAAGCACGGATGACCGCGATTGGCCCATATGTTGTAGTCTTTTGGACGCTGAGTCGACTGGTTTTGGTCCGAAAAGGCTGCGATGCAGCGTTCCTCCTTTATTCCCAATCGAACATGGTCGAACAAGTGGTCACGTGCTGCTGCGTACACCAGTCACCTGGTCACCGTGCCTGCAGGATACAACTTACTAGCCTGTTTGACCTTTTTTGGGTGCAGTCCTGTCACTCGAGTTGAACTCGAGTTGAACCTTGGTGTGAAAGTTGTCGCCTGCTGGCGTGGTGACCAGGTGATTTGGGCACCCAGGAGCACGTGACCGCTTGTTCAACCATGTTTGATTGGGAATAAAGGAGGAACGCTGCATCGCAGCCTTTTCGGACCAAAACTAGTCGACTCAGCGTCCAAAAGAGTACAACATATGGGCCAATCGCGGTCATCCATGCTTTTATAAGAACGAAATGGCGCTTTTAGTGACATTTTGCATACAAATCCCCATCTAGTAGGGCGCAGTCACCCAGTTTCGGTGGAAGTGCGCGAGTTCGATTGGGATTCAAGTAGGAAGGGAGCGTCTCAGCTTTCTCGGACCAAGACCATTCGACTCAGCACCCCGAAGACTACAACTGGTGAAATTTTGATTTTTGCCTCAGCTTCCCCTTTAATCAAACCCTTCGTGGTGGTGGTGGTGTGTACGTGTGTGTACGTGTGTGTGTGTGTGTGTGTGTATGTGTGTGTGTGTGTGTGTGTGTGTGTGTGTGTGTGTGTGTGTGTGTGTGTGTGTGTGTGTGTGTGTGTGTGTGTGTGTGTGTGTGTGTGTGTGTGTGTGTGTGTGTGTGTGTGTGTGTGTGTGTGTGTATGTGTGTGTGTGTGTGATAGGGGTCAGGCCGGGCGCTAATCTACATGTACATAACAGTCTAGTCCTCCTTTGCACTTGCACCTGTAGTGCTGTACTGCTAATACTACTACTAGTGATCAGTGTACTATGTACAGTCTATGTACATCTACAGTCATAGACCATGTAGACTCATAATATTATAGTAGTGGCAAGAAGTTCAAGTGTGTGAGTTGTGAACACCAGCACGTGTACTTGCACATGCGTGTTGCAAAAAATAACGAAGCTGAAAAAGTCGGACAGTTCGCACCCAGCCATTATGACATCGAGTGTGCGTTTACTCTAAACCCTTGCTTCAAACAGTCAGAAGATTCTACCAGAGTGTACTTCTAACCAGCAGCTGAGGCTCAGTTGGGAAGGAGCTGCATGCAAGCACACAGCTAACAGTATCGCGGTGTCCACAGGTTGCAATTACTAGTACTATAAGTCACTTTGTGTAGTAAATCTACCTCCTCACAGAGTAACCCAACTATCATGATAATACAGTTTGTAATGACTCTCTTAGCTACTCACTACTAGCCGGAGGAGGCAGCAGTGCCGCAGGATCTCCAACACCCACGAAGTCTTGAGCGCGGACAACAGCAACCGCCGCGGTAAGCACCAATAGTAAGAGCGCGGGAAGCGACTCTCTATTCCGGGCAAACCAGGCCATAGCCAGCGGCTCGTTTGTCCTCGACCAACAGTCCTTTTCAAGAGGGAAAAGCCTCGACTATCACAACCCGATAGGTAAGGCCAAAAATGAAAGAAGAAGAAAAAAACATCCGATACGAATCATACGACTCCGAGTGAGTGAAAGGCAATGCCTGGATTGCTCACGGTTACATTGCGCATGTAGACTACCCTGTGTACTGGCTACTACTGCTGCTGCATTGACGGTCTGTTTCGGATGCGAGAAAACGACGAGCAGCGACATTGAGATAGAGCTAGACTAGAAGAGACAGTAGAGTGACGGCAACATGGCATTGGCTGCTGTCAGATCTCAAACGACGTGCACACAAGCCACGAAGCTGGAGTGCAAAAAGACTGAGACAGCGACCTTACGTTGACGTCTTCACCGTGACTCGGTTGTCTTGTAGATCCACCAGGCACGGGTCTGTCTTCTGCCAGTGATCACGCACGGTGTCAGAAGGGAGTGAGCCTGATCATGACTCCAGCCAGTCGAGGACTGCAAACTACGAGTAACAGTGCGAGCTGATCGCGATGTGAGTGCCTCAAACATATTCCATTATTCGTCGCGTAGCTCAGACTTCGGACTTCACTCAGTTCTGCATGAGTGCGAAGATTGAAGTGCAATGAACCGCGGTTCACTGTCTGTCCGTCTGTCAATATCAAGCAGACAGGTGAACTCATAGCCCCGCGGCTCGGACAAGGATACCAAACATCACTTGCGCCACTGGGGGCAATCTGTCAAGGATAGCCAGCGGAGGACAATGCGCCCTCACTGGCCTCAGCCTAATCAGGCTAATGCTAGCCGGAGGCGGAGGTGCTGTCTCGGGACTTGTGGTTGCGAGTATCTAGTACTACTAGTACAGTAGTAGCTGCTGCATTTCAGTTTGCCAGTGCGTAGCGATTGATACACTACAGCAAGAGCACAATAATCATTCCGGTAAGCCATGGCATGATCACTGATGATGTTTATACAGACCAGCTGTAGATCTGCTGTAGCACAGTGTAGCACATCATCGAGTCATTAGTCTACTCTTGTCTTGGCCTTGGCTTGGGCTTGGGGCTAGGGTCTTGGCTAGCGATATGCTTGCACAAGTCAATGTTCAGTATGTCACTATGTGTGTACGATGTAGTGTGTGACTTGAACTGCGGCTGCTCACGTCTGGATTGTTTGTATGGTGCAGGACAAGTGCAGATGTATGCCTACTACATGACATTGTACAATCATGTACTTGGTACTGTATGAGATAAACCTTTTGTTGAGAACATGTTGTTGGTTGACAGCATGTAACAAGGACCTAGGTGGAGGTCTATCGTGTTAGGAAACAGTGACCTTACTACAACCGTCCTCGGTTGGTAGAGCCCCGGTCTTGCGACCATCTGAACTGTATGGGTGTTGGCCCCGGTTCTGACCCTCTGTATGAGTCTATCGAGTTACAAGAAGACAAGGGTAACTCCCTAGAAATAGTAGAATACAGAGGGTCAGAACCGGGGCTGACACCCTGACACTCATAGTCATACAGTTAAGATGGTCGCAAGACCAGGGCTCTACCAATACCACAGATGGTTGTAGTAAGGTCACTGTTTCCCTGAAACACGGTGGTCCGCTCCACTGACCTTTTTACATGCTGTCAACCAACTACATGTAGATCTACATTGTACTTGTACTGTAGTACTACTACTACCGTAAAGTACCGCCAGAGCGCCCCGTCTCGCGAGAGCGCCCCACCTTGATTTTACAGCCAGAGGAAGGGAAATCGTATGGCAGAGTGCAACGAAGTTTGTACGGCGTGAGAATCTTAGTGTACTAAGGTCACACTTGGCCGGTTTTTGTGTGGAGCTTGTGTCCGCTCGAAGGTACGGATTGACTGCAAAACGTGCAATATGTGAATACTGTATCTGATGATTCGTTTTTATATATGTGTTGATTCTTCACAAAATGTGTTATTTTGCCCGTACAAGAGGCTCAGTTTACGTAAAAAAAATAAAAAATATGTGTACAAGGTTCATGTCGTATGACCTATAGACAGCAGACCACCTCCACATTACGACCACGAAAGGATGAGATGGTGGGGCGCTCTGGCGGTACTTTACGGTAGTAGTACTAGGACAATGGCATGTACATGTACTGTGACGTGTACTACAATGTAGTCTGTGACATGGCACTCAGTGAGACTCAGACTGAAAGAAACTAATATTTTTATAGTAACTCACTTAGTTGTCACAGTAATAAGACTGAGAGGCGTAGTAATGGAAGAGCAGTCCCACCATTGCCATTGGCATTGGGGCGGCCAGCCTGTTGACCATGGTTGACAGACTGTAGTCCGAGGCTGTACTGTGTACATATACTAGTTGTCGCGTACAGTAAAACCTAGGTCAAGACAACCACTCTGGTAGAGCGACCACCTGTCCAAGGAGACCACTACAACAAGGACCAAGGGACATCATTTACAGTCAAATAATCCTGATTAAGGAGACCACACCAGTAAGGAGAGAAGCAAGGACAAAGAAGCTCGACAGCTAGCAGCGCATCATCGCCAGTTGGGAAAATATATGTAAACTGAGGACCATGCTGCTGAACTGGCAGGAACTGACTTCGGGCGGACTACAGTATGCGGATTTGTCATGCACTGAAGAGGAGCGGCAGAATAATGGTCTGTTGAAAGCAGAATAAAAGCAGAAGGACTCTCAGACTCGGAGGAAAAAGCCCGGGGGAATTGTCAAATTTTCAGAGCAGAATCCGATGACCCCTAGCGTTGGCCCTTGGATCAGGTCATCCGGGATCTTCGCCGGAGTCAACCAGTCAAGCACAGAGCAGCCTAGCCTAGCCTACGATCTACGAGTCATGGATCTACACTCGCAGCCGTCTCGGACTGCCATGCATCTACTTCCCAGATTCTAACGCCCCTAATCCGGGCATGTCCGTCAGTTTACCCCCTAATCCGGGCATGTCCGTCAGTTTACCCAGTATCGGGTACCTGTCATGACCCATCGATGCACTTCTTGACTTGCCAGTAGCCCTTGGTGGATGGGGCGAAACATTGGCAGATTCTGCTCGAAAAGCAGTGAAATTGGCAGAACCATGAAAACCTCATTAATTTTCTTTCACATGCTGTTGCATGTGCTACACATGAGTTATATGTGTTGCTTGTAATTATCATGCACAGTCATCTAGTGCCTCGCTATGCCATCGCATGACACTCCACCCATGTACGGCTTACCTGCACATGACACGCGTTCATGATCAACCAACCTATGTGGTCTAGCTTGTCATCGTATTGTACACATTCGGTTCTGGATCCTTCTATCTTCTTCTACTGCTTCTAGCACCTTCCGTCCAGTTCTGATAATCTGGAGTGATTTGCATTTCTTTGTTCTTGTTGTTTATGTTCCCAAGAAGTGAAGTCAAAATAGAATGCTCTCGCATGTTGGGTGTGTGTGTGCTCGAAATAAGTAACAAAGTTCAAGGATCGAACTTTCCACATGCCAAAATAATCATTGCGGCAGGCACTTTTCTGGCATGAAACATGCCAGAAAAGTGCCTGCCGCCAAGGGCTACTTGCCAGGGTCACTGCACTGTTACTGGAGTATCATTCTGCTATTGTGTTTTAGCCTGGTATCACTGCCATGTGCCTATGGATATGGTGGAGGCCAGGGAGTCGTACCCAAAGTTCCAACCATTACTCGGGCATTACCATGATTACGGCCTTTGCCGACTAGACTCCCTGGTGGAGGCTAACTCCTGACTCTGGCTGAGCTCAAGCTTATATCATGTATATCAGTACCACCAAGAGTACATACTACCCTCCCCCCCCCCCCCCCCCCAAGAGTACATAACCCCCCTGCTGGGCCTTGTACCACGCGGTACAGACAGTGTCAGTGACCTGCATGCTGCGGTCCTACGGATGACATGCATCAAAGCAGCATCATGCATGATCAGGTGAAGTCATCCCCATAAGGGGGAAGTCCCGTCTCTTTTTATTTCGATTTCGGAGAGCAAGCAACCGTTCAAAATCTTGGATCATCGAAGTACGAGCTCGCGAGGGTTTGGTATCCGGTTTCAAGGAAATGCTTTTTCCGAAAGCAAACAGACTCACCCAAAAATTGCCAAAGCATATCGACGATCCTTTTCACTTTCTCAGTCTCAGAGTTATCTTTATTGGAGCAGTGTACGGATGTCGACCAAGAGCAGCGAACGTGGATTGCACGCCGGCGGACCAGGCAGCGTGGTATTTCAGGACGTCCCTGTTGACATTGGTGTTTTGGGCAAGTCCGAAGCAGGCCCGGCGCTGATATTCAGGACGTTATGCCACATAGCTGCTGGTGAAAGCGGTGAACACCATGGCCCGAGTAAGCGATCCTACTGTTCAGAGCTGGCCCAAGCCCGCCCCAGTGCTAACAGTAAACCTACCTCTGCTGGAAGCGCATCTGTACGGATTCGTCTGAATGGACGGAGTTTTTCCGTTGCCATAGATCTACCGACTGGCATATGTGTGAGCTTCGAGACGGACGACAGGCTTTCAGCTGTAGTTTGCTCCCAGAGCGTAATCCTGTGCCTTTCCTGCGTACCGGCGTTGAGTCGGAGGACCAAGAAGGGTGCCCGGTCATACAACTCGCGCTGCACAGATGCCACACTTGGGGGTTTGGTGGATACTGATGGCGTCCTCACGTCAGCTTTCCAGTACCGCTTGGATTTGTCCACCCGCGCAGAACATATGTCAGCAAAGCGACGGCTGCTGGACATTTCCAGGCAAGGCTCACGCTTTCGGCCGGTCGTCCGAGAGGTGGCGAACTGCGCGGAGACTGAGCCGTCGGGCATCGTGGTTACACAGTGCGCCGCGAGTGACTTTGCGCACCTGTGTCAAGTGAGTCACCGCACGCCAGCGGTTCTCGGCTCGGAATGTGATTTTGATGTGGCCTTTCTGCTGGAGAATCTGCTATCGCTCGGCATCATCCACATTTTTCAACTGTCCAGTTTTGCAAGTGTCCTACAGGCATTGCCGCCAACAGTTGCATGTCGTGCGTTACGACTTTTAGGCAGCCGGAAACCACGTGAGCTCAGCAATGGCCGTGAGCAAGTGGCATCGCAGCTGTACGCTTGCCTGGCTCAGCTTGAGAGCTGTGTACAACAGGTGCTGTCAGTCGGCCACAGTGCAAACAAACCCGCCGGCATGAACAGGTCACCGGCAGCTGCGGATGCTGCTGCACCGCAATCAAACGGCAACGGCACGCTTGGAACTGAGCTGGATCACACTACGGCGCAGTCCACTGCTCAGTCGCAATCTGACAATGCCAGCACTGAGGGTAGGACTAGGCCTGGCACCAGTACAGCTGCTGATGCTACTGCTGAGGATGATGAAATGACGTACATGATGTGTCGCAGGGTTTACGTCACGCCCCTAGCTATTCTCTGCGGCAATATCCAGCGCGAGCTGTCCAACCGTGTTGTGAGGAACTTCTGGCAGATGCGGGACCGCTTTGTGCGCGTGCATTTCTGCGACGAATCGCTCGCCGCGCTGAACAGGAGCGCGGCGGGTTTGGAGCGGGTCCGCCGTGTGATGACGGACGGATTTCATCTCTGCGGCCGTCATTACGAGTTGCTAGCCTTTTCCGCGAGCCAGGTAAACCACTAGTGCACTGCTGCACGTAGATTTATTAGTGTATTCAGGGAGTCTTTGGTGCTGTGGAGTTCAGGCAAAAAGCAATTTTGGCCACTTAGGCTGCTATGCAATACAGGTCAGATGTCTGTATTTCGTGACTGAGTGATCGTGTGCATTATTGTTCCACTGGATTTGTGCTAGGTAATCTAGGGTGATAGAGGCAGCACAGAAAGGTGAGCGAACATTAGGTGCGCATTCAAAATACGCTGCGCTAGCTGTCTGTTGTGCCAGGTAATCTAGGGTGATGAGACACCACAGAAAGGTGAGCGAACATCAGGTGCACATTCAAACACGCTGTGCTAGCTGTCTGTTGTGCCGCCTGTATTCCTACCTCCTACAGCTCAGAGACCGCTCGGCTTGGTTTTTCGCAAGGAGCGAGGGGTTCTGTGCGGCTGACATACGCGGTTGGCTGGGTGACTTCCGCCTCATTTCCAACCCAGCCAAGTACTTTGCTCGCCTGGGCCAGTCGTTCAGCGCAACACACACCACCAACAAGCTGGCCCGTCTCATAAATCGCTTTGAGCGGATACGAGACGTAACATCTCCAGATGGAAAGTATGTGTTCTCAGATGGTGTTGGCAGGATTTCACTGGAGGTAAGAACAGGCTTAGCCGAAGTACAAGAGTGCTTTTAGTTAGAACAGGACATTTGTGTGTGTTTAGAGAATAAGCGACCTCGAATTCGATTGTTGTTTGTTTTATTTTACATCACAAAACGGAACAGGCAGGCTTGCCCAATATTATGGTGGTTACCATTCAGTTGCATATTCTGACTGAGTATATGAATATCGTATTAGCAGAGTCGGCTTGTGCTGCTCTTGTTGTCAGTCAGTCTTGTATCTGGCTGGCTGTCCCGACACAAGCATTGCAGTGATACATGCAAGCTTGTACGCTTTTAAATTAACTTGAATGTCGAGCTGTGTCCATTTGGGCTGCGTTGATTGAAAGCCCAGCAAGCAGATTGAGGAAACTCCTATCCTTTGACTTTGTGTTGTTTTTGCTGCCTTTCCCCCTCATCAATCCGGCTCTTCTTGACCGTACAATGGCTGACAGTTTGCACGCAAGGCTGCCAATTCTCTGGGTGTTGGCAAGGATCAAGCCGTGCCTTCAGCATTTCAAATCCGATTCGGTGGTTACAAGGGCGTTGTCAGCGTCTATCCGAAGATGCCAGCCGGCGTATGTCTGCAGCTGCGAGCCAGTATGGATAAATTCCATTGCAGACATGACCAGTTGGAGGTAAGTGGCATCTGTCTTCTATTGCCTGCTATAGTATGTTGAGGCGATGGTGCTTCACGTTTTAACAGTGTGCGCTTTTAAAAAGGAACTGGCTCATGGTCTCTTTTTTGTCTTTGGAATTTGATTCCAAATTTGTAGCAGCAAGACTTCGATATGTTTTGTTCTAAGGTGAATATTCATGACTAAATCTAATGCTGCACACTACGTATTTCAACATTGTGCCAGGCATCGATACTGTGTCGTCTGTTTTGTACTGTATTGGATTGGTGTCTTCTGTGGTCCGTTTATCCTTTTCCGTGAACAAAGGTTATTCGGAGTGCTGAGCGGATGCCAGGCTTCCTGAATCGGCAACTAATCCTTCTGCTCTCGACAATGGGCGTACCGGATAGCGTGTTCATTCATTTGCAAGACAAGGTCATTAGAACGCTCAATCATGCTCGTCTCAAGAAAGAGGTGAGTTTTAATCCACTGTACAAACCCCTTCCCCACCCCTTCTTCATTAACACCCCCAAAGTATGCTCAGGATGTTGGTTTCATGATGAGCTGGTTTCCAGCAGAACGGCTGCCATTTAACATCATTATGGTGTGCGTATTGAACATTTCTTTTGTTCATTTGGCTTATGCGAAGGCTAGCCAAGCTTGCTAAGCTTGGTGATGCCAGCGCAAACAAGCATAATAGTACTTGTAGTAGTATAGTATTAGTAGTATTGAAGCTCGGTTGTGTTGTCTGCTTCTGGTGTGCAGTGTGCTTTACGCACGATCCGCTTCCACGGCTGCCACTTGCCGTCCACACCGCTGCACTGCCTGCAGGAGATGCTGGACAGTGGCGTGTCGCTGGCTGCAGAGCCATTCATGCAGAGGTGCCTATCCGCTCTTGCACAGATGACCATGCGTAGCCTGCGCTACCGATCACGCATCGCCGTGGAGAGCTCCGGCTTCTTCATGGGAATAATGGACGAGGAGGATGTGCTGGAATACGGCCAGGTAACCGATAGATGCCCGCGGTTACTGCGCTTACACTTATTTCGGATGCTAGGCAGTACATAGGAGCGATATCCCGGGAAGCGTCCTTTCAGTTCCTGTAGTGTAGTACATTGAGGATTCACTCTCTTGTACCTGTGTAGTATGGTAGGTTCTGGGCATCCCTTACAGTACTAGCGTGGTCCAGATCTCATGCACGGGTCCTGGCCAATCGAGGTCCAGTGAGCATTGTATGCGTACTAACTCTGCGCAACCCATGTGTACTGGCTCTGATGTACTGTATTTGCCGCGAGTATACTGTGAGTTTTTAGATGCGTTATTTCAGGCTCAAAATCACGTGTGAGTGTGCACTATACTCTGATAAAATGAAAATGTATGCAAGACGAGCATGAAACTGGTGCGGCGTTTGCTACCTCTTACCTAAGCCATATGCCAGTCGTGTATCTGAGGAGTCTGGGTAAGGCAGTTTGAGTGTGTTTCCTGTCTTGCTGCAGGTGTTCATTGCAGTCCGAGGCCACGAAGACAAACCCTCCATTGAGGTCATCACAGGTGAGTGCAGCTATAGATACTGACGCGATTTTTTAGATACAATAAACTTCAGCAAAAGCATCATGGACATAACATACACTGGATACAACATACTATGGATATACTTTTCTCTTCAGATAGTGATACATGTACTCTTTTGAAGCCCCTGTACCATACTCACTCGATTATTTGAGCTCATCGAAACAAGAGGTTTCTAGTAACGCATCCTGGATGTACGGTCACACTTGACTCTTGCCTACTGTGTTGCTCTACTGTAATGCGGTGTGGTTGTCTTCCGACTCAGGTCCAGTTGTTGTGGGAAAGAACCCGTGCTACCATCCTGGTGATCTGAGAGTGCTGCAGGCGATCGATCACCCGTCTCTCCGGCACCTTGTCGACTGCATTGTATTCCCACAGGTACGTGCTGTCAACCAACAACATGTTTTCAACAAAACAAGCTTTATTGAATACCGAGTACTACGTAGCTATTAATGTGGCTTATATTCCGATGGTCAAAGGAACCGTGAAATACAGGGTAGATGTCTGTATTTCGTGACAACAAATCTAGGTGTGGCTTATACTCCAGTGCGATTTATACTCCAGAAAATACGATACGTGTGTGTATATGTGCTTGTGTGTACGTGTGTGTGTGTGTGTGTGCATGCGTGTGTGTGTGTGTGTGTGTGCATGCATGTGTGTGTGCATGCGTGCATGTGTATGTTGCTGGTGCTAATGCAGCGTGGACCACGACCGCATCCGGACGAGTGTTCAGGTTCAGATCTGGACGGCGACCTGTACTTTGCTGCATGGGATGAGCACCTAATACCACCACGCGTGTTTGAGGCAATGGACTACACGCCACCTACGCCCATTGCCCATGCCACTGGCAACACTGTTGCCGACATGGCTGAGCATTTTGTGGAGTTTCTGAAAAGCGACATGTTAGGCGTCATCTCCAATGCGCACTTGGTTAGTTCATGCATTATCTTCAGGTTTTGTGTTATAACTGTTACACGTACATGTCTGTAGAACAGTAGCAGTTGATTTTCATCAGGGAGTCATAAAATGGTATTTATAATACGACACAACGCCCTGATTTTCATCCTGTATCCAGTAGTATTCATAAACGCGTGGGGTTGGAGGATGTGCTTTTGCGTTTGGGTACAATAGTTGAATGAGTTCGCATGAACACATGGTGCATTGCAGTGGCTGATCTCATCATGTGCTATAGTTGCTATGTCCAGTCATACACTATGCATGGTGCTAACTATGGAGAACAAGCAGGTCTGTACTCCAAGAAAGGGATTTGGGTGGACACACCCATTTGCCACAACACTGCGCATCCCAACCAGTTCCGCTACTTTACGTCTCCGACCTTTCGGCACTTGGTCATCGTCAGGTACTTCGGAGTAAGAGCAACAATGGTACTCCTCACTCAATAAGTTATTGTTTCATGAACGTTCGTCCTATTAAAAGTACCAGTCATCCAACATGTACTTATTCATATTTGCGCTGGCTGTTGTGCGTGTAGGCGTTGGCGGATAATTTAGAAAACGGAGCCTTATCAGCGGAGTGCTTGGAGCTTGCATACCTCAATTCACTGGCAGTCGACTACCCCAAAACGGGCGTACCAGCTGTGATGGGCCCTCACTTACGCGTTCAACAGTTCCCGGATTTCATGCAGAAAGCAGGTAAGTGAACACTCTGTATTCTTGCAGTGCTATACATCTTGTGGCATGCATAGTAAACTGTACATGTAGACTGCTGCTAGCATGATGTCATGTAACGGGAAGGTTGAAGCGGGACGGGCCATTGATCAGCCAGATAGATGACGCTCAGCATTGTTGTTGCTCAGCTGTGACTAGCCAGCGCGGCTACTGGCCATGCGTCATGAACAGGCTTTATCGCGAGCAATCAACTTTCTTACAAGTACATGTACTACTGTTGCCGAAATCACTGCCACTAGCTCAGAAAGCATCCATGTCAAACGTTACTGAAGTTGAATAGCAGCTCAAGAAACACGGTGCTGCATGTAGTACTCCAAGTACAATGGCCCCACACAATGTCTGTGTACTGATGTGTACTGATGTGTACTGATGTGTACTGATGCTTATTAATTTCCGTGGTTCTTGCACAGATGGCTTCAGGCGTGCCGTTTACCCGTCCAACAAGGTCCTGGGTCGCCTGTATCGTGCGGCGTGCACCAGCCAAACGGTCCTGGAAGCCGAGGAGCGAGCGTCCCCGGGGGCCCAAGCAGCGGGGAGGAGTAGTGCGGATTGCGAGCAGGGTGGCTTGCATTACCACTGCGATGATGATCTACTGGTATACACAATGTATTGTATGAGCTACGTACGGAAAGGTCTCGTCTTGGCATGAAACCTCTCTTTCAATGGTGGCCCGTTGCTGACCCCTCATTTTCGTCCGTTTTAAATCCAAACAGGCATTTCGGATATTTGATCATTCGGATAATTGGCGTTCGGACAATTAGCATTCTGCTGTACTCGTAAAATTAGAAACACCTCGCCATCTCACAAATTGTATTGTGTTATAAATCTGCAAGTACTTCTAGCTTTTGATTGAGGAAGTTCTAGCAGGGTTTATTTCCACTTTGTGTGTTCACAGATTGATGGCTATGCTAGCCACCTGACCGAGGCTCGGCGTGTCTTTCAAGAGTACCGTTGCCGTCTTCTCGTCTTCATGGACCAGTATGGCGTGAGCAGCGAAGCGGATCTGTTTGCCGGTGTGTGTGCCGGTGAAAAATCCCACGGCCGTGGCAGCGCTGGACAGCTGAGCAACTCCAAACAGTATGATATGCGGCGACATCAGCTCGCCGAGCTTTCGGCATACTTAGACCAAGTGTACAACAATGTATTCCTAGATCAATCAGCAGCTGAACATCCTGGTGGACATCTCGGCGATCCTGATTCGTGGCGTTCCCACGAGCAGTACTACCTGGAAAAGGCATCTGCATGGTATAAAGTTGGTTTGGAATACAACTTATCGCAGTACTCCCCCTCGTCCAAAGCCATGTGTCACTCGTTTCCCTGGCTCGCTCATCGGCAGCTATGTGCTCTGAAGCGCCGTAAGTTGATGCAGTCAAAGCTATTCGGCCGCTCCTAGTTCACAGGTTAAGGTGGTGTGCGTAGACATGGTATGGGCAAGGCTTTACTAGTATTCTCTCTAGCATGCCGCTGGCCCGGGCCAATGCTGTGCACTGTCTCCAGTCCACTTGACTCGTCCAGTATTACAAATTCAATGTAGTCTATCTCTGATCCTGGACCGTGTACCGTCATGTCAACGTGCTGGTTAAAGTATGTGCTTGTACAAGTTTCACTGTGGCAAGGTTTTAAATGCCCATGGCAAATGTACTGCCCGGCCCGCGCCCGTGTTCCAGACTTACCCCTATCCAGACAACAGTCTATTTTTACACTATTTGAAATTTATTTCCAAACTATGCTCTTTCTTAAAAACCAAGTTAACCTGCATTCATGATCCGTCCCACAGAATATTCAGATTGTACTACGGGTGGCGAACTCTGATTATATTTTACACTGGCATTTCGATTCAAGACGGAAAGCAGCATTCTAGGCCATCACATAAGTGGAATGGTGGAGTTAGCTTTTATTTTTTTAATTAATTTTCTGCGAGTCACAAGTTCTAGCAAACATTCCAAGCTGCCGTGACTCAGTCCTTGAGAACGTTGAGTTATCCTCGCTCTGCCCAGCAACATGCAATACAGTAGTTTTAGCCATTACAGTAGTTACCGTTATAGGATCATCTTGATACCATCATGCTTAGTCACAGCTTTTCAACATTTTAGTTTTAGCTTAGCTCGCCTTGTGCGGTGTAGTACTAGTCCAGTATGTCATTTTATCATTGCACTAGTCCCTTTTCCAGGATTGCAAATTTGGTTCCCGTCATAGGCGAAGCACGCGTTGGAATTTCTCAGAAATGTTTTGTTGCTGCTGCTGCTGCAGCTTGCGGTGGCGGTGTATTGTAGTCATTATGGCGTGGCGCATTTACTCTCTCCAGTCTATATTTTACTCACCTGCTATGCAGGTGGTGGTGCTGTGTGCCAGAACCGAATCACTTTTCTTAGTACTAAATGAGCCATTTCAATTCGTTTATATTCATTTTTCAACAACATTTCCTCTCTTCCACTTGCCGAGAACATCACAGACTGAGAAGGACAACAGTCAGGTATAGGCATGGTGTAGTTAGATCAGATGTCCTGCCATGGGTCACCGAGTCGGAGTGAGGGAATGGGCATAAAATATACCATGATACCCCTTTTGGTAGATTTCTCGGCACAATTATTGTACTGGTATTAGCAGATGGTCAGGCCAGGTGGCACTGTAAAACATGTAAATCTAACGGTTTTAACGAGTTACATTTCTTCGTTATAATAAGTTCTGTTGAGGCTGTAATGCCTCATATCAAGAGTAGATGTTTATCCTCATATCTAGAGTAGATGTTTATCTACTGGCTCAGGCTTGCTCATAATATGTGTCAGGTGCCGATTTGCCCGAAGACTGCAAGTTCGTTAACGTATCTTCTTGTTAACCTATGATTTTCGCACAATCGTTAAATTTGCGACTCGTTATAATAACTTGTCTTACAGTACATGGTAATGCGAGCATGCCTGCTTTAATTAAATACTTTTAAAAATGTACCGCTGCTTTAATATCAGTAGCTAGTACTATAATTATAAGTCTACAATGTACAGTCGACTCCGAGGCTGATCTAACGAACACTATTGTGCAGGAGAATTAGCCGAAGTTACAAGTGTAGTTTTAATTAACGAAAAGGGTTCGTTACAAACAGGGAGTAGTACAATATGTATAGTACTACTCCCTGGTCACAAAGGGTCAATTATATTCTTTTGTATGGGTTCAAACAAGAGTATAAATAATAATACTCTTGAGTCTTCATGGTCTTGGTTCAAACATGAACAAAAATTAATGTCATAGGCCATGGTTCGCAAAAAACCTCTTCGACATGTACCGACAGGGCCTGTAAGGGGGGGGGGGGGGGGGGGTGGAAGGCGATTTTGTTGTTGTTGTGTTTATTTTAATTCGCAAACAAAAGTTCCAAACGGACAGATATATCTGCCCAATGAAAAGGTGGCGAATGCAGATAGAAAGCAGTTCACTTTCTGGCACTTGCCTTAGCACACGAAATGATTCGCTATGCGAGTTCGTTATCATGGTTATGACTGACAGCAAGAGTTATATCAAGAGTAGATAAACAAGAGTGTGCAACTCCGGATCTCTCCTGCACAATCTGCAGATACCCCCGCCCACGGCGGAATTTTTTGTTGACGTCACCTTTTTTCAGAGAAACGCGGACTTTGCCGCGCAGAGCAGTGTGAGAGCACGTGCTGGGCACAGACCTTGTAGTGTAAAGCCCGGCCAAGTGCACGAGGGAAACCTCTCCAAAAGGCTCGCAGCGCGTGCGTCGTCGAAAAGATTACGTCAACAAAAAATTCCGCCGTGGGCCAACCAATCCGCGAGTTGCACACTCTTGTTTATCTACTCTTGGTTATATCCATATAAAAATCGCTCTGTGAGCGGTTCTGAAAAACCTTTACTGGTACTGCCCCGTCGTAAAAATAAGAAATTAGAACTGGAGCATTGTCCCCCAAATGCGAACAGATCCACCTAAATCGCGAATGACGGGACCCGAACGCACCAGTAGCACGAGGTCGGGAGGGCACAGGATCACATCAATTATCATAGGGTAACACCACCACTACTATAGTGCAGTGCATTGCACATTGTATCAGTGGCAGTGTATTGCTAGTACACGTACAATTATCGACGACCATGGCCTATGGTCTGGACCAACGTCCCCATCTGCATCCACAGCTAGGAACCTCGTGCTACTGGTGCGTTCGGGTCCCGTCATTCGCGATTTAGGTGGATCTGTTCGCATTTGGGGGACAATGCTCCAGTTCTAATTTCTTATTTTTACGACGGGGCAGTACCAGTAAAGGTTTTTCAGAACCGCTCACAGAGCGATTTTTATATGGATAATTTCAGTTCTTTTTCCGTTCCCTCCCCACCCCAACCCCGAAGGTGAACATGATGAGCACGCGCGCGATGTACTGTATGTAGCCATGAGACTGCAATAACACGCTGATACATACCAGCCCTCCCCACCTCGCTACCCCGCACACAGATGCACAAACACGCGGGTGCACACGGCACACGCATGTGGCCACGCACACATACGCACATGCACACGACACAAACAGGAAATTCTTCATGTATAATGCCATACAAAGCAGTGGCCACCGTACTTCAGGAAGTCAGATGTGAAACAAAATAATTCAACTACAGTCAACTTCGATAATAACGACTGCGGATATAATGACAATTCGCGAACAACGACAGAATTTCCATGCCCAGAGCAAAGTCCCATCCAACTGTAATACAATCATATAATGGGACTTCGGGTATAACGACACTTCGCGAATAAGGACACTTTTCTGATGCCCGGCCGAGTATCGTTATACGTGAAGTTGACTGTAAAATGTGTAAACAAGCTGACGGCCAAAGCACAACATAGCAAACATGACATTTGCTCAAGGATTGCAGTTTGCAGACCACGCCATGGAAGCAGCGAATACAGAATGTAATATCATACAAAGTGACAAGCAAGGAAGTGGCCACCATACACCAGAACCTTGCAGAAAGTCACATATCCAACAGATAGAGAAGTGAACAGCAATCTGGTACAGCCCACACCAGACAAAGCTGACCTGATACTCGTCCCAGGATCGTAAGTGGCAGATCCTTTTCAATGCATAACATGCAGGTGTACGTTACACGCATGGACAAAATCTGACCGTGTCGCCAGCACACAATGTCATCACAAGTATACCCCACAACTTACACACATGCACAGTAGAAGCACAATGAAAGCAATGGAAAAGTACGATGTGGTTGCTGAAGCATCTTCACACTTCAAATTCAGACTTCAATGTGGTCGTCACAGGATGATATACCTGCAAGATACAAGTGATGCAGAAAGAAAGCCGAAGGTCGTGAGGTAGGCTATGAGACACCACAAACGGGTCACCTACATGTATGTTCAGGGCTAGTGCACTCACACGCAGAATTATCATATTCGAGCATTTCCCAAACTGAGAAGTGCAATGAAATCCACTTGCATGCAGAGGAGCAATTTTGCAGTGTGATGCGTAATTCGACACGATCTGCGATGCTGCGTGCGATGCAAACTCGCGCAAAATATCATTCACGGAATGACTGCAAGAGGTCAGTGATGCAACAACGCCCTGCTGACATGTGTCTCAAAGCTCAATAAGAATGCGTTTGTCACCATGGCACTCGCATAGCCGGTACAACTGGTACAAATGTGCAAGCAATTCATGAATCTTTCGTCTCGCCTCCTCAGATAACCACTGCAAGGCTGCGACGACAACCTTCGGCCTGACAAGGTGCTTCCAGGCAATCTTCGCACTGGTTGGTACACAGTTCACTATGATGTTTGTATTGTCAGCACACAAGTCATGCATGAGACGCGGGTTGCCGTCAATTGGCAATGGAAGGTGGAGTATTTTGTTCTTGGCACCATACTCGCTTTGAATGCGGTCGACTGCCATGCTTTGTGTCTAGCTTGTAACATGTCTGGAAGGGTTCCACTTTTTGAATGAGTAATTTTTCGAATGAGTTTAGTCGCGACAAGCACTGGGGTACAGGGTCAAGGTGCAAGTCATTGAGAACGCAAGATGGCGGCATGCTGTCTTTCTTCACGTACAGTTTGCAAACCCTGGAAATGAACATGGCGTCTGTAGCGTGCGACTGTACACCATTAACTATTGGCAAGATATACACACACACCTTAAACGTAACGAACTACAAGAATAGAGTGAGTACAATGCGCTGTCGACCTGATAACGTGTTGGAAGATAACAGGTCTACCGTCCCACCTAACCGTACCCTTCATCATTCCTCATTCACCATCGCGCGATACCATGGCACACCCTGGCAACATATCAAAAGAGATGCCTTACCATCGTCTAGAGGGGACGTCTTCGCAGCAATGTTTTTCGTCCTGCGCATTCAGTCCGCCGACGCGACAGAGTTTACGGGGCCGTTCCAGTTGAAGAAGACATTCGATTCATCGGGCCAGTGCAGCAACAGGGCCGTGGGCACACAGGGGCAGAGGAAAGACATTGTGAGTGGACAAGAAATATGCAGTGGCAAGTGCCATGAATGTCAAGTTCTCATTTCTGAGCTATTACTTACAGTCCTGCCGTTGCTCGCTCGTCCTGATTCCTCCTCTTTCGTCTGCGTCCACTTCTGCCGTTCTCCTCCCCGTCACGGCGTCAGGTCAGTGCATTCTCATTAATTTCTCAATGGCACTTTTCGGGATGGGGGTACCGGAAGGAGTTCGCACGATGCCTCCAAAGGCCTAGAGCGGACGTCTTTGCAGCAATATTTTTCGTCGGCGGACGGGACAGCGTTTACGGGGCCGTTCCAGTTGCAGAAGACATTCATCAATGGCACTTTGCGGTACGGGGGTACCGGAAGGAGTTCGCACAATGTTTCCAAAGGCCTAGAACGGACGTCTCTGCAGCAATATTTTTCGTTCTGCACATTCAGCCCGCGGACGCGACAGCGTTTACGGGGTCGTTCCACATTCATCGATCATCAATGGCACTTTGCGGTACGGGGGTGCCGGAAGGAGTTCCCACGATGTCTCCAAAGGCCTAGAGCGGACGTCTTTGCAGCAATTCTTTTTGCCCCGCGCATTCAGTCCGCCTACGCGACAGCGTTTACGGGGCATTCCAGGTTGAGAAGACATTCATTAATGGCACTTTGCGGTACGGGGTACGGAAAGGGGCCTCCTCGTTCGACTTCGTCGACTTCTGCAGTTCTCCTTCCCATCATATCAGGGGTACCGAAAGGGGCCTCCTCGTTCGTCTTCGTCGACTTCTGCAGTGCTCAACTATTTCGCGTACGCGACATCGACGTTTACCGAGTGGCATTGGTACAAAGCAGACCGCTGACGGGGTCAAGTGTCAAAAAAGTATCAACAACGTGTCGGCTACGTGTCGACCACGTGTATAGCGGTACACTCAGCGGTACACTAATTCTCGTGCCATTCTCGTGTCACAAAACTGGAACATCGAGTACCAGTATGGAAAGGCTTCAGACAGGAAGCCTTTCCAATCTGGTTATGGACTCTTGCTGACAGTCTGAGACTGTGGTGTACCGGAGCTAGCAGCTGCTGCATGCTCACGTGCGGTGCTGCATCCCGCCAGCCGCGCCGCCACACTCGTTCGCGCGCTATGTGCGTGGGCGCGCTAAATCAAGCTGGGCCAGCTGACCGCGAATTTTTCAAAAATGCATGGTGGAGAAAAAGGAAAAAATTATTATGATTTGATTTGTTCTGTTCTGTAGACAAATTCATTGAGTCATTTGACAATTTCCACTGAGAATGTTCTGACCGGAAGACGTTTTGGAATTTCATAGGAAATTTCTAACGTCCACCCTGCTATCCTCTTGGACTAATTCCGTTTGGAACCTCCAGGGCCAGTAAGCCTGGGTAGGAGCAATATGCGCAGCCAACTATGGATTCTGGTCACATCAGCGTTCTATGTATTTACCTCATCAGTCTCTGGCGATAGTGGCAGCAGCAGTCCGTACAGGCTGAATGTGCCCCGGTTATTACTTCCTTACACACCAAAAGCCGCCCACCATGTAACATACACCCTAGAAGCTCACTCTGGCTGCTACGCTTGGTAAGACTTATGGTGTTGAAATAGAGAGTGTGGGACCTGTAACAAAATTCAAGTAGTACCTCCTTCAAACTGATGATTTAGTTGCGGAGACATACTAATTAAAGCCATATCTGCTCCAGGTTCCGCAAGGGATAGTGTACTAGTTTAGTAATTCTACTATGGGTTACTACAGGGTTATACCAAGAGTAGATAAACGAGAGTGTGCAACTCCTCACCTCTTCTGCACTATCTGCAGATACCCGGCCCACGGCGGAAGTTTATTTTGACGTCACCTTTTCAGAAATCACGCGCATTTTGCCGCAGAGCAGTTTGGGAGCACGCGCTGGTCACTGACCTTGTAATGTAAAGCCCGGCCAAGTGCACGAGGCAAAAACTTCCCAAAAGACTCGCAGCGCGTGCGTCGTAGAAAAGATTACGCCAACAAAAATTTCCGCCATAGGCCAACCCATCCGCGAGTTGCACGCTCTTGTTTATCTACTCTTGGTTATGCCCAGACCATCTCAAGCTTTCAGCCGTGTGTTGAATTTTTGTCGGCTCAGTTAAGCAAAGCAAGACACACCCATGAACTTGTTGGAAATCAGCCGTGTTTGCACCATGCATGTGTTAATTAGTAGATGTTATTGGTGGATATATCTGGGTTATAACCTTTCTTCAGTGTAATCAACGGCCATTGCATATCGATAAGCCCACACCTGTCGTGTGCAAGCATATGGTTCAGTTGTATAGCATGCAGAATTTATCCGTTCCCTGTATAGAATTGGCAATGAACATTTTTCACTTGCTGGATAACTTACGATTGGAAGCGGGTTTTGTTTTTATTTGTGTTTCCCCTAAGTCCATGCTAAAGCATTTCCAAGTTCAACTCAAGTAAGGCATACTGTAGAGGCAGACAATTTCGTCGGTCAATAATTTCGTCCAACTCCAAAGAAAGGGAGTTCGTCCGGTTGAAAATTTCGTCCATGGATCACAAGAGTGTATTGAAAAACTGGACAAATCGACATTAGTCCGGCATTTAATTTAGTCCAAAAGATCCGTGGACGAAAAAGACGAAATTAAATACCAGACGAATATTTCTGCTTGTACAGTATATTCAGGCATGGGCTTCATCGTTATTCCAAGAATGCCATGCATGTACAGTCGTCCCTCTCTAATCCGGCACTTTATAATCCAGCACCCTCGATAAACCAGCACAATTTTCAGTAGCCAAAATGTCCTCTTCATGCACATTGCAGCAGTAAATCAGATTTGTTAATCCAGCACCCTCCCTAATCCAGCAGATTTTCGTGGCACAAATGGTGCCGGATTATAGAGGGACCACTGTATATGCCCTACACTTGTACATGCACAAGATGGCCTGCCACATTGCTGCTGCTGCACACACACACACACACACACACACACACACACACACGTACGCACACACACACACACACACACACACACACACACACATACACACACACACACACACACACACGTATGCACACACACACACACACACACACACACACACACGCACACACACGCACGCACGCACATATGCACGTAAGTAAATAGACTTGCTGCAGTCCGATGATGTGGCATGAGCAGTGTAGCGCAGCCATGCACCTGCTGCTGTAGATGCTGTAGATGCACACCACGAGCACACCACGAGCACACCACGAGCACACCACGAGCACACCACGAGCACACCACGAGCACACCACGAGCACAGCTGGTCAGATTCATGCAGCTGTTGTCGATGGCACCACAGGAAACCATTCAAGACTACACAGTGTTAATTTGTAGTGAACCTCCTTGATTGTGTTGGCAATTATTGCATGACTTGATTGTGTACATGATTACTGTAAGAAAGCAAACTTCCACCATGTAGGCAAATTTGTCCTTACGGGAATATGGCGCCATTTGTAGGAGACAGTAGCTTGGTAGGGTTTGTTTCAGCGACGAAGCAGGTCCATCTTCAACGGTCACCAAACCTGTGTGGACTGTCGAGTTCATAGATCATGGTCTGCACTTGTACCAGCAAGCATTTGTGTAAGTGTGTGTATAATTGTTGTGTTCTGATTTTCCGTAGGACATCCGCACATCCCGATGTTGCTTCCGTCACACCCATCGCCGATGGTGAGTCCTGTGCAGTACTAGTACCACCCGTTCCTGTATCACTCTTGTGTGTGTGTGTGCGTGTGCGCGCGTGTGTGTGTGTGTGTGCGCGTGTGCGTGCTCCCGCTTGTGTGTGTGTGTGTGTGTGTGTGTGTGTGTGTATGTGTGACTCTCCCCTCTCCCAAGGCGAGACCCAGTTTCTGATGCTGAGCAAGTATAAGCACACGCTTGTGTGTGTGTGTGTGTGTGTGTGTGTGTGTGTGTGTGTGTGTGTGTGTGTGTGTGTGTGTGTGTGTGTGTGTGCATTTGCATGCGTGGTATTGGAGCAATGCGGATTTTAGTCTTGGTGGTGATCAGCACACCAGTGGATGTGTATTTACTATTACCTTGATATGTACGTGAACAGTATTGATTCAAATGTCAAAATGAATGCACAATTGTCAAAATGATAAGTATGTTTTCATATTGATAGTTGATTATGGTACCGGTAGTGTGCGTGGAACCTGCCAGTGTCCTGGTCTAAGTACAATCATGTAACATTCCTTCTTCCCTTTTTCACTCTAGATGGATCATCAAAACAGGGCAGCTGTTCTTCAAAAGCCATTGTGCGTTCTGAGTCCCTCTCAGCAGGCTTTCGCACTACGACCATCATTGCCAGAGAGATAGGTACTGCAGGTGCTGTGTGTGTGTGTGTGTGTGTGTGTGTGTGTGCTTGTACGCATGTGTGCATATGCACAACGTGTACTTGCCGTATGGTAAAACTTCGCTGCCAAGCTTCATTGTTGCTGAGTTATTTTCCCAGCGTATGCAGTACGAGTATGCAGGTTTGCTTGATGCTTATTCAACTCTTAACATCCTTTCTTGTTTCTACTGCTCTTGGCTACAGAGCTTGGTCTGGAACTTCGATGTGTTGTGGACGTGGCAAGCATCTCCAAAATCTCCATCAGCACTGTTCGTCGTGAGGTGTACGTTGATGAAGCCCCAGTAAAGATGGGTGTCCGCGCGTGGGATGAGAAAGGTACATGTCACACGTCACATGTCGTAGTTACTTCAGTTGCGCTTGCTGAAATCCGACCCAGACTCCAGAGTGCATATTTGGCGCTCTCAACATGCGCGGCCCCTTGACGCCCTGGTAGTGGTACGAATGCGGCTGGACGTACACATGTACAAATAGTCAAATACAATGATGTGTAATCGGAGCAGGTCCAGGGTGCCAGTTCTGCACGTTGTGTTGGATTTCAGTGAGCGCATCTATAGTAGTTTCTAGTGTGCAGGCAAGGACACGGTGCCAGCCAGCTGGTGATCTACCGTGTGTACGGTATAGCAGCAAAAAATTCATGGTTCACGTGAGACTCAGCTGGAGGCCGAGTTTAGTTTTTCGCATCCTCAGGAACGCCACCACCCTCTAGGATCAAGGCAGGAACACCACCACCCTCTAGGATCAAGGTAGGAACGCCACCACCCTCTAGGATCAAGGCACAGATGCAGCTCCTAAAGCGGTGGGAGGTGACTAGATCAGACCCAGCACAGAGCAAGCAAACAGCAAGGCACTAGCTAGGTATTCAGTGTGGATGCTCATGCTAAAGGTGTCACCTATTGTAGATTTGTTCGCATTATCACCATGCTGCTACCTACCATTACCTACCTACTATTATGAAGTTGTATGACTTGGTGGTGTTTGTATGAGATTATGTGCCCTGCTTCTCACGTTTTAGCATCCCCACCTCGGCTTCAGTAGAGATGTTTTGCAGGGCAAGACTTCACATTGATTTTCGTCTTTGGGCATGTGAAAATTATTGCGAATGTTCGCGCGAAGTTTTTTTTGGTTTTGCATGATTTTAGTTCCAAGGAAGCTCGAGATGCACGAAACTTCCTGGAAAGGTTCGGTGCGCGCTTCGTTCAATTTTCGCGTTCCAAGTTGTGAACGTTCGCGCGAAGTTTCTTTTTTCATGACGTCAAACGAAAGTTCGCGCGAACGTTCGCTCTACAAAACCTCTGTACTTTCATCTCCTTCTTCCCTCTTATAGTTGATCCCGGCATCATAGAGCCTTCTTTTAGGCTGCGTTTGTGTCTCTAAGAGAAATCTGCATTATTTCGTTGGGAACTGGAATCTCTTGTCTACCTTTAGGCCGGCGAGGCGGCTGCTTGTTGCGAGTACCAGTGTACATGTGCATGCAGTCATGGGCAGCGTTGTGGTCACATGCAGTCCTGTCGAGCAGAGTAGTGATGTGGTATTGAGCGCTGTCAGCACACTGGGTGCATCCTGCAGTGATCCTATATAATAAATTAATAATTGTTTGCTGGTGATTTCGTCCCAAGCTTGAATACAAGATCTTTGTCAAAATGTCGAGCTGCATTCTTCTTTCTTCTGTGTATTTTTGTTAGGTAACGTGTTCAGTCGCCTGACTGGTTTCATCTTTGAGTGGACATTGTCGAAGGCTGACAAATCAGAGGGTGCTTCTGACCCCCAGGCCATTGCAAGGTAGGTGACTTTCGCCCACTGTAACGTTAGTTTGGCAGCGTGAGCCGCTGCCCACTGGCATTCCTAGTACATGTACCTTGATATTAGTAGTTATTTAAAATGTCAACAGCAACTTCTGTCCGTGTTGACCTTTCCACCACTGTTCACTTTTCACACTACATGTACATAGTACTGTATGCAGAGTGTTGGCTGGACACAATCCATGTGCTGGTGTTGTATGGGGTAGGTGATGGTATCCAGCACTGATAGCTGTTCTGGCATTAGTGTGTACATGTACTTTGCTGAGCACTTTCGTCGCGCATGGTGCATAATGGGGCAGTATTGCCAGATGCTTTCTGTTTGTCAATTTTATTTCCGTGTTGTCTGATTCTCTTGGTTGGGAAATCTTCCGTCTTATCTCTCTGTATGTTCACTGTGCGCTGTGTGCAGCTTCGAAACATTTGATGAGTCCCAGTACGAGGGTGAGGACCTGATCGTTGAGCTTGAAAGAAAGGTACGTCTGCACTCTCAGGTTTCGCTCTGGACTTGTTTTTCTTTCCTGTGGTGAGAGGGGTGTTTCTCGGAGTGAGAAATCCTCTTACAGCGTTGTTAATTTGAGAAGAACTGTTAATCTGCACCGTGGAGTAGCAGAGTGTCGGTATTTTGCTACTCCCTGATCTGCTTGTGACTGAAAGGGAAGATGGCCCCATCCCATCCACCGCACTGAAATGATATGCACACACGGTGGTAAGGAAGCATGCCGTCTGCTGCTTCTTACGGTAGTAAGCTATGCCCTTCTTTATTGGGCGGATGGAGAAGGTGTTGTTTGAGTGGAAATTTATTGGTAGCACGTCATACGATACAGCTTTACATTGTTTTGCCTCGTATATCCCATCACACTTTCAGGGCCTGCGTGGAGATGAAGTACTGCTCGAAGGCCTTAGCGTGGGTATCGTGCGTGTGAATGCTCGGCTGGTGAACAGCGCATGGAAGGTACGTGCATATCCGGTTTTCAGTAATTGCCATGACATATGCACCTGATACTAAATCATGCCACAAACTGGTGTATATCTGATCACTGGCCCGCTGTAGTCCAAAACGAAACAGACATGTAGTTATTGAACGAGAGGGGGGAGGGGGTGGAGGGGAGGGTTAGTACATACCGGTAGTCATAGAGAACGAACTTTTGGTCGCCGTTGTTTGGCGGATGTGTGTTCAAGAGCTACTCCTCTGGAAACTCTAGTCACACCCCCAACATGCAGCACGTGTTAGAGAATCGATATACATGTAGATAGACACCTGCATCTGCGCTGGTAGATTCTTCATACTTGGCAAACTATTGTACTGTACTGTCGGTCGAGAAGAACTGTGGGGTCAGCCTCCGAGCCTAGACCGTTCTTATTGTCATGTACGGTACAGTCTACTCCGTTCTTCGGTGCTCCGTTCTTCGGTGCTCCGTTCTTCGGTGCTCCGTTCTTCGGTGCTCCGTTCTTCGGTGCTCCGTTCTTCGGTGCTCCGTTCTTCGGTGCTCCGTTCTTCGGTGCTCCGTTCTTCGGTGCTCCGTTCTTCGGTGCTCCGTTCTTCGGTGCTCCGTTCTTCGGTGCTCCGTTCTTCGGTGCTCCGTTCTTCGGTGCTCCGTTCTTCGGTGCTCCGTTCTTCGGTGCTCCGTTCTTCGGCGCTCCGTTCTTCGGCGCCCGACAGTACTGTAGTGTGTCTTTTTGAAAACGGTTTGATGCGATGAGATTGGAAGTTTTTATTGTGGTATCAACAATTCAACGTTTCAAATCTTTGTGACTTTATTTTCACTCTTCTTGATGTTGTTTACTTCTTTTTGGTCGGTTGTGCTGGAAGTGTATTGCATCCTTCTAAGTGAAACGTCTGTGCTGCTGCTGCTGCTGCATCGGACGTAACTGTACTGCATCAGACGTAACTGTACTGGATGTACCCATGTGTGCTTGTTTCATGCTCAGCGTGTCTCGGCCGCTGAAAGTGACCTGTTGGTCGTGGAGAATCTTCAGTTGTTGCCTTCTTTGGCTTACATCATGCCGGGAGCCCATGTTCACTACTCGGTGGTGAAAGTCACAGCCACCGGCGAGTTTGGTAGGTGCTCCTCTTGTTCTGTGTCAGTGCATGTATCTATCTATCTATCCTCTCAACCCATTATCCATGGTCATAGCAAGGGACTTGAAGAAGTGACACGTTTTGCTCTTGCAGGAGATGTCTGTTTCCACAGTTCTTCTAGCCGTTCCTTATGGCGATAGTGCGGGTAGAACGTTCAGTGAAGCAGACGTGCACAGAGTGGATTACGCAGTCGGTGTTTTCTTTTGTGTGTTCTGAGGAGCTTAGGTTTGTGTGTCTGTGCCAGCAGTCCATCAATGTCTGCCACGTTGCAGCACATTGATGGATCTGCGGTTCCTAGCTTATCTTATCATGTTGTCGTTCTTCATGGCGTCTCCCATTATTGTCTGTGCGTGCATCGCATTTTGCAGCTCAATCAGAAACCAATGGCATCTGAATACAGTTCTGCTCATGGCATGGACTACCGGTATTTAAATACTTCGAATCGTTTCTCTTGCTCTGTTCTCTATGTGTGTGTGCGTGTATGCAGACATCAAGATGCCGTGTGAGCAGTACGAGTTGACGCTGCTGAACAAGACGGTGGGGAAGCTTGACCTGTCCCAGAGCCTGGTCACTGGTCTGCAGTTGGGCTCTTCCAAGCTTCAGCTGTCCATCCAAAGTATCCTCCCTCTGTCATGAGCGCGTACAGGATTTCGTGTTCGTTCTCTGTTTTCTGTTGTCATGAGTGCGTACAGGATTTCGTGTTCGTTCTCTGTTTTCTGTTGTCATGCAATGAGAGTGTGGTGCCAAGGGCTCATGATCAAAGGCTGTGTGATGAAATATTGGCCAGGATTGGAACTGTAAAGCACAATCAGCTGGCTTGTGCCGAGAAATAAAATCCACGAGAAGCTTGCAGATTGGATAGTGGTATGGAAATGATCATGGACATGTTATCATCAGTAGCTGTGCGAGGGACCAACACTATATGGCCCAACATGTGTTTAGTGTATTGAGTTTGCTTGGAGTTTCCTTAACTCTGCTGTCTTCCACTAGACATGCCATCACTCTCTGAGCGCTACCACAAGGCTGCTGACTTGCACGTTGTTCTACCTGCTTATCTACGTGAGTTGGACATGTAGCATCATTGGAAGAGTTGTGTGTGTGTGTGTGTGTGTGTGTGTGGAGATACAAGCATGAACAACGCAAATTGGACTGTTGTGGAGCGCCTTCATCTCGTCATTTACATCCATCATGATACTGACGCGTGTTCCCGTCAGAATGTGTTTTCCTTGTGTTCATGGGTGATGTTTGACTTGTGCCTGGTTGGTTGTTCACTTGTGCCTGGTTGGTTGTTCACTTGTGCCTGGCTGGTTGTTCACTTGTGCCTGGCTGGTTGTTCACTTGTGCCTGGTTGGTTGTTCACTTGTGCCTGGTTGGTTGTTCACTTGTCTGTGCATTGTAGAAATCAACATCCACACCGGGTCCTGGGTGTTGGAAGTGGGCCGCCTCTACATCATCACTGTCACTCTGTTTGACAGCGGGGACAACCAGCTGCTCATCACTGATGTAAGTAGGGGTAGTGTGTGTACACCTGTAGACTGTACACGGTGACTGCTTAGTACTTACCAAGATGCTGTGGAGGCACTAGTGGTTCGACATTGGATATGGGAATCACCTCCAGTCAGCCATGCAAACCTATTGTACATGGTATGCGTGCAAACAATTCTTGTTGAGGACTGTGCTTGTTTGTGTTTAGTTTGATTCTCGAGCAATGGTATTGGCAGTGCAATGCTGATTATTGGTGTTTTTGAGTGCCTGTTGGGGGAGGGAGGGAGCTTTTGTGGTACTTCTGACCCTGGTGGGCGCCACCGTATGTTGCTCCGATAAGCAAAACAAACATGTCCCAAATATTGTTCTAAACCTAGATGGAAATGTAATTCGTATAGTCAATAGAAGATTGATGAGCTCACAAGTGAAGGCAGCACTACAGTAGTGATGTAGTCAGTGGCGTACTTGTTTGGCTATGGTGGCAAGGAGTTCCTGAAATTTGGGCAGCGTCTCATTAAAGACGCGGTGCTCTTCGGCAATGGGCTTTGTCTGAAAAATTGGCTCCGTATGACCCCAGTTCCTGAAGCCTGTAGTGGTCAATGACAGCATTGTGCATCTGTGAGCTCTACTAGTTGACAATTCTGGAGTGGCAGTGAGCCTGTTGGCGTTCCACTTGGGACTCTAGCAAACGGATCCGGGCGGCCGCGTCTTGGATGCTGTTGGTCTCCGACAGCCCAGGACATGCCGCCTCTGCACTTGCAGCACAGCGGGTTCTTTTGAAGGCAGGCACAGCTCTGTGTTCATCTAGCACAGACTAGAGCTGGATCACCAGGAACACCACGCATGTTCGGCTGACCTGCACCGTATCTCGAGTGCACGGAGCATGCTCTGGCTACTGTGGGCCATGAGGTCGAGCAGACAGCAGTTTCATTGCTGCTGCTTACCTTTTCATTTTGAGATTTTGCAGGCTGCACACGCGTATTATTATTTTGTATATCCCGCACAACCGAAAAAGGATGAACTCAGGCATCAGATGTGAACATCACAGAAACTACTCTGCGTGCTGCGTGCTGCGTTTGCGACGGTACTGACTGCTCGCACTGCTCCACGTGCTTGCTCTGCTCTCAGATCGTCCCAGGCGAACACACCCTAGGTGTACACGGTTGCCTGCGTTAAAACCGGGGTTAGAAGTCACCCTTGTATATTAATTTTGATTTGTGTATCAAACTGTGGATGTCCCTTCATTCACCCAGCCTTGTGCTGGCTAGGTTGGTGACAACGTTACAGATAGGGTAATTGTCTGTGGGGGTTTTCTCTGCTTTGCCTTGTTATTGTGCAGAACATGCGCCTGTCCACTCAGCTCTCGTCCTACTTTGACGACATTCTCTTTGCATCGGCCAACGGGTCGTATTTCCATGCACGTGCAGTGCGCGCAGGAGTCACCACCATCAAGTCCAACTTGACCGGCGTCGAGGTAACTGTCACCAACCGTCAACCGTATATCTTGACTAGATTGCTTGGAGCAATTGGTTGGTATATTGACGTTGTAGATAAAGTGGAATTTGAGTGTGATGTGTCAGCAAGAGCCACGCATCTTTGCTGTTTGAGTGCATTTCTGTAACGCAAGTTCTTTATGCAGGTTAAATGGCAGGAATAGCGTATGCCCGATGCTCTATACACACAGTACTGTGTGCACGTATCCGATACTACAGTTGTAGACAACAGTACAGTGTGTGTTATATACAGGTACAGTACTGACTGGTCTTTATGCGGGTGTTTCACTATTGCACATGTATGCATAGTTACAATACTCCTGAATGTCCTGATTGGGCAGTCGTACAGCCTGGACATGCACATGTAGCAACGCGTTACAGGTTTAGAAGGCACGGCCATTGCGTTTGCGCAGTCAAACTGCAGCCTGGTTGTTCATGGCCATCTGTCTGGCCTGGTGCTGTTCAATCTTCATATGTTGCACCAATTTGTACATGCCACCCTTACTGCGTGTGCCAGTGCTCATTTTGGAAACTGCTGTAGAATTTCCATCCCTTTCTACTACTAGTTTCTAGTGACGGTACATGAACCATGAGTGCATCTAGCCTAGTGTGTGTTTAGAGGAGACCTGTAAGTTGTACAAAGTAAGACTCTGGAGCCCAAGAGGCAAGAGAATCGTGTGCAGAACAAAGTAGAGTATTTGTTGATGTGCGTTTGTTTTGTCACATTTTTGTGTATTTCTCATGTCATCACACGTTTTTCCCCAGAATAAGCTAACTGGCGAGTTTGTTCCGCTGGCCACACCAGTGCATCGTAGCCAGCCTGTCGACATCTTCAATCGCATTGACCTGCAGCCTGATGTCCTGGCCTTCCCCTGGCACCCAGAGCAACCGTTCCAGTACAATTATCCAATGAAGGTATGTGCAAGGAGTAATGATTATTTCTGCCGCACAACACCGGTGCTTGCTAGGCATGAAATCAAGTGACTGTATGTGTGTTGTGTTGGTGTTACGTCACTCAGGCGCTTGCGGATAATAGTGACTGTATGTGTGTTGTGTTGGTGTTACGTCACTCAGGTGCTTGCGGATAATAGTGACTGTATGTGTGTTGTGTTGGTGTTACGTCACTCAGGTGCTTGCGGATAATAGTGACTGTATGTGTGTTGTGTTGGTGTTACGTCACTCAGGTGCTTGCGGATATTCGATAAACCATAGCATGTAGTAACTGTTACTAGTTAGTGTGTTAGTGTGTTAGTATGTTAGTATGTTAGTGTGTTAGTATGTGTATTTCATACTAATACTGCAGAATACACCTACCTCAAGGGTCATGTGGTGATTATTCTTCCTTTTTTGTTAGGTTGTCGGTGGTAGTGGCCAGTTTCGTTGGGGCTGCCAAGAGACAGCAGTTGCCAGGATTGATGGCCACGGTGTATTGACGTCCATTGGAGCAGGTATCGCCAGGCCCAAAGTCACTGACGCAAAGAACAGCTTGCATTTCGATGTGTCCACCGTAAGTCTATAGGACCACCCTGGTCTACTGGACTACTGGCCCTGGCCAAGTCTCCCTGAGTGAGTGAGTGTGCGTGTGTGTGTGTGCGTGTGTGTGTGTGTGTGCATGTGTGTGTGTGTGTGTGTGTGTGTGTGTGTGTGTGTGTGTGTGTGTGTGAGGCTGGTTGGTAAAATAACTCCAATTTCACTTCAAGGTACCAGTGCATCTAGTGTCTGCTTTTATCAAAGCAGCGTGCTGTCTATACTGGTTACCCCAGCAAGTGTAGGGTGTGCATAGGTAACTGTCTTGGCCGTCCTATTCCGATGTACTTCGTGTGGTGTAGACCAGGTGTGCATTGGGGGGTCGATTCACATGGCTTCGCCAGTTGTGTGGATTAGACAGTTATCTGGCGCTTGTCTTGATCTGTTTCAATCAGAATCAGATCCGCTATCGTTGCTATAAAGAGAAAATCTGTGGGTGCACATCCAGTGCATTTGCAGATTTGCGTGCTTCTCTTGCAACGGGCGTATACATGGTACATGGTGTGTGTGTGTGTGTGTGTGTGTGTGTGTGTGTGCGTGCGCGTGCACGTGTTCTATATTTTATGTATGTGTTTGAGCATGTACATGTATGTTTACATAATGATCACACAAACTCGAATTGGTGGCGATGGCTCCCTGGGGGGTATTTCCGTTAGTACTATTGGGCAGTGTAATGACTCGTATGTTCTCTTTGCCGTGAACTTCTGTTCTCTCTCAGGCCTATGTTGTTCATCCTGTCGACATGAAGTTTGTGCCATCGCCGGTCGAAGCTCAAGTGGGCAATGTCCTTGACTTGCCATTGTCTGTGTTTGGCAAGACCATAGGTAAGCTGCTAGCACGTATGTACATGATTGTAGTCGTGTACATGCTATCCATAATTGCTGTCATCATGTCTTATGCAATGGTTCAGTGGGAGTAAAAGTCGCTGCTGATGCTGTCGCTACTGCTGTGGGCTTACTTGGAGTCACTGTGCGGTTTTGTGCTGTGCTTGTCCTTTTGTTTGTTGTTGTTTTGGAATCCCTGGATGAAACGATTGGACTGCTTACTGTGCCCGTGTGCATGTTCATGTCCATCTTGTATTTGTGTACACAGGTGACGGCGACTTGATTCCCTTTGTGCGCTGTCATCGTCTTCCTCTTCAGTGGTCCTTCACTGAGGATGGTGTTTTTGCTATTGATGAGACCTACGAGACCGGTTAGTCAGCTGTGTGGTGTGCTCGCGTCGTCGTTTCTGCATTCCCCTGGCATGCTTTGTCTTGCCGGTATCGGTCTCGATTGTCCTTAGCTGTGCGCACGTGTTGTAACAGTGCTTGATGACCTATCTCGCCATGCTGTGAAATGTACAATAATCCCACGCTGAAGGACTGCGGTAGAATTCAGCTTGAAATGCCAGCTATGGATGGTGTGCTGTAAGCTTTTTTCAAGGCACGTACATGCGTACGTGCAGTCTCAGTGACTCTTTTGTTCATCCATCGTTGTCATCACTGCTATCATTCATCATTGTTATGTGTTGCCACTGTTGCCTTCGTCACTTTGGGTTTTCAGATTTCAGCACTCTTCCATCCAAGGCGTGTGTGGCGCTTCGCATCCGTGCGCTGAGGGTTGGATTCACAGAGCTGCGTGCTACGTATGACGTGGAGGGAATTTCCCTCTCTGCCAAGGTGGTTGTGGCCGGCTATAATCCGCTGAAGGTATGTGGAATCCGGGACTGCTTTCTCTTGTTCTCCTTTGTCTTATGCTATACATCCATCCATCTATCCATCCATCTATCCTTGCTTACAGTATCTCTCCGTGTGTCTCCTCTCCTCTCCGCTCCGTGCTGGTATAATGTTAGTGGACAGTCTGTGTATGACTTGGGTGCAGGTTTTCATCTTGTATTTTCTTCCGTCCTGCTACAGTGCATCAGTGCATGTACAGCGAGCACGTTTGGAAGGTCCCTTGAGCGGTCGGCTTAGCCAGGTTTTGCTGTTCTTTTATTTTCTTCTCATCTTGTGTATGGTGCAGCTTGTCAGCCCAGAAGATGATGCGCTGGTTGCACTGGGGTCATCATGGAACTATGCCTTCCAGGGTGGTCCTCTGCCTTGGATCTTGGAGCCATCTAAATTCTTCCAGGATGGCCAAGGTAGGCAAGAACAGGTTTTTGAGTACTGGCCTTCTATTTATCCAACCCTAACAGAAGACGCACACTGATATAGGTCCGTCCTGGGAAACACTTGCGATAAAGCAGATATTCAAATTGACCATATTCAATTTGGTGCGATGCTACGCTACTTCTACAGTACTGCTCAATGAAATCCAGTCGCGTGAGTCCAGTTTGCGCTTTGCATCATTTCGCAGCCCAGTGTTTGCAGGTCTACAAGGGCTGTGCAACGCCCGGCGCACACTTGAGTGATGTGACTGGATTTCACTGAACAGCTCTGTATTTCTTCTTCTAGATACCGGTGTATGTTAGCAATATAGTCCATCGGCCAGTTCTCAGAAAGGGCCTCTTTCGGAGAGGGACTGAACTGAAGCTCCAAGTAAACGCTGCTTTGCACACTACCTCATGAGACCTCATAGAAGACGAATCCGTTTGTTGGACGTGTACCTATACACACACAATGATTCCCATGTCGACAGGCAAATCGGCGATCCGCTGTTGCGTACGGGACACGGCAAACTATCCACAAGATAAAAGTGTTATGTGCTGCATTATTGCTGTGTGGAAGCTGCATCATGTTGTGCTAGTAATTACAATAGCAGGGTTCTAGCCAAAGGAGGGTAGGGGGGGGGGGGGGGGGCTACTCTGATCGAGGGTCCCCTCAGACTCCCCTGTGAAAATGTGCCCCCCCCCCCACACTCATTTTGTCAATTTTTGTGTTTTCTTAGACCATTCAAGGAAAATGAAGTCGATAGTCACTAACATAGGGGTAGGGTTTATAAAGGCACACTTGTCGGGGGTTCGCCCCCATACGTTGCATTTTGCATGCCTATACAGTTTTGGAAAATGGAAAAAATGGATTACGGGGTAGCTGTTTCCTTTGCCCTCGCCCCCTAGTATTTTGACCTAGCTAGAACCCTGAATATGTGGCATAGCGCGCATTATTTGGGTGCTCATATGCGAAAAACCAAAGGGGGGGGGGGGGTATGTGCTTTTGCTGCTGGGTATAGTCGCATTTACTTGGAAGCTCAGTGCATCGCCACTTTCGATTTTTGGATTTGGCCGATGGACTAATACAGCAATACAGCTGTACATGTCTTTGAGCTGTTGCTAGAAAATTATTCTGAGGAAGCTGTCATTGAGTTTGCTCTTTTGTTGCTGCTGCTGCTGCTGCTGCTGCTGCTGCTGCTGCTGTTGGTGTTGGTGTTGTTGGTGCTGTTGTTGTCACCAGGGTCCAAGACAGAAGGTGTAGCTGTTTTCTCTGCAGGCAAAGATGGTGAGGCTTCTCTTGGTGCAGCAAGTGTGTGTGTGTGTGTGTGTCTGTGTCTGTGTCTGTGTGTGTGTGTCTGTGTCTGTGTGTTGGATACCAGGCTAAAACTAGTGGCGGTCAATTCATCAGCCTTGCAAGCTGTTGTTGAATGGTGTAATCCCAGCACAAGTTGCTATGTCTAACATAGCTGTTCGCTATCATCGCTTCCGCGATGGGCAGGTCTGAGGTGTGTGTGTGTGTGTGTGTGTTAAGCTAAATTCATTCGGTGTACTATTAGCTTGAGAAATATCATGTCGGTACTATTAGCTTGAGAAATATCATGTCGGTTTTATCCCTATTTGCTGGATTCCATGAATTCTTGATGCAATGCCAGGATGCAGTGTTTCTTTTGTCTTGAAATAGCATTGCTGTTCCATTCCTGTGTTTGTTGCTGTGTGCAGATACTGACAATCATTTGCTACGTATTGTGTGCAGAGAGCTGGGTCAGCATGTAAGTACAATCAGACAGTGCTGGTGGTGTTAGTGGACATTTAATTTCCGTAGCTATGCAGAATACGTTACTTCAGTAACGTCTGGCGCTAGCCAGGGTCCACACAGCTTTAATTTGGTATTTGTGTCTTTGTTTGTGTGTTTGTGTCACGCCTGGCGCCATCCCGTATCTGTCCCGTACCGTACCGTACCAGCAAACACAGCTGGCCACATACAGCTGGCCGCAATATTCAAATAGGGCTTTCAAACGCAAGATCATAACGTGAAGCAACTTGGAAGAATGAGTATGAATGCGAAGTGTATGGGGGAATGCATGTAGGGCGATAGTGCGGGTTCGAATCCCAGGTTATGCCTTAAAAAAAAATAGGAGAATTGAAAAATTTATAACACCCTTATGCTTTTTTTGCCTAGGTCATCAAGGCGGTAGACGGTGTCGTATTATCCTCGACGGTACCTGTCCCGTACCGTACCATCAAAGACGGCTGGCCACAATGCATATTCAAATAGGGCTTTCAAATGCAAGATCATAACGTGAAGCAACTTGGAAGAATTAGTATGTATGCGAAGTGTATCGGGGGATGCATGCAGGGCGATAGTGCGGGTTCGAATCCCAGGTTATGTCTTTTTAAAAAAAGTAGAAATTTATAAGAATTTATAACAGCCCTATGCTTTTTTTGTCTAGGTCATCAAGGCAAAAAAAGCATAGCGTAGGGCCCTGAGCTCCCAAGCTCTCTTGTATAGCGTAACTTGTAGTTCCTTGGTCCTTTTCTTTACTATATACAGTCGTCCCTCTCTAATCCGGCACCTTTTGCTACGGCATTTTCTGCTGGATTAACGAGGGTGCTGGATTAAGAAATCCTGCCCTCTGACCCGGCCCTACCCAATTGCATGCATGTATCATATGTACGTCAAAACGCAGGGTTTTTCCGTGTCGACCCAAGTATTTGGTGCACGGCTTTATATTCTCAATTGTTCTCCGGGAATATACACAGTGATAAAGTAAAACAGAGAACATGTTCACATGTACTCTTGCACACACACCTGAAAATCGGCAGGACACTACTCCCGCGATTTACGACTGCCGGATTATGAAATCAAACTACGTGCAGTTTGAGCGATTCGTTTCAAAAAGTCACTGCCGGAGGCGGAATTCAAGTGCCGGATTAAGATGTAGGAATTGAACGAAAAAATTCGGTTTCGTCAGAAAGTGCGCCGGTTGGCAAGGGTTCCGGATAAACAAGTGCCGGATTAGAGAGGGACGACTGTATTAATCATTGGCTCTCCATCCGAGTCTCTCCTTGCATTCTGCCTTTGTTCTGTTTTCAATCCTCCTGTGTTTTGCAGACATTCAGTGTTCGTGTTGGCAACACTATTTCTCAAACTAACCTCTATCCAGCCAACGCCAGCACAAGTGCAAGGTAGGAACTAGTTGCATAGGTTATACTGTATTTGTACTTTTAGCAGCCGGGTTTGGATCTTTTGATGCTAGGTTAGCACTTATATGCTGAGTTTTACATACCATGTCAAGTATCCCATTGCCTCCGAAACCTGTATTCTACTCGCCCGGCACCATGTGTGTGTGTGTGTGTGTGTGTGTGTGTGTGTGTGTGTGTGTGTGTGTGTGTATCATCGCTTCCGCGATGGGCATGTCTGAGGTCTGAGGTGTGTGTGTGTGTGTGTGCGTGTGTGTGTGTGTGTGTGTGCGTGTGCGTGTGCGCTCGTGTGTGTACTTGCCTGGATGATTGTGATTATGTAGGGTTACTTGTGGTACACCGTCGTCATTGGAGCTGTCTCCAGATCTTCCCGATGAATACACAAGGTCGTGTCCATGGTTCAGGGAGAAGGCAACACATGTAAGCAGTGCACTTGATGCTAGTTGATGCTGAGCGTTCAAACTGCACCATAGTGCCTTTGCTGGGATGTTAGAAGATGCCGATTGACTTTTGTAATGCATCTTTATTGTTCTTGTGTTGCTGCTGCTTCTGCTGCTGCTGCTGCAAGCCATTACATGTAGTGTTGTTGTGGTCTGGCTATGTCTGGTTATGCGATACTTGTGTTGTTAGTTGCTTAGAGGCACACACTGATGTTGCTACCTATGAAGTAGTGTTTTGCTGTGTGTAGCTCTTCCTGTGCTGTATCTTTCCACTTGAGTGTGTTATTGACCCTGGGATGGTTGAAGTGGTGATGCGCCATGCACACTGTCAGTCTTGGCACTCGTCTTTGTGCTCCACCCGTTTAGCACACCACAGAACAGCATGGACTAGCATAGCCAGTGGCTGGCAATGGCGAAGCTACTGCTTTCCAACTCTCTTACGTCCGTTGGAAAGCGTAACTTTCCCCAATGCATTGTACCTAGTATGGGTTAGAACTTAGATCTCATGACACACACACACACGCACACACACACACACACACACACACACACACACACACACACACACACACACATACACACACACACACACACACACACACACACACACACACACACACACACACACACACACACCATTGGACCATTGGACGCCCATCGCCAGAGGCGATGATAGCGATGCTACAGCAGAAGCCATAGCAACTTGTGCTTGGATTGCACCATTCAACAGCTTGCAAAGCTGAAGAATTGACCGCCACTATTCAGCCTGGTCTACACCACACAGCTATGAAGTGGCTTTTTCTGGCCAGTGAATCCCTACTTTTTGGTCTTTTTATTTTTTATTTTTTTCCCGCACACACATCACACCACATACTCCGGCATGCACTGGCTGTTGGTAACCACCCAGGAGAATGAAAGAAAAGTCAGGAAGAGTCTGAGAAAGAGAAGAAAGATGTGTGTGACCATAATCGTCGGGAATCGAACCCGCAACCTATCGATTGGAAATCGCTGCACATACCACTGCACCATATGGGAACACACACACACACACACACACACACACACACACACACACACACACACACACACACACACACACACACACACACACACACACACACACACACACACACACACACACACACACACACACACACACACACACACACACACACACACACACACACACACACACACACACACACACACACACACACACACACACACACACACACACACACACACACACACACTGTGCACATACACTATGCACACACTATGCACACACACTATGCACACACACTATGCACACACACTGTGCACACACACTATGCACACACACTATGCACACACACTATGCACACACTATGCACACACACTATGCACACACACTATGCACACACACTATGCACACACACTATGCACACACACTATGCACACACTATGCACACACACTATGCACACACACTATGCACACACACTATGCACACACACTATGCACACACACTATGCACACACACTGTGCACACACACTATGCACACACACTATGCACACACACTGTGCACACACACTATGCACACACACTATGCACACACACTGTGCACACACACTATGCACACACACTATGCACACACACTGTGCACACACACTGTGCACACACACTATGCACACACTATGCACACACACTATGCACACACACTATGCACACACACTATGCACACACACTATGCACACACACTATGCACACACACTGTGCACACACACTGTGCACACACACTGTGCACACACACTATGCACACACACTATGCACACACACTATGCACACACACTATGCACACACACTGTGCACATACACTATGCACACACACTATGCACACACACTGTGCACACACACTATGCACACACACTATGCACACACACTATGCACACACACTATGCACACACACTATGCACACACACTATGCACACACACTGTGCACACACACTGTGCACACACACTGTGCACACACACTGTGCACACACACTATGCACACACACTATGCACACACACTATGCACACACACTATGCACACACACTATGCACACACACTATGCACACACACTGTGCACACACACTATGCACACACACTATGCACACACACTATGCACACACACTATGCACACACACTGTGCACACACACTATGCACACACACTGTGCACACACACTATGCACACACACTATGCACATACACTGTGCACACACACTATGCACACACACTATGCACACACACTATGCACACACACTATGCACACACACTATGCACACACACTATGCACACACACTATGCACATACACTGTGCACACACACTATGCACCCACACAAATACATTGCTTTTTTCTCCTACTTGCTCTACGCTTTCAGCTACCAGTTCTTTACGACACCCGTCTCGGTCTGTTGGGCCATGCCTACGACCAGCTTGGACATCGCTTTTCCAACTTCTCCTCGCTGAAGCTGAGCTGGGACACTGACAGCTCTTCTGTAGCTATGTATGTTGGCAGTGCAGACCATTCAGCTGGATATGTGGGTAAGTGGGTGACATGCCGTGACGCCATCAGGCCGGCAGAACCTACCTAAGTCATGTTAGTAGTGAGGAACAAAGGCCTTCTACTTTGGCGGGGCTAGGGGAACCAAGGAAGAGCAATGCTCAAAGCAGGGTGGCCAGTTCCATGACTTCCTCAATGTTACACCGGGTCTCACCATAGGAACACAGCTGTCCGTCTTGCTTCGAGCCAAAGAACAAAATACGTTTAGCATACAACTGATATTGGTCTTGCCTGCGGATGCCAAGAAAGAAGAAGTCCACCTGCGTTTCCAACGATCTGACAAAGAGAGATGTTGTTCATTCTGCGCTACCGGAACAACGATGCCACTACTCCACTACATCTAGTTGTATGTCGATGTCACCTCGTGGATATATCAGCAGAAACGTTCTCAGCAGCATCCAAGTGCATAATTATTCACTTGGTTGAGTTTGCTACCTGGTTTGATGATTGCTATGACTGAAAGGTCCTGTGTAATGGCTGCTTTGTTGCAGTCAACGGAGCAATAATTTCTTTTTGTGCATGCATGGACATGTGTGTATACGTATGTGTGTGTGTCTGCCTGTCTGTCTGTATGTGTGTCTGTCTGTGCACATATGGACAAACGTGTTGTGCAGTGTCTCACTCCAGTGCCTTTGTGGAAAGTGAGCACACTCACGGCATGCACGCTCAGCTCACACTGGTCAGTGCACAGTACAGCAGTCAGGTGCTGCAGGCCGAGCGTGTTTCAGCCCAGGTATGTTGGAGAGAATCGGCCATGCATTGGTGTACTTTTCACATAGCAGTGCGACATGCACTGGTGCATTGATTTTGTTCACATTCACATAGTAGTAGCGTACAGTAGCACATTGCTTGGTCCGCCGTACACCCTGTATACTAGTAATGTGTCCGTTTGCACCGTGCTACCTATCTATCCATCCTCTGCGTTCCTGCATTGTGTTGTGCATGTGTTTAACTGCAGGCTCCTTTCCCACGTGCCCTGCAAAGCACCCTGAAGTTGCGTTTGTCAGGTAGACCCTACCTTGATCCAGCCAGCATCACCGTCTTCAACCATCCAGACAATAAGGTAAATAGCATACTGACTTGTAGCCACCAACTTGCTATGTCCTTTCTATAGGCTTTGCATTGCCGCTTCTCTGCTTTACTGTCGTCGCTGATGCTGGTTGTACTGCCAATTTCAATTTGTCCACAGAGTGACGCTACAGTAGATCATTTGTACTGCCTTTTGTCACGCATAGTACTATTGCCTGCTAACACTATTGATGTGTTACTCTGTGTGTGTTACTGGTTGTACACTCAGTTCCTGTGTACTTTGTACCGTATGTTGGTGTATGCAGATGCCTATCAATATAGAGAAGGGCTCTGGTTTCTTCTCAGTCCGAGATGATCTGGTGGGTGATGTTTTGCCGGCCAGATTGACCTACACATCCAAGGCAGCGGCATCCCATCAAGTTGATGTGAGTTATGCCAGTACACCATGCAAATGCATGTACTGTTGTCAGTTATGCCAGTACACCATGCAAATACATGTACTGTTGTCAGTTATGCCAGTACACCGTGCAAATGCATGTACTGTTGTCAGTTATGCCAGTACACCGTGCAAATGCATGTACTGTTGTCAGTTATGCCAGTACACCATGCAAATGCATGTACTGTTGTCAGTTATGCCAGTACACCATGCAAATGCATGTACTGTTGTCAGTTATGCCAGTACACCATGCAAATGCATGTACTGTTGTCAGTTATGCCAGTACACCGTGCAAATGCATGTACTGTTGTCAGTTATGCCAGTACACCATGCAAATACATGTACTGTTGTCAGTTATGCCAGTACACCATGCAAATGCATGTACTGTTGTCAGTTATGCCAGTACACCATGCAAATGCATGTACTGTTGTCAGTTATGCAAGTACACCGTGCAAATGCATGTACTGTTGTCAGTTATGCCAGTACACCGTGCAAATGCATGTACTGTTGTCAGTTATGCCAGTACACCATGCAAATGCATGTACTGTTGTCAGTTATGCCAGTACACCATGCAAATGCATGTACTGTTGTCAGTTATGCCAGTACACCATGCAAATGCATGCACTGTTGTCAGTTATGCCAGTACACCATGCAAATGCATGTACTGTTGTCAGTTATGCAAGTACACCGTGCAAATGCATGTACTGTTGTCAGTTATGCCAGTACACCATGCAAATGCATGTACTGTTGTCAGTTATGCCAGTACACCATGCAAATGCATGTATTGTTGTGGACGTTGAAATCCGTTGAGAAGCCAAGCAACCTCGGGGTGCTGGCCTTGCAGCCGTGAGCACTGCTGGGTGGGTGTGCACGCACTTGCGTGTGTGTGCAGCTTGTAGCATCTGTGGCTGCTGCTGTAATCCCGAATGTCTCCTAGGAAGCCATTCACAGTGTTTCTCTTGATCTGGTTTGTTGGTGTGCTGGCACAGGTTTTGCCACAAGCTGGTGGTCAGATGTCAGCCATTGTCAACGACCAGTGTTTGGTGTTGGAACCAATGAGAACCAAGATCCGCATCTTGGATGGCAGCAATATTGAGCTTACTGTAGCTGACATGGTGAGGATCGTATCAATTTGTATGGGACAGGCGTGCCTCATGTTCTCCAAAGCAGAATTGAGAAAAAAACATTTGTGCTGCTCTATTGTATTCTTGAATTTGTGTTCTTATCTGGTCACAATAAGCTTGTTGCTGCCAATAAAAAGCCTGTATGGTTTGGTAAACTTGTCTGCTTCCAAACCAAACTGATAAGTTGCAGTGTGACATCGAGCCCCTTTGAAGGCTTTGTTGGTTTCAGGGTTCATATTTTCTATTTGAAGTACACATGCCTGTTGACCAATAAGCTACATTCTGACAAGATTAACTCTTGTGTAATCAATTGTGCTAGTGAAACCTATATCAGATCAACTCTGATTTAGCCACTCGCACTAGTAGCGAGTATTACCTTCACTGGGGGCAGGGGTAAATGCAGTTGGATCCTGGGGCATATACCCTGATGCCGTCAGTCCTTTTTCTCCACTCTGTCCTCACTCACTGACTACGGTGTGGTGAGCCCATAAGTGGGGTCATATTTCCAAGTCCACCCAGAGTTTGGGATCTGTAGGTCATCAGCTGCCGGGCGGTTCAATAGCCAATTGAATCGTCTTTCCAAGATTTCTTCTGAATCTCTCTCTCTCCTCTCTCTCTCTCTCTCTCTCTCTCTCCTCTCCTCTCCTCTCCTCTCCCAATGGTAGACCCACGTGGCCAGTTTCTGGCAGTGAGCATGTACACGTACCTGTAGATGGTGTAGTGTTGAGTTTGCATGGTTGTCATTGTGAGACTGGAGGAACACATTACTACCTCATATAGTGTGCTTCAACCACCCACTCTGGGAGGGAACTGTCCACTCCTAATCCTATTCATTGCTTACTGCAGCAACTACGTGTACACGGAGACCCCCTCGATTTAGGCTAAGGCCTGTGGAGAATCCATAGATACCAAATACATGTAGGTAATGGCATCGTGTAACTGTTATGATACTGCATGTATCTATCAACTGAAGTACATGTACCGTAAAGTACCGTTGATCCGCCCCCTCTCTAATTCCTGCCCCCTGTCGATTTTCTCCTTGTGAAGCGACTTCGGCGTATACAACGAAATACGATGTTGAACCGACGCATGCACTGCTGTACACAATACTTGCCAATCCAGGATCAAAATGTGCACAATCCAGCACATTGAGTCTGATCCTCTACGTTGTTGTACATCGTACTGCACTTGACAGCCTTGATCTAATTCCCGCCCCCTGCCGAAAACCCAGCTGCGAAGCGACATGGCGTGGGGGCGGATAAACGGTACTTTACGGTACATGTAACGACTATTTCACCCGTCCGCCACTCTTCCATTGCTATGATTGTCTGTGTGCAGGTGATGACTGGCAAACATCTAGTAGCCGCTGTGCGAGTCCTGGACACCAACGACGAGCCGTTTGAGCTGGAGCAATACCAGCACATGAACCTGAGGCCATTGCTCATCGGGCCCTTCATCTCTGCTGCGTAAGTCCAAGGGCTAGTATTGGTCTGCCAGGACGTCTGTTTTGTCATGTACGCCGATTGAGTATTACAGTGTATGTGTAGTTACGTCACCGTGTACATACCGGAGTTCTATACTTACTGAAGTCCAAGCCTGTTTGTTCTTGGATGCCCGACAGTACTCTAGTAGGATAGGACTGAAGTAGCATTTGAAAAGCCCGGCAAGATCACACCCACACGAATGACAGTAACATCACCAGCGGGCCCAGTGACGTAACATCACCTGCAGTGGCCGCTGACGTATGCATGACCACTTGAAGTGTAGATGTGATCGTTGATGTGTCTCTGAAACAAAAAGCGCGTGGCTTTGCACTACCTGTTTGTACAGGCCGGCTGGCACCAGTGCTGCACCCAAGACTGTCCTACCACTGCCCAGTGGTATGCAGCCCAACAGCCTGCTGTATGTCATCGAGGGAGTGCAGGAGGGCGATGCACAGCTCTTGTTCAATGCCACGCTGCGTTCTAACCGCGTCATCACCAGCGAGGCCGCTAAGATTCAGGTAAGTACCTGTAGGATGCGTGAGAGTGTTTGTCGATAAAGTGAATTGAGACAATGTGTCTACATCCACAGGCTAGCGACATCTAGCCGAGTGTCAGAATACTGCTGTTAAGACTTGTTGACAGTATGTAGCCCCATGGATGGTGACTGTTTTGGTCCACCTCTCTTGTGTAGCCATATCACCTCTCATTGTTCTCTTTTTTCATATGGCAGCCTGACTCAATACCATTGCAAGTGAACTATGTGTTGTTTGTATTCTGTCAGTTTCTCGGGTTTCTACTACTAAAGTACAAGTATTAGTGTTGGTTTCTTATGTTTGTTCTGGTTAGGTGTATTCTCCATTGAGGATCGAGCCCCGTGTTGTTCGTCTAGTGCCGACAGCTCACTACCAGGTATGTGGTGTGTGTGGGTGTGGGTGTGGGTGTGGGTATGGGTGTGGGTGTTGTGGCAGTCCTATGTAGTTACACCCAGTGTGCCGTTGCCTTGGGTAATGATAGCATGCACACAGTGTTCAGTGTAATTCCAGTACTGGCCACTGACCGGGACTGGCTGGATGAGCATGTGCTTATATCAACTGTACATTCTGACCGACTCCATTCGAGCATTGGCTTGGCTTCTTGCATGTTTGTGCATGCGGCTAGCTGCTTATCTGGCTGGCCACTTGCCAGGTGGAGCAATGGTGCTCTGCCAGTTTCTTATGAAAATGGTTGTGCGCACTGATTTAGGGCGACAGCCTTGGCAGACCAAGCCGATATGCACTCTCCTAAGGACAGGAAGGAGTTAATATTCTGCTGCTACTGAGTACTGACAGAGTTTGTTTGATGATGGGTGTGTGCTCTGTTGTCAGGTTCGTGTGACCGGAGGGCCACGGCCACAGCTTGGTGTCACGTTTCACATGGACAACAGTGGCATTGCATCGTGTGACGCTAGCGGTGTGATCACTGCACACACTGTTGGTGAGACTACCTTGACTGGCCATGCTCAGAGCTCCATGGACGGATCAGCCATTCTCACCGAGGTACGTCTTACTCTGTTTGTCAGCCATTCTCACTGAGGTACCGGTAGGTGTTGCTTGGTATATCAGCCTTTCCCACTCAGGTTTGTGTCTTTCTTTACTTCTCTTGGTGAGCTTGATCTCAAGAGGTACTCGTACATGTATATTGACAAGTGGAGCTATGCACAGTGAGGCATCCCTTTCACAACGCAATACCGAATGAGCTGTCTAAATTGCTGTCTACCGGTGTATGCTTTATTCCCGGCCATTGTGTCAGCTTCTTGCTGGGCAGAGTACAGCTGCACGCTTTCAGAGCTTGGCATTACTTACTGTGTTAGTCACAGTGGTATCATCATCACCAGGGAGTCTAAGTTATTTTACGACTCCCTGATCATCATGAAGTGTGATCTCATTGCCCTTGTAGGCGTTGTGACCGTATGCTCTGTGTGTGAGAGCAGGGGGTAACTATGTATCCAAATGTGCGCCTGTGGACCGGCTGTTCTGTGCAGGATACGGTGCGCGTGATTGTCGTTCAGCTGACGGGCGTGAAGATTTACGCTCCGTCCACGCGAGTACTGAGCACAACAGAGGTGAGTGATGAGTACACAACGTCTGCACAACGTCTGCTTTGTTTGCCTTCTCTGGACTTGTAGTACAGAATCTCTTGCCAGAAACCTAGAATTTGCTTTATGCATACTGAATTTGCCATACTATGCCCTACTTTCTGTTGTTGTTGTTGTTGTTGTTGTTGTTGTTGTTGTTGTTGTTGTTGTTGTTGTTGTTGTTGTTGTTGTTGTTGTTGTTGTTGTTGTTGTTGTTGTTGTTGTTGTTTGACAGACATCTGTGTACGCTAAAGGACTTTCTGGAGAAACACCGGTAGTGTTTGGAACCGCTGATCCGCCCATCCAGTTCTACTGGGAGGGCAGTGATGACAACATATTCCAACTGCAGTCTGTATATCGCCGGGTAAGTCTATCAGTGTGCAACACAGTGAAGCCAGGCTATATACTGGTGGGGTATACAAAGCTCTATCATGAGGGGGGGGGGGGGGACAGTATGTTTGTATGCGAAGCTCTACCGTGAGGAGAAGGGGGAGGGGGTTGTCAGTATTATTGTCTTCTCATGCATATATGTCCAGTTCTTGAGTTCGTGAGGTAAGGGGGGCTTCATCCTTAGCCAAGCTCACATATGTATGTATGTGGTGAATTATCCTGCTATTGTATCTGTGTAGGCGGGTGCTGTACTGGATACTGACCTTCAGTTCCCAGCCCGCCTTCTGGCCCGCTCAGCCGGTGATGCCACCATTCGCCTGAGAGCCGAGTGTGGTAACAGCGGTGCATGTAATCCACGTGGTGCTGTATTCCGTGATCAGCTGCGCATCAATGTTGTGGAGAAGTTACACATCGTGCGTCCTACAACAGTTGCCAATGGCTCCTTGTTGATGCCACTGCGATCTACAAGTCAGATTGTCACCAACAGGTTAGTGTGGAGGATGCATTATTACTACAGTGTCATGTGTTTGCTTGCACCCTGTTACAAACCGCACACACGAGCACACGCACCACCACCGCTGCCGCCGCCACTACCACCACCACCACCACCAACACCACCAACACCACCAACACCACCAACACCACCAACAACAACAACATGCATGATTTCATAGCGCTGCTGCGTGTCTCTACTATCATGTACAGTGTAGACTACATGCTAGCAGGTGTGCTTTTAAAGAGTTTAGATACGGTGTGTCCATGCTGTGCTTGTCATCTTGCTACTCACCTTACCTTGGCTCTGCTTTGTGTCTGTCTGTATACATGTATGTGTGTGTGTGTGCGTGCGTTCGTGCGTGTGTATGTGGCTGGGTACGTACGTACGTGCACTAATGCGCGTCCTTGCACCTGTTTTGGCAGAGCTGGACATTGTCTGGTCACGTATCAGCTGCTGTCCGCCTGCGGCAAAGACTGTGCTTCATCCATCATCAAAGTGAACAGCGATGGTGTATTAACATCTAGTGGCGTCACTGGTACATCGCATCTCTTGATCACAGCTCATGAGCACAGCAGCTTCAATCAAACACTCGTCCTGCAAGTGGAGGTTGGTATTCGCTTATGAACCTTTGATTTTGTAGTAGAGTCCACATCTACATTGTTAGTACATTGTGGACTTTTAAAGATCCTCTCTTTGTCAGATTTTAACGTCAAGACATTGCTAGAGTACAGTACATGTATGTGTTGGTTGTGCATGCTTTTGGTCTCCACCAGATCGCCTACGCTCGTGAAAGCTCCTGTGACGGATTTTCTCTGTCTGTGTTTTTCTGCTGCAGGTCAAGCCCATTGCGTCTGTATCTATCCACTCGTACACGGCTGCTCGTGCGGTTGTCGGCCGTCGTCACGCTCTGCCACTGGGGCTACACTCACGCTTCTCCGTGACCCTGCAGGATGATCTTGGACAGCTGATGGACACGTCCAGCACTCAGTTTGTCTATCGGATGACACGGTTGGTGATCTTTTGACAATGCCAAATCATGCCGTTGCAGTGTTATTGAATGAGTGCGATGTGTGGAGTGTACTTAGCATTGCTGTTAGAATACTGCGTGCAGGTGATGCAGGAAGGTGGCAATGGATGCGCTGCTGAACTGAGAACCCTTGCATGTAGTAGTGCTGCACTGTGCATTGCACTGTGTGTCAATACAGTCAACAAGCCAGCTGGAAGTGCTCAAGTCCTTTCCTTTCCTTTCTTTCTTCTTCTGTTGTACTCCATTGGACCGTTGTCTCAAGACTCTTTGTCCCCATCTTCTTCCTTGCCTTTTAGATCGGATGTTGCTCGTCTGCAGACTGGTCCTGAGAACGGTACATTCTACTTGCGTGCTGCCAAGGAAGGCTCTGATGTGCTGCAGGTAATGGAATTGAAGTACCCGTGTTTAACGTCCACCATGACGGCCATTAGGGACCTTTCGCATCTGCTGTGAATTGAATGCGAAACGAAAGTTTGATTCGGCTCGTCCTCGTTGAACACAGATTCAGGTTTTGCAAGTCGTCCTGCTAATTTCCAAGGCAACTACGAATACGGCCGGTAGCTTGGCGTACGCGTGTTTACGCGTACACATGCATGGATCATGGAATCAAGGAAAAATGTGTACCTGGCCAAAAAAGGTGTACCTGGCGGATTCGGAGCGTGTTACAAATGGAGAGGCTTCCATTCGTGAAAACGAGCCTTCATAAGGGACTCGACAAATCCTCGAATCCAGGCGACGAATCAGCATTCGTTTCGTATCCGTACACGTAGTGCGAAAGGTCCGTACTGTGGCCAACCAGACCACAACGAAGTTGGAACCAAAGACAAATTTTGTTTTCTTTCTGTCCAAAATTTATACAGTGGCCATTTTTCGAAAAATCATGTACGAAATATAGCTAACCATGGCATTAATTAACGCAACTGTATCATTGCTCCTGCATTGCTTGTGTGTTCTGTAATGGTGATAGGTTAGCGCCATTGGAGGCCAGTCAATCGTTGAGGACTTCATCAACGTCCATGTAGGCATCGGTATTCTGCCCGCTGACCCTGTTCTTCACATCGGCACAAAAGTGTGTTTTACCACTCACCTTACCGGTGACAACGGTAAGTTTGATGTTGGGCACTCTTGTGTGTTATTTTGTAACTCTTCCTGTTGTTCTCTCTTCTGTGTGTGTATGTGTGCGTTTCTCTCTCTCTCTCTCTCTCTCTCTCTCTCTCTCTCTCTCTCTCTCTCTCTCTCTCTCTCTCTCTCTCTCTCTCTCTCTCTCTCTCTCTCTCTCTCTCTCTCTCTCTCTCTCTCTCTCTCTCTCTCTCTCTCTCTGTCTCTCTCTCTCTCTCTCTCTCTCTCTCTCTCTCTATGAAATCCTTACTTTCAACCCTGATGTGTGTTTGTACTTTGAAGTAAAAACATCCGAGAAGCATCATACAAACTGTCCTTACCGGCATCAGCTATAACAACCTTGCTGACTGTCCTGTGTTGTCTGGTATAGCTATAACAACCTTGCTAACTCAGTAACTGTCCTGTGTTGTCTGGTATAGATGAATCTGGCTACTGGTCGACCAGCAACCCATCCGTGTTGTCCATCGAGGCAGCCACTGGACTTGCACATGCCTTGGCAGTGGGTCACTCCACCATAACATTCCTTGCTGGTGGCACAGAACTTGCCATGGTTGAGGTACGGCTACATGGGTTTGATTGTGTGATATACGTGTCAGTAGGGAGGTTCTGCTCTACGTTTTGGGAACGCGACGCAAAGAATCACGCGAACTTTCTTCGCGTTCCCGTAACGTAAAGAAATGCTGTTCTGCTCTACGTTTCACCTAGAGAAGTCACGTGGAATGTGCACTGGGAATTTCCCCTTCCATATTTGGCAGTTTTCTGCATGCAGTTGATCGATACCCAGCAAATCCGTACACATTTTCTCTGCGTGTGCCACAACGTAGAGAACCTCGTCTCCGCGTAGAAATCTGGAGCCAAAACACGCGAAGCCGCAGACTCTAACCCAGACACCTGCTCTCTACGTGATTTCTCTACGTTTCACGTATAGCAGAACCTCTCTAGTATATGGTGTGATATCCATGCCAATGTGTAGAGATTTCCATATACGTGTGTGTGCATGCGTTCTGCTATTGTGCGTGCGTTCTGCTATTGTGCATGTTCTAAAAGGATAATGTTAGCTCGGACAACATTTACTCTGTAAGCTCCCACATCTCATTTCATAGACAGCTGAAATGTGTTTGTATGTGTGCGTGTGTGTGTGCACGTGTACGTATGTGTGTGTGTGTGTGTGTGTGTGTGTGTGTGTGTGTGTGTGTGTGTGTGTGTGTGTGTGTGTGTGTGTACATGTGATGATGTGTGTGTGTGTGTGCGCGTGTGTGTGTGTTTGCATGCACACATATGCAGGTCTCAGTGAGTCAAGTTGCTGAGGTATCGTTAGATTTGGCTGGCTCGCCGACATTGACCAACGCAGCCAACACACCCATGTCTCAGATCTCTATCCCTGTTGTGTTCTCTACTGGTGCTGAGCATAACAATGGCCGCTTCTCAATCTTCCCTGGTCCAACAGCAGCAGATCAATGTTCACAGAAACTTGTCAGCAGATCTGGTGCTGTCCATTCGGCCACTCAACAGGTATGTGTGTGTCTGTCTGTCTGTCTGTCTGTCTGTCTGTCTGTCTGTCTGTCTGTCTGCTCGTGACTTGAACACTGTTGGTCCCTTCGGGACCTGCCATCATCTCCGGATGGGCATATTGTATTGTATTGTGTGTGTGTGTGCATGTGTGTGTCAAGTTCAAGGTGTGTATGTGTGTGTGTGTGTGTGTGTGTGTGTGCACAGGCGCGTACGCAGGGTCACCTCTAAGGGGGTTTCCAACCGAATCCCGAACAATGACTCGTTTTAACCCCTTCTAAAGAGCCCTAGGATATTTTCAAAATTATGCCTTTTTCGTGTTCTTGGATCATAACTTCAGTTCTACTCACTCAATCTTCATTATCTTGGGCTTCCTGGAAGTGGAAAGGTACCAGGGAGAGAATGAGGTCGACCATGATAGCCAGGACACAGTACATTCATGTACATATCCAGCGCTATAGGCTATCGTGCAGCGACGGTGTGAAAAAATGTCCCAAACTGGGCCAACGCGTCCTGCTCCAGCGATTTCGTTCTTCTTGATCGCAGAGTTTCGACTTTTTGCTGTGTACTCTTGAAAATATCGCAAGTGAAGCCCCTGCAAAGTTGAGCAAGTCAACGTGACGAAAAGTCTCAAATTCTCGATACTCGAGTCGTACTGCGCGCTTTTGAAATTTTGAGATCGCGGCTCAACTTACGAATGGATTATCTAAAGAGACATTGCTCGCAGCGCGCCGCAAATTGTTTCAATCGACAGCTGAGAGTTTTCTATTCGACCTGGATATTTGATCGTTGGATTTGAGCGAGATTTGACTGAGTTACGATCTTTTGACGTTTTGCATTCTTGCAAGATCGGTCGTGCGCCCTACCAAAACTGCCCAAAAACGTTGCTCGTTTGGAACATTTGGGGGGTTTCCGGGCAACGGGACCCCCCCCCCCCCCCCCCCCCTGCGTACGCGCCTGGTGCATGCGCGCGTGCATGTGCGGATGTGTGTCTCTGTGTCTGTGTGTGTAGTTTTATAATGTTGCGGTGACGCCAAGAATATTGACAATGACCTACTGACTTTGCTTGTAGGCTGCTAAGGAGTGGAAAGGATATGGTGGCAACTTGTGGGTCTTTCATGAGCAGGTCTGTCACAGGGTGGTAATTTGAAGCAGGTGATTTAATTAAAGGTGAAGCTGGCCCATAGTCTATTGGTGCTTTGGGGGCAGCAGGTGTTCGAGTCGTCTTGTTTCATTGTGGACACTGCTCATCTTCTCTCTCTCGTCACATCGCCTCTCCAAGCAGTGGCCTCTCCAAGCACCTGCCTCTCCAAGCAAAGTCAGGCACCCAATCCAATGATGGTCTCTTGTGGTTTGAAATATCTCTGGGAATAACCTACAACCTCGTAGTAAAGACATGCTGCTGCCGTTGTGTTGCCACTTTAGAGCTAACCTCTGCCTCACAGCTATGTGCTCTGTATGTGTGTGTGTGCTTGTGACTTTCATGTTAACCATGATGTGTGTTACACCTTGTGTTGATTTGTGCGTGCATGTGTGTGTGTGTGTGCGTGTGCGCGTGTGTGTGTGTGTGTGTGTGCGCGCGTGTGTGTGCGTGCGTGTTTGTGTGTATTTTCTGCTGTTTCTTCCCCTTTGTGTTAGGTACCGTTTTCCTGTGTGCTCAGCAGTGGTGACCGTTACCTGGAGCAAAGCTGGTTGTCTGGGGCATTCCATGTGGAGGGCAAGTTTGACAGTAAAACCGGTGACAGCTATTGCCTGGTGAAGGCACAGGGTGCTGCACATCCCAGCACCTGGTCACAGCCACTGCAGCTCAATGTTCAGGTTAGTAGCCAGTCTACTTCACTGTATAATACTCACTCATTCTCCTGGGAAATAACTCATCAGACTACCAGCTGCTAGCAACTACTACATGCTATGTCCTGGATCTCTTGCCACAAGATCAGTGGTAACTGAGGGGCTCGTGCTTTTCCTGTGAATTTGACGATGGGAACTGCCAACCTTTTTCTATTGTCCAAGTTTGCCCAGATCTCTTTTAACACTGAGCTGTTGTGGTCACTTTGTTGCTGTGCTCTGCAGGTGTCCGACGCGTTCTCCACGTACTCGGTACAGTCCCGGCAGGTGGATATCAGCTTCATTCCGGCGTTCACCATCAACACGGCCCAGTTTGATATCAAGGACAGCCAGCCACCGTCTCACGTGGTCCTCCAGGGACCGCAGGCTCAACTTGCCGCTATCAAGGTACAGAAACAGCAGCAGCAGCAGCTAGCAAGGAAAATAAATTTCTCAAAGGCAGAATTTAAGTTACCATGGCTACATACTAGTAGCTGTCACAATGCAAAATGGGAGATGATGATGATGATTGTTGTGTCAGTCGTGATATGCACTACAAGTATATGTATTTGTTGATGAGAATTTTCAACTTTGTGTGCTTGCAGGCGTCCAGCTCCGAGCCATCGCTGGTCACGATACAGGCAGCGGAGTCCTCTGACCCGGCTGATGGCAGCCTGACGTATCGTCTCAGCATTGCGGCCACAGCCGCGCAGTTCCAGTCCACACGCATTGTCAACGTGGACTTTGTCAGCTCGCTGACGGGACAGCGCGAGGTCGTGGTGGTGACATACACGCCACCCAGCGAGAACCCTACAGCAACATTCACTGCCAATCTGCAAACGGAAGTAGCGCCCAGTGCGTGTGCGCCAGTCGAGTCTCAAGCCACTACGGCTACCCCGGCCACTGCTTCCTCGCCGGCTTCACAGCAAAAAAGCCCGCAGCCAGGTGAGCTGAACTGCTCTTATGTGATGACATGCTTTGAATCGGTCCCGGCACAGTTAGTGTACAGTTGTGTGTGTGGGCGTGCGTGCGTGCGTGCAGGGATTCACTGGCCAGAAAAAGCCACTTCAATCAGCTGTGTGGTGGATACCAGGCTAAAATTAGTGGCGGCCAATTCATCAGCCTTGCAAGCTGTTGAATGGTAATCCCAGCACAAGTTGCTATGTCTAACATATGTGTGTGTGTATGTGTGTGTGCTTTAGAAGTGTGTGTGTGTGTGTGTGTGTGTGTGTGTGTGTGTGTGTGTGTACGTGTGTGTGTGTGTGTGTGTGTGTGTGTGTGTGTGTGTACGTGTGCCCAGCTGGTATAAGCTCGTACAACTTTGAGAAGTTGACTGGCAATTATCTCTTTAGAACGGAAATATAATTTTGTAAGAAAGTCCTGCACTGGGAAAGAGCAACGCATCAACAACCCAAAAGAGGTATGTGCTACTGATGCTGCTCAAAATCAGGGTCGAATAGAGTTTCTAGTGCCATGTTCCACTACTAGTAAGGGAATACTGTGTGTTGCTGTTGTCATTGTGTGCGTGCGTGCGTGCGTGCGCGCGCGTGCGTGTACGTGTGTGTGTGTGTGTGTGTGTGTGCGTGTGTGCGTGTGTGTGCGTGTTCTCTGTACAACCACCCTGCAGGTGTTGTATCATGGATGGCCGAGGAGAGGAACACACCCTACATCCTCGGCCTGGCACTTGTCTTCACTATCCTGGCCGTCCTGATGGCCACGCTGTGCCTGATCCCGGGGCACGCTCGGTCGCCGCCGTCCTCCTCGGCGCCTGGCTCGCCGCAGCAGAGCAACCCGTACAGCACGGGCTTCTCGCCGTCCCGTGGCATGTATAGCCAGCACCAGCACAGCTTCAGCACACCGCCGCCGGCCAGCACAGTGACTGCTAGCCATGGCCATGCTGGTGCGGTGCGCCACTCACCCGAGTACTCTCCGTTCACGCAGTACTCACCTCCACCAGCGGCCACGAAAACATCGCCGTTCGCCCAGGGTCTACTCTCCGAAGACCTGCAACACTAACTAGCATACGCTACAGGTTTTCTCAATGTACATACTAGCTCTGTAGTAGTGTAGGGTTGTCATGGTTGTAGGGTTGTAGGGTTGTCATGGTTGTAGGGGGGCTGTTGGCATACTCTTGTTAACCTTCAAGACTTCTAACCTTTTTTTAAATGAATTCTCCAGGTGTCTTGTACGGTTTCATCGTTGTACCCAGCAACTCAGCTCTTTCTTGAAGTGTAACTTACTGGTGCGCCTTGCAACTGTTTAGCAGCATTTCAAACCGATTTTTATCTTCTGGTCACGAGGTATTTGTTTTGAGGATAATGCGGCCCCATCCGGGTTTTTTTTCATGTCTTCTGGTGCTTCTGCTGCGGTGCTTTCTAAGCTCATGTACTTTCATATCATGTTTTATTTTTTCGATGCTGCTAATTCAGCGTCCAGCAGCCCGCACCTAGCAGCAGCAGCAGCCTCCCGGTGCTCTGCCTTCATTTTTGCAGGAGTGAGCAGAGTAATCTTGCGTCCCGCGTCGTCCTTCTTACTCTCCAGCCCGTCTGTATTTCGGGTGGGGTAGCAGTTTAGCAGTTTTATCGGCCACAATGACACCAGCAGGTACAGCATCCTGTCCAAGTCATCATCTAACACCGCCATCTTCAATTTGTCTCAGTTTCCTGTTCATCATCCTGTAGATCTACACCACCACGCATACCGGTACTACCAAGAGTCCCTAACGGGTTATGGTTGCCTCTTGGTAGCATGCCTTTTTTCTGATCAACAGGGCAACGCTGCTTGCTGCCTTTTGTTGCCTTTTGTTGCTTTTGTTATGCTGTGTACAATTTGTATAAAACTTGTCTGCGCAGCTGTCAAGTCCTTTGTCCTATCCGCCGGTGCCTGCTGCTGTCTTTCTTAAGGCTAGGCTAGGTTGCGCTGTTGTTGATGATATTCACTCATCTCATGTCTTGTTTCACTTTGCTTCTTGCGTTGTGCTGTATGGTGACCAAACCCGGAAAATTCTACCTGAGAAGAAAATCTAAAAGTTCTCCATCCCAAATCCCCTCCTGGGATGATTACTTTTGTAGCCTATCCTGGTTGTGAAATTCACACCTGGAATGATTGGTCAACCGCCCTCGGCCAATCAGAGTTCAGCAAGCGTGTTCTTCTTGGCTTGCTGTTTGCTGAACTCTTGTTGTTTCTGCATGAGGAAGGAGAAACAAGCCGGAAAATTCTACTGGAGAAGAAAATCTAAAAATAGCGGTTGACCTGTCATTTCAGGCGTGAAGCGATTTACTACTTGTACCCATGAACGGTTCCGCTTTATACTTAGCGCTAACAAGAGTACTGTAGAACGGGTAATTCTAGCGACTATTAATTTTAGCATTTTCCCATTGTCAACCGGTTAGCGACGTTATATTTTAGCGATTTGCAGTGATTTTACTCACGGATCACCAGTGCACTACGAACTATGTCTCGGCTTGAAACTTTAGTGAAAATGAGTCGATCGCTAAATTCGCTAGGGTTTTTACGTCGCTAAAATGACCCGTTCTACAGTACATAACCAGGTTATGTACTCTTGTTAGCGCCCATAAGAGATTCCGGAATCCTGCTGACTCATCATTATGACGTCTTTCACATAGCCTTTAGCTCTATAATTTTGTCTGGAGAGTCTGATGGCGATGGCATGCTTGCATACATCCAGTGTGTGACACAGTAGTGACAGTACGCAGATGTTGTCGTTCACATCACTGTGCGGCAATGCGGTGGCTGCAGCTAAACATAGTTTTCCTTGCTGAGCACTTTTCAGTCAAAAGTTGGCGAAAGTTCGTACGACTTTGTTACTCTTTACTCCAGGTTGCAATGGCCAAATCTTCCCCCAAGTTTTCGCTGTGCACAACCTCTCTGGTACAGAGCAGGGAGTAGTAAAATACCTACTCTCTGGTATGGAGCATTTTTTTACAAGAATGATAGCAAGAGTACATAACCCAAGAGTGTGCAACTGCCTGCACAACCTCTATGCTGTGCTGCGACGGCAGAACTTCACATCACGTGACATGGTTCAAAAGGTTATGCTGGCAAACAGTGCAAAGTGACCACAAGAGAGTTGTACCCAAAGCTGGGCTGCGTACAACCCAGTATCTATCATGCACTAGAGTGCAAGGGTTCATCACGTGATGTGAAGTTCTGCCGTCGCAGACCCCATAGCTGGAGTTGCACACTCTTGTTTATCTACTCTTGTTTATCTACTCTTGATGATAGCCACAAACCAACATGGTGCAAAACGCACATGGGTACACATACATGTAACGAAGGCAAGCGAAGCAGTGGAAGCGGGGCAAGAGCAGCTAAACCCGCCAAGGGTCTGGGTATCTACACTGCTCATGCGCACCAAACAGAAAGATATGAAGAAAAAAATGAGCAGGATCACTACAGAGCAAATGAGAAATAAAGGTGCATATTTCATTGCTGCCGTGCCGACATGCTGTCTCGGCTGATCGAGTCCAGGAAAAGACACTGCTGTCCCGGCAGAATTTCAAGTTGACGTCACTTTTATAACGTAATGTGCAGCATACACAAACTATTATCAAGAGTACATAATCCCCCCCCCCCCCCCCCCCCAGAGTTTGCCTCCACTATACTATGGCTGCTGCTTGCTGCCGCAACAGAGTGTTGAAATTCTGGCTGCAAACTCTTGGGAGGGGGCTATCATATTATCAGACGTGGTGTAGCCTGGACCTGTGGCGAAACACCCATTGGATCTTGTACAAACAACATAATGGTCACTGCTGGAATAGCGACATCGGGTAAAACAACTCGTGAATAACGACACAATCTTCAGATCCAGCAGTGAGCATTTGACAGCATACTTTAGACCTCGTGAATAACAACAACTTGTAGCGAATAATCACGGACACGTTTCTCTGCACTATCGAGGATCATTATTTGCAAGATCAGTGACTGTATTGTATTGTATTCTTCATTTGAATTTGTAGGTACACATGAGCAGTACACATGAGCTACACGCTCAATAAGGGGTTTAGGTACGAGGACAAAGGGCTATGCTGTATACGTGTGCTGATTGTGCCACCATCCAACAAGCTACTAAATAGTAAATACGCCCTCTCTCTATCTAGTACACGGGTGCACTCTTGCCACCAGTGAGTTAGCTAGAGAGTAGAGGTGCACCAGTTCGATTGAGAATGTGAGAACGTAGTCCGAGCGGAACGTTGCAGCTTCCTCGGACCCACATCATTCGTGTGACTCAGCACATTGAAGATGGCAAGTGATGTAATTTTGATTCTGAGGACGTACTTCCCTGTTCCAGCTCCCGTCAAAGTTTAGAGAATGTTTGCGGTGTACTCGAGCCTTTGACTCAGCTTGCCGCTACCATGGTTACAACACGATACTAGTTTCAACTACAGTCAACTTTGCGTACCGGTATAACGACACTCGGTGGGGCATCAGAAAAGTGTCCTTATTCGCGAAGTGACCTTTTACACCCGAAGTCTCATATTGAGAATTATGTATTACAGTTAGATGGACGTACTGTACTTTGCTCTCGGCATGGAGATTCTGTCGTTATTCGCGAATCAGTCGTTATTCGCGAATCAGTCGTTATTCGCGAATCAGTCGTTATTCGCGAATCAGTCGTTATATCCGCAGTCGTTATATCCGCAGTCGTTATATCCGCAGTCGTTATATCCGCAGTCGTTATATCCGCAGTCGTTATATCCGCAGTCGTTATATCCGCAGTCGTTATATCCGCAGTCGTTATATCCGCAGTCGTTATATCCGCAGTCGTTATATCCGCAGTCGTTATATCCGCAGTCGTTATATCCGCAGTCGTTATATCCGCAGTCGTTATATCCGCAGTCGTTATATCCGCAGTCGTTATATCCGCAGTCGTTATATCCGCAGTCGTTATATCCGCAGTCGTTATATCCGCAGTCGTTATATCCGCAGTCGTTATATCCGCAGTCGTTATATCCGCAGTCGTTATATCCGCAGTCGTTATATCCGCAGTCGTTATATCCGCAGTCGTTATATCCGCAGTCGTTATATCCGCAGTCGTTATATCCGCAGTCGTTATATCCGCAGTCGTTATATCCGCAGTCGTTATATCCGCAGTCGTTATATCCGCAGTCGTTATATCCGCAGTCGTTATATCCGCAGTCGTTATATCCGCAGTCGTTATATCCGCAGTCGTTATATCCGCAGTCGTTATATCCGCAGTCGTTATATCCGCAGTCGTTATATCCGCAGTCGTTATATCCGCAGTCGTTATATCCGCAGTCGTTATATCCGCAGTCGTTATATCCGCAGTCGTTATATCCGCAGTCGTTATATCCGCAGTCGTTATATCCGCAGTCGTTATATCCGCAGTCGTTATATCCGCAGTCGTTATATCCGCAGTCGTTATATCCGCAGTCGTTATATCCGCAGTCGTTATATCCGCAGTCGTTATATCCGCAGTCGTTATATCCGCAGTCGTTATATCCGCAGTCGTTATATCCGCAGTCGTTATATCCGCAGTCGTTATATCCGCAGTCGTTATATCCGCAGTCGTTATATCCGCAGTCGTTATATCCGCAGTCGTTATATCCGCAGTCGTTATATCCGCAGTCGTTATATCCGCAGTCGTTATATCCGCAGTCGTTATATCCGCAGTCGTTATATCCGCAGTCGTTATATCCGCAGTCGTTATATCCGCAGTCGTTATATCCGCAGTCGTTATATCCGCAGTCGTTATATCCGCAGTCGTTATATCCGCAGTCGTTATTAGCCAAGTTGACTGTACAGTCATGCACAAACTTCCTGTGGGTCAGTAACCATGGTAACAAAGACTCAGTTCTAAAAGTACCTTCCTGGAGCTCACCTCACAATACATTGTACAAAGTGTCGACCGAACGCAGAAGCTAGGGAGTAGGGTACGTCACCTTGCCTTCTATTTAGCACTGTACAGTCTGTACTGTACTTCGATGAGGACGGTGAGATTCAGGAAGATGCTTTGTACGGTAGCTTCTGCGTTCCGTCAGTCTGTATGCGGAAAAGTATTCACTACGTACGAGCGTAGATCTACGAGCGTAGATCTCAAGGTAAGGTGAGGTAGAGAGCGACTGCGGACAGTGATCACGTGAGGAGACAGCGTTTCAGAGCTGCAGAAGGCCTGCAGAGCTCAAACTGTTTTTATTTTTTAAAGGGGAAATTAAGGCAAAAATTAAAATTTCACCAGTTGTAGGGGGTGCTGAGTCGAATGGCCGTGGTCCGAGGAAGCTGAGACGCTCCCTTCCTACTTGAATCCCAATCGAACTCGCGCACTTCCACCGAAACTGGGTGACTGCGCCCTACTAGATGGGGATTTGTATGCAAAATGTCACTAAAAGCGCCATTTCGTTCTTATAAAAGCACGGATGACCGCGATTGGCCCATATGTTGTAGTCTTTTGGACGCTGCGTCGACTGGTTTTGGTCCGAAAAGGCTGCGATGCAGCGTTCCTCCTTTATTCCCAATCGAACATGGTTGAACAAGCGGTCACGTGCTCCTGCGTACGCCAGTCACCTGGTCACCGTGCCTGCAGGGTACAACTTACTAGCCTGTTTGACCTTTTTTGGGTGCAGTCCTGTCACTCGAGTTGAACCTTGGTGTGAAAGTTAGTTGTCGCCTGCTGGCGTGGTGACCAGGTGATTTGGGCACCCAGGAGCACGTGACCGCTTGTTCAAGCATGTTCGATTGGGAATAAAGGAGGAACGCTGCATCGCAGCCTTTTCGGACCAAAACCAGTCGACGCAGCGTCCAAAAGACTACAACATATGGGCCAATCGCGGTCATCCGTGCTTTTATAAGAACGAAATGGCGCTTTTAGTGACATTTTGCATACAAATCCCCATCTAGTAGGGCGCAGTCACCCAGTTTCGGTGGAAGTGCGCGAGTTCGATTGGGATTCAAGTAGGAAGGGAGCGTCTCAGCTTTCTCGGACCAAGACCATTCGACTCAGCACCCGGCCCGAAGGCTACAACTGGTGAAATTATTGCGGCAAAGAGTGTACAACATAATCCCTACCTGACTCAGACTGGACTAGCCCAAGCCAAGGCTAGTAACACGCCGCATGTGCCGAGTCGTGCAGTAGACTACGCACCTGCCTTCACCACCGCGGGTTCTGCTTCGCCAACACGGCTCTGCTTCAGCAGTCTCACAACTACTATTGATATCGGATAGACACTGTGGAAGAGATAACAGATGTCCTTGCTCCAGCTGCCTACTTTCTATCCCGTAAAAAGCCCAGAGCGGTCGTCGGGACTCAAGGAGAAGATATGCGGCGAGTCTAAACAAGCTGAATATAATTCTGTTTAGGCAAGTCGCCTTCACACGGTCGCAGGATGTGACAAGGGATTATGTGTGAAGTCGCCGACTTCCCAGCTACAGTACTTGCGCTAGCTGCTGCTGGTGTAGATTTCATCGAGACCGGATTTCACTTGCCCACAACTTAACTGTGTACAGTCATGACTTGCACTTTTCGGCAGTATGAGTACGAGTCGTACTCTTGGTACAGCAAGTAACACGTAAGTCGTTAGTTGTAAAATTAAACTGTACTACTGGGTACTACTACTGCCCTAGTACTGGGTGGTTATGAAGTACCACACAGTGCAGTGTCCGGATACGTCACAGTATGTGGCCCCCACAGAGGCAGGCTCGGGTTTGTGCTGTCCATCAGGGCGCCCGACGGGAGTGTCTTGTCGCGCTACATTTGTGGCGAGTCTCATCCTGCCATGGACGTAAACTATGGTGACATACCGGGCATTGGAACGGCTTCGTTACCGGTTGAGTACTGATGTTGACGATGTGCTCAACTCCGCCACGGCACCTCAGCCGCCATCCCTCCATGTCCCGGGCGATGTCATTGAACTCTTCAACTGGAATGCCGATGGAGGTAAAGTCAGCCTTTGCAACATCCTTCCACCGCTTCCTGAGGCCATGGGGCGGGCGCTTAGCTGGCAGGGCGCCGTACATCAGCTGCAGGGGAATGCGATTCCCCATCCGAGCAACGTGTCCCAGCCACCAGAGCCGGCGCCTCTAAACCTAATCGATGACATGCTCAAGGTCTCCCCACATGCGACGAACCTGGAGGGAAGAGATTCGGTCAAGGATCTGCCGATGCACGCACGCACATACACACACGCACACACACTCACACACACACACTCACACACACACACTCACACACACACACACACACACACACACACACACACACACACACACAGCACTGCCAGCAGACGTCTAAGTTACTGCTTTCTGCAACTCTGGCAGACATGACAAAGAAATAGTACTACTTCAAGTACTGGGATAGCAGCTCCTAGATTCCAAACTAAAAAGTGACACTGATGTCCTCAACTAGTACTGTCCAGTACGCCTACACAACAAAATATACAAATGCAATATAGATCAAGGGGTAGGGGAGCAGGCTCGCACTAGCACGAGCAAGAATGGAACTGAGCGCAGCAGACAGCGCACTCCAGCGTGACTGGCAGAGTCTCTAGCAGGTGTGGTGAGCCCATCGCCGGGCGGAAAGCCAGCAGATGAGCGAAAGTCTCTGCAAGTGACAACTATGCTGACAAATTCAAGGAAAGAGAGAGAGATAGAGAGATAGAGAGAGAGAGAGAGAGAGAGAGAGAGAGAGAGAGAGAGAGAGAGAGAGAGAGAGAGAGAGAGAGAGAGAGAGAGAGAGAGAGAGAGAGAGAGAGAGAGAGAGAGAGAGAGAGAGCACATCCATTCTTCTGAACCAGCAGAAAAGGAGTGAAATACGTATGAGCCAAGATGAACATTTCATGAGCAGATTAAAAAAAGCCGGAACCGTGGACCAGCCGGCATGAAGCCAACAAACGGTTGTCAATGTTGTGAGAGGTAAATTTTCAATCGTTGTGTTCTACAGAAGATCCAGTGAGGTACACAGGACTGTCAGCTAAGCCTGCAGTGGCTGGTGATTCAGTGAGGCACATGGGACTGGCAGCCAAGCCTGCGGAGGCTGGTGATTCAGTGAGGCACATGGGACTGGCAGCCAAACCTGCAGAGGCTGGTGATTCAGTGAGGCACATGGGACTGGCAGCCAAGCCTGCAGAGGCCGGTGATTCAGTGAGGCACATAGACAGCTAAGCCTGCAGAGGCTGGTGATTCAGTGAGGTACACGGGACTGTCAGCTAAGCCTGCAGTGACTGGTGATTCAGTGAGGCACATGGGACTGGCAGCTAAGCCTCCAGTGGCTGGAACACTTCCATCTTGTACTGTAACGCATGTACTTTGCATCTTGAATACTGAGTACACTGTAACGCATGTACTTTGCAAGCATGTCATAGTTGGCGCAGTTTAGTACGAGCGCATCACCCAACAAGCACGCGAGCCTGGCGATAGCGCTGCTGCCGCTGCTTGAGATGACAGAGTTGCCTGTGCGCTATCCACGGGAAGGACAAGCAATGGCGCTGGCTGTTGGCTGAACTATTCGACTCATTGATCTCAAACACCGCCGCCTTATACCAAGCGGACGCTTTTCCCAGAAAGTGCTCCTCTTTAGCAAGCCATGCATCGCCATGCGGACTGATTCTTCCTTCCAAGAACGAGTGCTTGTAGAAGCGCCGGATCAACAGGTTTGCTTCCATCTGAGCAAAGTAGCGCAAGTCATGCCAGTAGGTATGGCCAAGCTCGAGAAGGTTGCGTGATGACTTCTCACTCCGCTCAATGGGATCGATGAGGCCGACAAACAGCTCCGCTTCACTCCCCACTTTGAAGTGCTCAATAAGCTGACCGACCTGCTTGCTATAGCTGCTGAGTACGTCGTCTGCCTCGGAGAGGAAACTGGCATAACCGTCATGCTGAGTGGGCCAACAACACCATAAGAACACACACACACACACACACACACACACACACACATGCGCGCACACACACACACGCACACACACACACACACATGCACACACACGTACATACATGTACCACACTTACATGCACCACACGGACACACACAGAGTCAGCCACAAGGAATTCGTCGGTAATTTTAGGTGGGTAACACTGGTACATAATTGCCAGCATGGCCGCATTTGACGTGATCTCACCAGCAGCCGGACTCAAGCACGATGCCAGGGTCAATTATCTCCATGAAACACCTGCTGTGGCCTATGGCATGCGGGCCACCACAAAAAAAAGCGACAAGAGAAACAGAGCAGCAGTTTGGGAAAGCCAAGGGGGTTGAGCCCCAACCCCCACCCCTAGTCCAGAAACAGAAATAAATAGTTCGTTTATATAGTATCAGTTTACTCAAGTCTGTATCAGTATCAGTTTACTGTATAAAAGAAGTGCTGCTCATACGGTCAGTCAACATACCTGAAAGTCTTGGTCAGGCTGCCAGTGTCCTTCCATTCGCAATGCTTCTGGTGTCAGGATAGTTGCCTCTTCTATGTTACCCTTAGCTGAGCGGTATAAACGACCAATCACTTTCTCTGATTTGTAATGTTCTAAAGCAGGACATGAACAGCAGAATCGCTATCGTATCGTTAGTACTAATCATAGCAAGACACCAGTAGAAAGTACAGAAGACAAACATGGAGTTACTTCAATGTACCACCTTTTCAAGCAGCTTCGCAACAATTGGTAACAATGACATGGGTCTGTAATTAGTGGCAACTTTCGGGTCCCCTGCTTTGTAAAGTGGCTTTACAAGGGCGTGTTTGAACGGCCTCGGTGGGCGATGCGACTCCAGCTTCAGATTACTTCAAGTACAACACTGAGGACTTGTAAATAGCTGAAGTTTGTGAAGCAGCAGATCTTACTTTATGACTGTGCATTCAGCACACGGCGGGCACCACGCTTTGATCCATGAAAAAAGAGATTTTACACCAACGTTCCGCAAGCAGTACAACAAAGGGTCGTACATGATTGAGTTTTTTTCTTGACTGAATTTTAGGTCTGCTGTAACGATTCTAACCGGCATGGTGAAACGTTATGCAGGATGACCCATGGTACGCTTCCCTACCATACGTGGAATCCTAGTGCAGTCAGACCTCGCTTATCCTGTCCTCTTTTATCCGGATCCCCCGCCATCCGGACGAAAATCGCTGGTTACTGATTTACAGCATATGCCATGCATACATACAGTACGTGTGTTCGATTATCCGGTTCCCTCGCCTATCCGGATATTTTTTGTGGAAAACGGATGTGTGCGGTTATGCTAGGTCTGACTGTATAGTCGTCCCTCTCTAATCCGGCACTTGTTTATCCAGCACCCTTGCAAACCAGCACACGTTCTGGCAAAACGGATTTTTTCAGTTCATTTTCTATGCTTTAATCCGGCACTTGAATTCCGGCTCCAGCAGCGATTTTCTGCAACAAATCGCTCAAACTGTACATAATTCAATGTTATAATCCAGCAGTTGTACATCGCATACCGTACCAGTGCACAGCTACAGCAGTCCGCAGGCCAACAGGCTGAACTGTGTCTCAAATATTATTCGTTCCCCCGGGTGGTACCAAGTTTCGTTGGCATGTACCGATAGAGCCAGCTGAGGGGGAGGGGTGTCTTGGTGAAAGAAGTGAGTCGGTGCGGTGGTGCTGAGCCTCACAGTGGGTGGTTTTCTCTTCGGCTGAAGAACAGATCTGCACAGATCTCGTGTTTTCCCATTTTGAGCATGCGTAAAAGTCACACATAATTTTCATGCCGCGCACGTGGCGATTTTTGAATTTGGCGAGCTTGAAACAAAGTTGAAAGCTGACAGATTCTTCCACAGCTCGTCTTCTTTGGCCACTTCTTTCCATTTCTAGTGTCTGCCATGGAGTAGAAGGATGGCAGAAAAGGAGCCCGCAACGCCAGTGCAGCAGAAACATAGCACACGGCAATCTGTTCAAGCTCCCTTGATCAAACCGGGACGTAGGAATTGCATTTTTTGTGGTAGCTTGTCTAAGAAGGTCCCCAAGAGCACCTACAAGCAGACGGCATCACAGCTCCAGACGGAGGATGCTGAGACTAAACTTCGGAGAGCTGCAGCCATCCGGAAGGACAAGAGAATCCTGGTTGCCATCAGTGGAGCCAGCAGTCTTATCGCGCGCGCGCGCGTGAGGTATTCTACCATAAATATTGTTACTTGAATTATGTGCGAGAGACTACACTATGCAAGCTCGTACAGGAATCCTCATCAGCCACGAGTGCGACTGTCACTGATACGAGTGCTGCCATGGAGGTATCTGACCAAGCACTCGAAGACTCAGAGTCAGGAAGTATGGAGTATCGTAATGGCCGGTTCCAGTTTGTTGAGAACATAGCAGTCAACCTCTTCGACGAGTGCAATGTTCTCTCAGCATGAACGCAATTGTCTCGCAGTACACGTCCGCTGTTGGTGAGTGTGCTCGGACTGATAAAGTCAAGGCGCTGTTAGTCAGCAAATTCGGTGACACGGTCACTTTTGCACGCCCATCTGCCCGGAATCGATCGGAACTTGTTTATGCAACCGGCAGAGCTAGTGACATAATTGCACGGCTCCATGGTAGTAGAACTGGCCGCAATGCAGACAGCGACGAGGACTTTGTCGAAGAGGTGAGCCACTCCGCAGCTAAAGTAACGCATGACCAGCAGGAGCTGCACAGCATCTATCATGCTGCAAGATCATTGCGTGTTGCTTGCTGGGGGCATCGGAGGACGAGTAGCGGCCTGTCACTGAGTGATGCCAAGGATTGCATTCCGGGCATGCTTTTTAACTTCCTTGTGTGGCTCCTCAGTGATATGTACCACGATGTCCCATTACAACGGGGCGCAATTGATATCGGGAGCAGACCCTTCAACCGCCGCGTATGCTCCATTGCCCAAGACATAATGTACTGTGGCACTAGAGTTGTCCCACCCAAACATGTTATCCTCGGCATTGGAGTACACCATCTGTTCCGGAGTGAGAGGCTCGTATCTATATTGAATAGATTCGGCCATTCCATCGCCTACTCACAAGCGCTGGAGCATGAAACGGGCATGGCAGAGGAGAAAGTTCGCCGCGGGCAGGACATTGATAGCCTTCCTGATGTCATTGACAGCAGCCTGCCGTTCTTTCATGTGGTCGACAACAATGACCTAAATGAGGAAACCCTTGATGGCAAGAAGGCCATGCACTGCACCAACGCCATTGTTGTTCAGCCCCGCCTGCAACACAACACCGAGCCTATTCATGCACAGCAGGTTGAAGTACCCGAGCCGCAGCCGCCCAGAAAGCGTAGGCGGGCACTATGCTATGAAACGGAGCAGATTGCCGACATCGTATGCACGTCGAAGGTTAATCCGCCTCGATATGCGCGTCTGCCAGATGCGACACTGAGCAGCCAATCCTCGCCCAGCGACATCGTGGCAATGGTGGATTTTGGCTGGAAGCTGGCAAGGGCCTGCCACGATGGAGACATCATGAAGCCAATCGTGGCGGGTGAAGTGACAACAAACTCCCAGAAAGTGCCAGCATGGTCAGCTTTCAATGCTCTAACAACGTCATCCACGCCTCCACCACAATCTGTTATTGGCTATTGCCCAACTGTCGACTCCTCACCAACAGAGTATTCGACTGTGTATGCAGTGCTCGTTAAGTGCTTGGCCGGATGTCAGAGTGCTGGCAGTGCTGGCATGTCATTTTCGCTGGTCGTCGTGAACCAGGCCATATACGCCAAGGCGCTTGACATTGTTGTCCAACGACCTGAGGAATTTTCGTCTGTCGTTCTGCGGATGGGTGCATTTCATGTCTCCTGCACCTTCCTGGAAATAATTGGGAAGCGGTTTCGGGATGCTGGCCTGTTGGACCTTCTGGTCGAATCCAGCGTAGCTGGATCTGCAGCAGTGTCATCTGCCCTTGATGGGAAGCACTACAACAGGGCCGTTCGCTTCCACAAGATTGTGTGCGAGGCACTGGAGCGAGCACGGTGGAAGGAGTTTGTAGAAGCATCTAGTCATGACGAGTTAACAGCTTTGAAGAATGAGTTGCTTCCGCTACTGAAGAACTTGCAGTCAAGTGTTAAGCCTGCAACCCTGAAGGATGTTGCAGAATCACCGCACACCAAAGATCTGCACAAGTCCTATCTCGATTTCTGCCAAGGGCAAGCACAGCAATCTCCCAACTTCAAGTTCTGGTCATCGTATATTGACATGGTCGGCCCGCTTCTTCGCTTCATCCGTGCAAGCAGAACTGGCAACTGGGATCTCCAGTTGTCCTGCGTTTTGGAAATGCTTCCTTGGTGTTTTGCGTACGACAGGCAAAACTATGCACAGTTCATATCATTTTAAATGCTAACTATTTCTTCGCTAAATTGACCGCTTAGTTGTAATGGTTATCACCCTTGCGCTGTTGTACGTTTCATTGGTTCTAGTTGCTTGCAATTAAGTTGAAGAGAACGAGCGAAAACTGGTTTGTGAAAACTTCTTGAGTCCTTGAATACTGATGGCGCTGGTGACGAGCTTGAACGATTTTCTTTTTCTTGCGGTGACAGTAGAACTACCCGTAGCGACGCGCATTAAAGCGCACATGCCTGTATCCCTATATCCGGGCATAGGCGCACCCTCCACGTGCCCGTATCCCTTTATCCGGGCATAGGCGCACCCTCACAAAACGTTATAAGCACATGGGCTTATAAGTGAACCCAATCCCGCAACACACGGACGCCACCATGATACTATCTTTAGAGGATTTGATGTGGAATCACCAAATTCCACACTGGTAACTCAATTACAAGCACATGCGCCTATATGTGAGACCAATCGACCTTCAACAAATTTCAAATGTGCCAAAAACTCGCTCGCATGGGCTTAAATGTGGGTGACCACGGTACTCACCGGATTGTGGTCGCATAAAGTCAGGATACTTGACCGGGAAGCAAGAATTAGGAACACGGGGCGGCTTTCCGGTCTTAGGAAAGTCCACGGCGCACGAGAAGTGCTTGGCCAGCTCTATGCATGTTTTATCCTTGGCACCTAGCTTGTCTGCTTGTGCCTGTACGAACAAATAGCAGCAGCAGTAGGCAAGCGAGCTTATCACGAGGAAGCCAACAAGAGGCTACAGCACAACACTAGTCCAGCAAACTTAGCAGACAAATGTGTAGTTAGGCAAGAACTACTACCGAAAGAACAATACTGACACGCTATCATGCAGTTACAGTGGCGGATCCAGGAGGGGTTCCAGGGGTTCCGCAAAACCCCCTAATTTTTGAACATGTACTGCTGACGACTGTACGCATGTGGATGTACATGTATCAGCTATTCATTTTTCGACTAAACTGGAACCCCCCTGTAGAGATCGCTGGATCTGTACGAACAAATAGCAGCAGCAGTAGGCAAGCGAGCTTATCACGAGGAAGCCAACAAGAGGCTACAGCACAACACTAGTCGAGCAAACTTAGCAGACAAATGTGTAGCTAGGCAAGAACTACTACCGAATGACCCGCTATCATGCAGTTTACTGTTATGATGCCATGCAATCACGCTATCAAGCAGTTATGATGCCATGCAATCATGCTATCATGCAGTTATGATGTCATGCAATCACGCTATCACACTGTCATGCTACATGTACCACACTGGCATAGCCTGTATCACGCTATCATACCATGTCTATCATACTATCTTGCTGGGGAACAAACTGGAGTAGCCCTTTTGGCTTTTGCCTCGCTGAAGACAACGGAAAAGGAGTGCAGCACTGCATCAGCATACCGTAAAAGTCCGTAAATAAGTACGTATTTACTTTCGAATTTAGTGACCACACCCGTACTAACTTCCGGACGGGTACTGACTTTCGGGCACGAACTAACTTTCGGACCTGACTTGTGCGTAGTGGAGAAGTCGTTTTCATGTCGATGTACATGCTACATGCTGCATGTGCGCACCGTACCGGTACTTATTTCGGGCAGTATGTTTATCGGGCTTGACTTGACTTCAACAGACAGAGCCAAAAGAATGAAGGGGGTATTTCTTTCGGGCAGGTACTTATTTACGGACTTTTACGGTACTCTGGGAGGTTTCCATGGCAAGCCCCATGCCTTGCTAAACGCATGTGTACAAATCTAGACCCAACTGAAGTTGTAGATAGGCGAACCACATAATGAGAGCAAGACTGGACTCTGATGAACAGCGGTATATTTAAATTTACGACAAATCAAGGTAGTCTTCAGAATGAACTGTGTGGTTCTGATATTTACAGTTGCATGTTCAGCCAGACAGACAGAGTGAACGGACAGACTGACAAACAGACAGATGGACGGACGGAAAACAGACAGACGTAAATTTCACTAAGGAGTTGATGAACAGTAACGTACCAAATGAGCGTTGGAGATACGGCCCAGTGAGCTGCCGGACAAGTACTTGATAAAGAACTTCGTCATGGTGTTCGGATCCGATATATCCTCATTGTTCTCCTCAGGTACACCGGCTGTGTAGTCGAGCGGCTCATAGTTCTCTGCCGGAATGAGTCTTGGATCCCAGGAAACAAAGTACAGGTCTCCATCCAAGTCCGACCCAGAGCACTCATCGGTGTGCGGACGCGTGCCCACCTAAGCACACACACAGGAGCATGAGAGACCAGCAACCTTATAGAATTGTGTGCAGCATGCTGCTATTAGTCAATGCACACTTCAGGGAGTATGACGTAGACGACCGCACTTTACGCGTGTACAGTGTTATTATACTAAGTCTAAAAAGAAAGGCCAAAAACCTAATTTGAAGCTCATGAGCAAAACACGCATTTCAATACAATGTCATGTACACATACCGTAAAGTACCGTTGATCCGCCCCCTCTCTAATTCCCGCCCCCTGTCGATTTTCTCCTTGTGAAGCGACTTCGGCGTATACAACGAAATACGATGTTGAACCGACGCATGCACTGCTGTACACAATACTTGCCAATCCAGGATCAAAATGTGCACAATCCAGCACATTGAGTCTGATCCTCTACGTTGTTGTACATCGTACTGCACTTGACAGCCTTGATCTAATTCCCGCCCCCTGCCGAAAACCCAGCTGGGAAGCGACATGGCGTGGGGGCGGATCAACGGTACTTTACGGTACATACAAACAATAGCACAGTGCAAAACACAGACGTAAACAGTCAAAATAGAGACAAAGGGAGAGAGCGACAGAGAGAGAGAGAGAGAGAGAGAGAGAGAGAGAGAGAGAGAGAGAGAGAGAGAGAGAGAGAGAGAGAGAGAGAGCGAGAGAGCGAGAGAGAGAGAGAGAGAGAGAGAGAGAGAGAGAGAGAGAGAGAGAGAGAGAGAGAGAGAGAGAGAGAGAGAGAGAGAGAGAGCGAGAGAGCGAGAGAGAGAGAGAGAGAGAGAGAGAGAGAGAGAGAGAGAGAGAGAGAGAGAGAGAGAGAGAGAGAGAGAGAGAGAGAGAGAGAGAGAGAGAGAGAGAGAGAATGCTCACACCACACATAAACCTTTTTCACAGTAACCACTGTCGCAAAGAAACACATCTGCATGCACTGCTCAGACACCAACCTGTGGAAAGACAAGACAATCGACAAGGTGATGGAGTTCCGGACGGTTGACTGCACGTAGCTTACGAATATCACCTGGGTGGTGGCATGGATTCTTGCCAACAATGACATCACCTGCACAACACAATCATGATAAATGGCCAGCGAATAGAGAAGGCCAGTAGTCAGCACAGCAAGACAGAGGAGTTATTTGACCACCGCCGCCTCTACCACCACCACCTGACGACCACCACCATTATCATCATCATCATGGAGAAGGGCCTCTTTTACGGGCAGTCCAGAGAAAACTGAATGGATATTCACCAATCAATATGTCAATATAGTCGGAAAACCACTGAATTCAGTTACATTAACGACCACCAAACACACACACACACACACACACACACACACACAGCATACTAACCTTCAATAAACTCCGCATGTCCGTTGCTTGGGTTTCGCACAGCAATAAAGATCTGCGCAACAGGGAAGGTTAAAAGTAAGTACGCAATCGGAACAATAACATTCAAAGGAACAAGCAAGCACCCACTCAAACAGATGGGAATAGGATGCATACACAAGCACTCATACACAAGCACACACAAGCATACACAAGCACACACAGTCATGCACAGCCACCCATATGTATATATAATCGGCCATACTCAACTTTTTTAAGAAATAAGGAAGAGTTACCGGTAGCTGAAAGTGCATAATCTTGCACTACATTATAACTCACTTCGCCAGACTGGAGAACCCTTTCTTCATCCATGATTCCCATCAGAATAGCAGCTTTCTGAACCGGGATAGAGGTGCGATCGCGCAGGTTTTGCAGGGAGAAGCGGGCCAGGGCCAAGAGACCTTTGCGCAGGAATGGCTCTGCCGATGGTGCCACACCACTCTTCAACGTGTCCACTACGCTATTGAGCGGGTTGTTCGGCAAATGGCAGCCATGCATGTACAGTGTTTGAAGGGCAATCTGTTGTACAAACGAGATAAGAAACACAACACACACACACACACACACACACACACACAACACACGCACAACACACACACACACACACATACACACACGCGCACACACACACAACACACACACACACACACACACACACAACACACGCACAACACACACACACATACACACGCGCGCACACACACACACACACACACACACACACACACACACACACACGTACGCACACAAGAACTTGCCTGGTTCTCCACAATCAAAACTACTCGGGTACAGTCATGTACATGAGATGGTGCGTATAGAATAGCAGCCATTATAGTCTGTTTCAAAAAGATTTACAATCAGGTTTGGGTCTTAAAAAGTATGAAGATAAGGGAAATTTGGACAACAAAGTACATAGAATGGCTTGTTAGGACACGGCAAATTGTTCTGTGAAGGTTTCGGAACAATTGGAGCAGCCGTTAAAGGGGAAGTTAAGGCAAACATTAAAATTTCACCAGTTGTAGTCTTCGGGGTGCTGAGTCGAATGGTCGTGGTCCGAGGAAGCTGAGACGCTCCCTTCCTACTTGAATCCCAATCGAACTCGCGTACTTCCACCGAAACTGGGTGACTGCGCCCTACTAGATGGGGATTTGTATGCAAAATGTCACTAAAAGCGCCATTTCGTTCTTATAAAAGCACGGATGACCGCGATTGGCCCATATGTTGTAGTCTTTTGGACGCTGAGTCGACTGGTTTTGGTCCGAAAAGGCTGCGATGCGGCGTTCCTCCTTTATTCCCAATCGAACATGGTTGAAGAAGCGGTCACGTGCTCCTGCGTACACCAGTCACCTGGTCACCGTGCCTGCAGGGTACAACTTACTAGCCTGTTTGACCTTTTTTGGGTGCAGTCCTGTCACTCGAGTTGAACTCGAGTTGAACCTTGGTGTGAAAGTTGTCACCTGCTGGCGTGGTGACCAGGTGATTTGGGCACGCAGGACCACGTGACCGCTTCTTCAACCATGTTCGATTGGGAATAAAGGAGGAACGCTGCATCGCAGCCTTTTCGGACCAAAACCAGTCGACTCAGCGTCCAAAAGACTACAACATATGGGCCAATCGCGGTCATCCGTGCTTTTATAAGAACGAAATGGCGCTTTTAGTGACATTTTGCATACAAATCCCCATCTAGTAGGGCGCAGTCACCCAGTTTCGGTGGAAGTGCGCGAGTTCGATTGGGATTCAAGTAGGAAGGGAGCGTCTCAGCTTCCTCGGACCACGACCATTCGACTCAGCACTCCGAAGACTACAACTGGTGAAATTTTAATTTTTGCCTTAACTTCCCCTTTTTAAAGGGGAAGTTAAGGCAAAAATTAAAATTTCACCAGTTGTAGTCTTCGGGGTGCTGAGTCGAATGGTCGTGGTCCGAGGAAGCTGAGACGCTCCCTTCCTACTTGAATCCCAATCGAACTCGCGCACTTCCACCGAAACTGGGTGACTGCGCCCTACTAGATGGGGATTTGTATGCAAAATGTCACTAAAAGCGCCATTTCGTTCTTATAAAAGCACGGATGACCGCGATTGGCCCATGTGTTGTAGTCTTTTGGACGCTGAGTCGACTGGTTTTGGTCCGAAAAGGCGGCGATGCGGCGTTCCTCCTTTATTCCCAATCGAACATGGTTGAAGAAGCGGTCACGTGCTCCTGCGTACACCAGTCACCTGGTCACCGTGCCTGCAGGGTACAACTTACTAGCCTGTTTGACCTTTTTTGGGTGCAGTCCTGTCACTCGAGTTGAACCCGAGTTGAACCTTGGTGTGAAAGTTGTCACCTGCTGGCGTGGTGACCAGGTGATTTGGGCACCCAGGACCACGTGACCGCTTCTTCAACCATGTTCGATTGGGAATAAAGGAGGAACGCTGCATCGCAGCCTTTTCGAACCAAAACCAGTCGACTCAGCGTCCCAAAGACTACAACATATGTAGCGATGTCAGGGTAAATTTCTGTTTTGAGAATCGGGCAAATATTGTAATACCATCCGATTCCTGAAGACAAGTAGAGTATACTGGCAAAGTTTGAAGCAAATCGGAGCAAATATAGTGGACTTATTCCAGTTTAGAGTGCGCGGGGTAAGCGCCGCCATTGTCGAAAAGTACCATGCCGCACTGTACACAAACCAGATCTCACCACGGCACAAAATCGGTCTTGACAACAGGGATCGCGGCTCATGAATAATCTTGCGCACTGTACAAAATGTACATACCGTAGCTGTACTGTTTTTTTTGTTGTTGCTGCAAACTGTTGGAGAAATTCAAGAAGACTGTTGAAGAGTAGCCGAAGTATGAGTTGTGATTTGGCCATTCTCCAAGACAAGAAGAGTTCGACAAGTAGATTATGATCCTGGTTGTGGTCCGCTTTGAACTTCATCAGTTCTAACACCAATGCATTTGAAACGTTTCCGATCATGCTAGGCAGGGGCTTATCCTGCAATACTGCTCCTCCTTGAGTCCAAGACTCGACAAAACATCTTCACCGCCTGTCCCTTTGCTGGACGAACACTCATGATGGCGGTGTATCCAGCAATGGAGTACCTGTCGCGAAAAATACTACAAGTCTGGTGCGCGGCGTGATACGCCGGTGAAACTTGGCAGCAAACTAAATTGGACGACGGGGAACACGATGGAACTAAAATCAAACCCGTATCAGGCAGCGCAAGAGATGAAAAAGGCGACTGAACATACGCTAACTTGTCGGCGGCCATACTCCCAGCTCCGTAGGCGCAGCGCGCCCGCACAAACGCGGATACGAAAGTTCATCTTCTATTTTCGTGGCAATAGTCACGACCAAGCTTGTCACTGACGTCTTCAGGTCACATTTGAATATCCCGCGTGCCAAGTACTGCACGCTCTGGCCGCGACTGGCATTCTGCCGTACTGGCCTTTTGTGCCATCATTTCAGCTGGTTGCTAGGGAATCCAGCGACAAGCGTGGAGGTCACGTGGTACGGCACTCTGACATCGCTAACATATGGGCCAATCGCGGTCATCCGTGCTTTTATAAGAACGAAATGGCGCTTTTAGTGACATTTTGCATACAAATCCCCATCTAGTAGGGCGCAGTCACCCAGTTTCGGTGGAAGTGCGCGAGTTCGATTGGGATTCAAGTAGGAAGGGAGCGTCTCAGCTTCCTCGGACCAAGACCATTCGACTCAGCACCCCGAAGACTACAACTGGTGAAATTTTAATTTTTGCCTTAACTTCCCCTTTAACCCTTTGCCGGTCTAACTCAATGTATGTGAGGGGTGATCACGCAAATACATGTACACACAACCAGCAATAACTCAAGAACCATGTGATGTAGGTATGGGTAAACCATATGTTTTCAAAATCTGTATGCCTGAACGCGTCCAGAAAATTCAAATATGACTAGGTCCAGGCAAGGATAGGGCCCATGGTAGCCCTTCAAGGTGAGAGAAAATACAATTGCGAATGAAATACACGAATATCACAGCACGAAGGGCATACCAAGTTCGTGATGGAGCTGAAGTCGCACGATAAACAATCAGGTAAGGGCTACGTCTTTACAAGAAAGGTAGGCTCTCTACAATACCACCATTGAACACCAACACCTCGCCATGGGCGATACGCCAGCAGCAGCAATTCCCATTCCACGATATCGCAGTTTCGGTTTGTTCATCTCAGCGCTGCTCGCGTCAGATTCACTCTCGCTCAGATGAGTACTCAGGCGCGAGCTTACGCATGCCGTGATTCTCACGGCCAGGCGAATCAGCTGATCGCACCTGACGAGTCCTTGTGACAGTCGCTGTTGCCGTGTCGGCAGCAAGAAGGCTTCCTCTCTGTTTGGAGAATTTTGTTTCTTCATTCGTGGACGATATATTTTTGAACTAGCAGGACTCAACGGAGCTCTTTTTCTCAACACACTACACTGCAAAACCTCCCGGGAGATCCAGCCTGGACTGGTGAAGTTACTGCTCTTAGAACGCTTGTCAAACACGGCCCCAAGAGATGCACTCGCATTCTTGAAATGCGCGCATGGCGGATTGTCGTCTTTTCCAATTTCAACAAACTTCAGTCGATCGATACGGCAAAAATTTGTATGGTAAGCATGGTTGTTTTGTACATCGTCAGAAAGCCTTGGACATCAGCTACGCGTAGAGCGCCATTTTAGCTGTCTCCTAGCAACAAGACCCCAAAAAAAATGAGGGCCAAACGTACCGATACTATAGTATCGATTCGCTTATGGTAGACCGGTAAAGGGTTAAGGAGTTAGAATTTCGGCCAGGTTTCCGGCCTTTTCCCATGGTTTACAATTTGCCCAGGAAGCCAGTATCGATTTTTTATCAAAACCCACGATTTATCCCTTCCTTTTTGGCCTTGTGGTTATGAATGCTGTCTGCTGACCATGAAGTTGTGAGTTCAAATCCCAACCTATCCTCAAGTCAAACTTTTTTTCTTCATTGTTTTGGTGATCAAGCTGGTACAAGACAAAGAAGATGGCTGCACCAAACGACTTGTTGTTGTTGTTGGACCTCGCGCTTCCTGCCGAACTGACTGACACTTGACTGGCTCACGCCATGTGAACACACCCACAACACTGCAATGGGGGTGAGTGAATATGGAAGTCATCGTGCTGTAGCTTTTTGAGATTTATTCTAGTATTTCAAGATCGCCAATTTATTTGAATTTAGCAGTCAACGCCGTCTTCTATCAGCGTTCACAAGCGTCTACTTTTCTCAAAATGTCGTCGAAGTCACACGGATAGCTTTGCCAAGTCATGGCCTTGGGAATGAGTCCGTGTCGATGTCGTTTTCGTCACACGGTGAGTAAATTGCATCGCAGCTCAAAGAAACTATTTTGGTCACAAAACAAATTGGAACCCATGCCGCTCGTCAACATTTACAACACTTTCGTTTCGACATGTCCTCTCTGACTCCATTATCGATACGAGGAAGAACTCGTTTGTTGTAAACCAGACGACAGACGTACATGACTGTATCAGCGTGAGTGAGTTGTCATTTTTCATGCTTTCGCGCGGAATATTTCTTCGATTTCACAGTGAGTTTTTCCAGGCAGCGCTCGAGTGCTCATACGGTAAGACGCCAAACTCCGCGGGCGATCCCCAGGATTGCAAATCTTTTTGAAACGGACTGTACACACTCTTCTCTGCCATCAGTAGCTAACCCAGGACAGTAGCTAACCCAGGACAGTAGCTAACCCAGGACACACACACACAAAAATCCATGGCTCGTGATACACTCAGTTGGACTGAGCTTTGCAGGACACAACCCTTGCGCCCAAAATAAATTCTAACGTTGCCACAGTTGTATCAAGAAAACCTCAACGCAGCATACCCTGTAAAGAATCGCACGCCTAACGAACCCTAAAGGCTGGCTTAAATCGCGACGAGCAACAGTGAAACATGTGTTCGACTGTGTGCCCTGAAAGGGTTCTGTTTAAACAGGTCGAGGTAGATGAATGCACTTCGCTGTACACAAACTGCATTGCACACTGCCGAGCTGTTCGTGTCTCGAGTGCATGCATATGGGTGATCACACCATGAAACATGACGGACTTCTGAAAACACGTCATGACAGCTACCCATCAGCAGCTGCACACTCTGGGAAGGTATGTATTCTTAGCAGTAAGTTACCTCACGATCCTGAGTCACTTTCTTCAACGAATCAATCATCTCCTCCTGTAACTTAGTGAATACGTCATCCTCGATTCCAAGTGCCGACAGCAGTGTGATGAACTGCCGATTCAAGTAGCCCGGCATTCTCTCAGCTGCACGAATAACCTACAGACAGCATACAACAGACATGACAAGTTAAAGAAAACTGTAGACTTTGCACAAGCCGACTGAAAATCCATTGCTGTACAAAATTACTTTTAAAAGCTCGGCCAAGGTTTGCAATTGTAACGTGTACACTGGAGCTTGGTGTGTGTCTGTACAATCGCCAAACACCAGTCAACGGAGAATGGCAGAACGCAATACTAGTCGCGCTCGGTGAAGTCCGACCTCAAGTGCATATTTGTCGCCCTCAACATACACTGCCCTTGACACCCTGGAAGTGGTACAAGTACCTAGAGTACATAAGCTCCCAGGGACCTTACCCGTATGTACTCTTGGTGTTAAAAATACAGCTGGACATACACATGTACAGATACAGTGATGTGATCGCAACTGGTCCAGAAGGGACATCGGAACCGGTGCGGCAGGTTCGGCCAAAGCCACATCAATAATTTATCTCGTGATTTTTGAAGCAATGAAATATGGCCTGTTTGAGCCCAATTTTCCTAAAAATTTCCCGCAGAACCCCCCCCCCCCCCCCCCACACACACACCTTTCCATAGTCGCACCAATGTAGAATATGCTCCAAAGTCCCTGCCCATGGTGCTCATATCACCCTTTGAGTTTGATTTCATAGAGCGCTTCCGCAGTTACAATGATGACAATTACTCATAGCATTGTTCAAACCAGGGTTGTTCCCTATATTCTTCAGGAAACCTCCCCGTGACTCGTACTCCCCCAATGCCCCAAACGTGAAATAATGACATTGGCTGAAATTTCAGTGTCACAATTATGTACGTACTGGAATTGTATTCAACCCAGAAAGAATTCACACACATCTCTGGACTCACCTCCAAGTCACCATGGCCACTACTGTCGAACTTCTTCATGCTTCCACGCAGTTCCATCCCTCTGTCACTCTTCATATTCGGATAGACACTCACCACGCCTTTGTAGCCATCATAGCGCATCTGGAAAGCTGATGCAACGCACCTATTCTCCTGCACATAAGAAGAGGAAGGAAGAAATAACCAATTTCCTTTTTGTTTATCTACAACAACAAACTCCTTGCCAGAATATTTCCAGTCGGGATACCGATAGGGTGCTATATGTCCCATACCCAAGTTTGAAAAACACCCCATTTCTTTGGGACAATGGAGAGCCAATAATACTGCTATTTCCCCGTCTACTCCCATACAACGTCTATCTCTCTCTGACGTCACAGAGATGGCTTATTCTGGGCAAGTTTAATAATGATGCCATCTTGATGTCACCAAATTTAGTGAACATTTTAAGCTGTTATAACTCGGGAACGGCTGCTCTGATCAACCTGGGACCTTCGCCATTGGAATCAGTGCATTTTTCGCTACCGGTTGTGAAGCTTCCATTCTATGGGATTTCTTCAGGATCTAGACAACAGCACAATGTAGTGAGATAGTTGTCAGGACTCCAATGTCCTGGACACGTGGACGATACGAAAGCCACAGTCTGAACAACTCTTCGCCAATGACTCTCCCTCCGGTGACAGTTTTGTTCTCCGCAGGCCAGCGTTCCCTGACGAGTGAAGCATGTTTGTTTGTTTGTTTGTTCATTTTTTAGATACACACATTCTGCCTTCTCGTCTAACCATGTAGACTCTCAATAAAAGATGAAGAATGCAAATCCCAGCAGCTATCCTCTTGACGATCAGTTAGACAACAGTGGGACAGGTCCGACAAAATGAAACCGGTGTGTTACCATTCGTGTACCCAAGGCACATGATTCATCCACTTACACAATACAAGAACACTATATGCACTCCATGTGCCTGTTACAAACACTTACTTTTGGCTCATCTGAATCCTTCTTGCCGAATAAAGCCTCGTTCGCATTTCGCGCCAGCTATACACATACACGTACGTACGCACGCACGCACGCACGCACACACACACACACGTGCACGCGCACACACACACACACACACACACACACACACACACATGTGAACGCGTACACACACACACACACAAACACACACACACATGTGCACGCGTACACACACACACACACACACACACGTGCAGAGCTTGTCAGAAGAAACGACAAAACATAGAATGCAGGTGCCAGTGGTATAACCGTACTATGGCCACGCGGAGTTCTGTTTTCCAAGTGGTTAGGCCACACGTTTTTATTTCTATGTTTCTCGTCACCCGCGCGCATACGATTCAGGAGTCTGGAAGAAAAAAAGAAAAAAACTGTGCTGCACGGACTGTGCACGTGGGGACCAGCACACTCATGCACATGCACATGTGGCCTGGCCTGCGCGACACATGATGCAAGGACGGCATTTTTTATTGCTGCACACATGCACATATTGTGACAGAACTCCTACCACCGACTAGTTGCTAACTATGGATGCTATTTTGCAGGTGCATTGGTGGATTTTAGTGTGAACAAAGGTCTACAATAAACTTTTTTTTATTTTTCGGTCATTTTTTATTTTTTTTCCACCTCTCGCATACGTTTTTAGATTTTCAGGTGACGAGAAACATAGAAATAAAAACGTGTGGCCTTAAATCACACTACAAGTACTTTAGTTGCCTTGCTGTGCCATGTAATGAACGGTTACATACATGTAAGTACGTCTTCATCTGCACTTCAACTAATCACGCCTGACTTGGTATTTAGGAGATTGCTCCTTAGCCCTTATGCATGTGTTACTCCTGAGTCACGGACTACTAGAACATGTACAATGCACACTGTGAATAGGTATAGCTATTGTAATACGCACTGCTTGACCTTCATGGCATTGGGACAGGGAGCGTTGTAGGGCTGTAAGATAGTTATACATGTACGTACTATAGTGTTGAAACGAGCGTATCTATAACAAACGAGCGATCAGTTCCACTACCGAGCAAGCTATCGAGCGAGCTAACGAGTTTCATTGATGTGACAAAAAATGCAAATAATCATTTTTTGTAGAAGAGAAAAGGACATATCGATACGAGTTAAGAGTAACTCTCCATCACTGTAACATGATACTATATACAGTCAGAAAGTGCAATAACTAGGCACAAAACTGACAGAGTACTGAAACATTCGACGTCCTGACACCTAGCTTCAACACATCTCCGTAGCGCTAACCGACAGCCTTCCAACTTGGAAGGTTCAAGGTTATAGAAAGACCAAAGAGGGGAAGGCAAGCGCAACGAAAACAAGCAAAAGCTACAGTCCCAACGGAACAAAGAATGTCGATTGTTACTGGACGATGAAGAGACCAGTACGATATTTGACAAAGCGGTCTAACTACAATTCGAAGCAGCAAAGCAGCACACCACCCAACTTGGGTGGGTCATAAATATCAAAGATAAATAAAGAAAGGAAAGCTTTGCGAAAACGAATTGTACAAGCCGAAAGCCAAACTCCTACAGTACTCCTCATGCATGACATTGTGATGGACTAGTTGACTACAAAACAAGTTGTTTCACACGACGTACGTTTCGCCGTATGGTTTGTGACGGCTCATCAGGTGTGCAATTTGAAACTCGGATGATTTTTTGGATATTTTTTCTATTTAATACAGTTCGATTTTTTTTCATCTGGTTCAAATTATCACCGCCGACATTTGGGGTTCCTGCTGCTTCACTTCGGACTGCTGTTTGGTGTCGAGATATTTTTCAGCGCCGTCTTTGAGCAGCCTTTGTAAGAATAGACTGTTTTGCAACGATTGCAAGTAGCCTTGTTCTTCGCTGCATCGCGGGAGAACTTCCAAACGACTGAGCGTAACTTTCACTCGAATGCAGAGTTGACCGAAGCGTGTCCTGCGACAGGTTAGCAGATGCGGAACAAGACATCAGTGGAGTCCACCAAAGCTGAAACGACAACTGAAACAACTCAAGTGTCGTGCAGGTATACAGTCACTGTAACTGCGAGTGATTTTCACTTTGCTCGGGACTGGACTCTCGATCGACCAGAGAGTTGTACAATATTTTACGACTCCCCGATCGAAATGTACTGAAATATGTACGGAGTATGGTGTACGGTGCTCGTTAGTGCAAACGAGCTGGCCGCACAAACGAGCCGAGTTTCTGGCGAGCGAGCTAACGAGTACCCGGTGAGATCGTTTCAACACTAACGTACTATTTGACCTTTATGGCATGGCATGTCAAACGTAGGGCTTAGAGATTGCTCGACAACATAGGCAGAAACTCTCTTTACTTTCTCTCTCTCTCTTCCGCTTCGCCTTTGACAAAAGCTTGCCTTGTGCTCTTCTTTGGTAACTATTCTCTTGGTGTAATTATACATCAGGGTCAATCGTACAATGTGAGTCTTGACGTGAGTGTGTGTGTGTGTGTGTGTGTGTGTGTGTGTGTGTGTGTGTGTGTGTGTGCACGCATGCATGTGTATGTGAATGTGTAGAATGAGTAAGAGCGCGTCCGAGTATGTGGAAATACAAGGATATGCCAGCGGAGAGGTTTCCAAGGTGATTGATGGCCATCACTGCACGGAATAAGTAAATGCAAGAGTACATGAAAACCAGAGTGTGCAGCTCGGATGGGTTGCTGTCACGGCGAAATTCCGTGATTACATCATTTTAGTGATGTAGTGTGTACAACTACAAGCAGGATTCAAGCAGGTGTCTTTCTGCACAACTGCAGCTCAGTTGTACGCACTACGCCATTTCCCGCCTCAGATCTGCACCAAAATGATGTAATCACGGAATTCCGCCGTGACAGACAGCCATAGCAGAGAAGGCCCCAAGCTGCACACTCTGGTTTTCATGTACTCTTGGTAAATGGAATAGTTATAAGTTAGCCATGTTTACCGCGGCCCAGGACCAAACCTGGCGCCAACTGACACAAGCTAACCCAGCTCTACCCTTTGTGGACAGTAGACTGTACAGGCAGAACATTTAGACGGTCAATAATTTCGTCCAACTCAAAAGAAAGGGAATTCGTCCGGTTGAAAATTTAGTCCATGGATCATCAGAGCGCATTGAAAAGCTGGACAAATCAGCATTAGTCCGGCATTTAATTTAGTCTAAATGCTCCTTGGACGAAAAAGACGAAATTAAATTCCAGACGAATATCTCTGCTTATACAGTATACAATTTTCGATCGAAACTTTTCTATTTTTCAATAAATCGTAACTCCGTCATTTCTGGGATCTACGGGAGGAAAGCAGTGGAATGCAGCGGCGTGGCCACCTCACAATTGCACATAGGGGTGTGTACGGGTAGTCGGTACCCGTGCTACCCGTGACGACCTCGTGTAGACGGGTACAGAATAGTACCCGAAAACCCGAAGTCGCAGATGACACCATGTACAGTGCACGCGTACAAATTCATGTAATACTCCGCATGTCTACCCAGTGTGTAAGGGAAGGGGTGCACTGTGATGTTACCATGGAAACATTACCCGATCGGGTACCCGTGCTACCCGGGGAAAACTACCCGAACCCGATACCCGAAGAAAATGCTACCCGACTCAGCACTAATTGCACACTACAGATATCGACCCTGATTAGAAAAAAAACTCTAACTTCAAGAACAGGAAAGGACAAGCTCACTCCTGTTTAGCAGGTGTCAAGATTGTCCTCCAACGTCCCCAGCGAGCGCACACCCCCCCCCCCCCCCCCACCCATAACCCCCATTCGCCTCACGTATCCAGGCACAGCGGAGTGCAGTGACTTACCTCTGCCGATATTCTTCCAACGCCGTCAGAGAATATGTACTTAGTGCCATTGTCGACATCATCAACATCTTGGACATAGTCCTGGATGTTCTCAATCGTGCGAACAGGATACGTGGCACTGAACGACTGGCCGAGCCGTGCAAAGTACTTGGCAGGATTGCGAATCTTAGAAAAATCCCCAAGACCTTGCCGTATGATCTCAGCCGTACATTCTCCATCCGGCGTGGCAGCAAAAAACCATGCTGACTGCTGGCGGAGCTGAAGGCAAGCAACACACGTAGAAACATGTTATTCACAGACGTTTTATTACCAACGAAAACCAATTCAACACGGCATGTAATTCAAGCACGGAATGGCACAAATAAAACATAATGGTACATACATAATACATACGCACACGCACATGAGTGCACATACAGACATACATGTACATGCAGCCAGCTTATACGGCCATAGGCTCAAATGATACGATTGTATGTGACTTGTCTGCCTGTGCCTGCCTGCCTGTGCCTGCCTGCCTGCGCCTGCCTGCCTGTGCCTGCCTGTGCCTGTCTGCCTGCCTGTGCCTGCCTGCCTGCCTGCCTGTGCCTGCCTGTGCCTGCCTGTGCCTGTCTGCCTGTGCCTGTCTGCCTGTGCCTGCCTGCCTGCCTGTGCCTGTCTGCCTGTGCCTGCCTGCCTGCCTGTGCCTGCCTGCCTGTGCCTGCCTGCCTGTCTGTATTACTACATGTATTATCAGCTGATGTTTCAGCCATGCTTTCATTCCAACCAGCCTGCTTCTATTCAAGACGGACTATCTATATGTATGCGTGTAGCCAATGCACACAGGCGGCACACTTACACGTCAATCCACTCTTCAAACGCATGTACACCTTTTTCTACTCAAGTCCCGCTTTGAACCAAGGCAAGATTTTATGCAAGATTTACAGTTTCACACTGTGTTCAAAACCATGGATCACCTGCATGAAAAGGTACACATGTTTAAAATACATGTGCAAGAAAAATTACAAATCCCCTCGGAGCAAAGCTCACACCGAACAAGAGTGTGATGAGATCAGACCGAAGAAGTATTTTGCTTCTGACAGCCCGAACGGCCGCCTTTTTGGACAACGACTGTAAACACGTTTTTCAGTACAAGTGTACATATACATGAAATCTAAGGGGCTTTCTTCGAGCAGACCATGCTAGGATTCCGGCATTGTGCCAACTTGTGCTGCCAGAGCCCAGCACTGCGACCACAATGGGTCACAGCATCATTTCCCTTTGTCAGGTGCTCTGTTGTGCTCAGTAACAAGAGTCCATAGTCAGAGAGTACGCGACTGTGCCTACAGGTCAGTGCGTGGTGGCGCGCTGCTTTCATCGCGAAACTTGCCCGCATCACGCCCTGTAGTCGGCCACCAAAATCGTCAATCTCTTGCGCCAGCACATCTGGCTTTTGCTTGATTTGTCCCGAGTGCACATGCGAACTTTTATCGACTCTTGTCAGTAAGTGTTGCAGACGTACATAGGGGTGCATACAAACTCATAAGTACCAGGACAACAAAATCATGCAAAAAAAAGTTGAAAACCCCCAGCTGGCTACGTCATTTACAATTTCAGTCGTGCTACCAGAAACAGTTTATAGCTAGTGTGGCCTGGTCTGTACTGTTGAAATGCACTCCAGCGAGAAATAGAAATATCTTTCATGTTGGTAGTAGCGCATGTGTGTGTGTTGATCAACACACTGCATACTACTTGTATCTCTATCTGAAACACCTACCTGGCTAGCGGAAAACGCGACCAGCTCATATTGACGCCCGCACGCCTTCAGACCTTCCTTTAAAATCCGCTCAGCACGATCCAAAGCCTGCGCAGAGGTGGGATACCACTGCAGAGATTCGTCGCAGAATCGCACGCGCAAGAAGCGGTCCCTATGTGCCCAGTACTTGCGAACAACCCGGTTGGACAGCTCAAACTGCTCCTTGCCGACTTTTATTCCAGTCGGGGTGACATAGGCACGGCGCATCAGCATGAAGCGCTTGACATCATCCTCTTCACCGATGTCGTTGGCCGGTGTCGCAGGCGAGGTGAGATCAGTACGCATCGGTGGTGGCGGCGCGAAATCATCTTGATCCAGCCAGTGGTAGACAGCACTGTAGTCCGACTTGAAATAGTGCAGCCGCTGGCGCAATGTTCTTGACTGCATGCCATGAGCGTCAGCACTAGCCGCATCAATACAACTCTGCAACATGTCCGAGGTGGCGTACAGGGGAGGGAACTGACCCTCCTCGGGCCTGCTGCTTTCAAACTCCTTTGCTAGTTTGCCTGGCAGCATTTCCAGGCCAGCACACAATGCATGCTGATCAACATTCGCAAACACACCCGGGTACCGGCTCCAGATGCCAGAGAACGTTTCTGGAATGGTCACTGGATGTAAAGCACCCTGGGCGATGAGATGATCAACTTGGTAGGCCGCCTGGAAGCAAAAGCTCCTCAAGCCATCCATGAATGTATCATATGTATCAAGTGCCGTACGAATGGAGTGACACTCATCACGGAGCCCAGTATGAAGGTCAAGGATGCGGATCTTGTGGTGTTTGAGATCATCTAGCAACCTCTCCTCATTGGGGACTTGCAACAGGTAGTGATGGAACATTGGTAGAAGATCGGAGTGGACAGTAGGGAGAATGCCATTCAGATCTGTATCAACAGAACGCTCTCCTCCTTTGTAAATGTGTGGTGCATTGGCAAAGCAAACAATCAGCCCCGGCTTGCTTTTCACTACGCACTTGATGTCGGACAAGCGTTGGTGTATACCAATATTGTAACTCAACTGGATCTGCCACCGTGATCTTCCCAGGGGGACCACCTCAGTGCTCTGAGGTGCATTCCAGAATGACTTGTACGTGGGGCTCTTCCCGTACTGCCCAGAGTCCAATACACCGACACCGATCTTCTTGAGCTGCGGTTCTGCTGGTTCTGCTGGTTCTGCGAAAGGGCTAGGAGAGAGCTGCGGTTCTGCGGGAGGGGTAGCAAAGGTGTCATGCTCATGGAACAGTCTTACGCTGGCTCTAGCCGATGAGGCCCAAGAGAGCCCAGGACCTCCGCTTGCAGCATACTTGCAACGCTTAAGGGCATACAGGGCAAGAAGCATAATTCTGCTTCCATTACAAGCCAATACAAATATTGCTCACATCGTTTAATCTTCTATCTATACTATTTTTATCCAAAGGTGGTTCTGTCTTCCCTGGAGAGAGGCTTGTTTCGCAGGCTTTTGCTGGAAGCGGCTTGGCCACATGCACAGTTATCACTTGTTTCCAACGAAAGTATGCATAAGCATGTTCAGATCAGCTTTTACTTTTAGCAGCTAGTCTTTCCAACATTGTCACTATCAAAAAGTATCATAATGACTTCATGTGAAACTTTTGCTTCGAAGAAAAAAAAAACAGAGAAAAAAAACACGAATTTGCATGATGTTCCGGTAGTTGCGTAACCTGTGAGCTGTACCGTATCGCGTTGCATGCGTGCATGCTGTGTGCGTAAAGCACGATTGTGCACGTGCGCTCGGCGTTTCGCGGGCGCGGGCCCGGGCCGGCGCGCGATATGAATCACGCGATATCGCGATCACGATCACGATCGATCATGCACACACGTGAGCGGCACGTGCTCTGGATCATGGATGGGTCGATCATATCAAGAGTAGAATGAAGAGTGTGCAACTCGCGGATGGGTTGGCCCACGGCGGAATTTTTTGTTGACGTAATCTTTTCGACGACGCACGCGCTGCGAGCCTTTTGGAGAGTTTTCCCTCGTGCACTTGGCCGGGCTAGCTTTACACTACAAGGTCGGTGCCCAGCACGTGCTCTCACACTGCTCTGCGGCAAAGCCGCGTTTCTCTGAAAAAAGGTGACGTAAACAAAAAATTCCGCCGTGGGCGCGGAGTATCTGCAGATTGTGCAGGAGAGATCCGGAGTTGCACACTCTTGTTGGAAAGGCTTTCTGTCTAAAGCCTTTCCATACTGGTGCTCGATGTTTTCAGTTTGGGGACACCAAAATTAGTGTACCGCTAAAGACACGTGGTCGACACGTTGTTGACACTTTGTTGACACTTTGTTGACACGTGACCCAATAACCGGCCTACCAAGGGCCTTTGGGGACCGCTAACAGCAACTGTGGAACAGTGCAGTGCCCTTTTTTGGAGCAACGTACGAGTAGTGCCCGTGAATTATGACCCCGCGACCCCAATCTACGTGGCGATCCGCAATTCGCTACTTCATACTGACTGGCGTCCGGCATCGTCCCGAATTTGGCCGCAATCTGCTCTCGGGACCCTGTAGGGCTCCCTGACCTGCTCCATCTCCGCCATCGTCAATGTACTGCGCATCCACCCAGGCCAGGACTGCACTTACTTACGGGAAGGAGTATTTGCAAGATGGAACCTGGGAACTGGAAGACGACGAAGAAGAAGCGTGGGAATCCGGCAGCAATGGCTGGGATGTAAGTCCAACATTGCTGGTGCTAGAGTTGCCACTGCTTGCTTATAAGGGAATCATGTGTGTTGCCCTTTTTTGCCTTTTCCGACGTCCTCCTCCGACTGTACTCCCAGGACTGAACTTACGGGAAGGAGTGCTTCCAAGATGGGAGACGAAGAAGAAGAAGCCGCTGAATCCGGCGGCAATGGCTGGGATGTACATGTAAGTCCAACAATAAACATTGCTGGTGCTAGAATTGCCACTGCTTGTTTATAAGGGATTCATGTGTGTTGCCCTTTTTTGCCTTCTCCCATGTTCTCTTCCGACTGTACTGGTGAACGCTGTCACATATGTTGCCCTTTCCAGGCAGTAGAAGGGAGGGGCGGAGGGCAGCACATCTATCCTGGCATCCAGGAATGCTGGGTGGAACTGGGCAATCTGACCTTTCCTCTTACAAGTACTCCAATGATGGTATGGATGGGGAGTTCTTGAACGTCCTCAGTCTTGTTAGATTGAACTGTGCAAATCGGCAATCGATGATAGCAGAGGACCAATGCTGATGGCGATGCTCCTTCCTTTTTCTCTGTCACAGGCTGCGTTCTCGAGAAGAAGCGTTATTTCTGCATTCCAAGAAGGACGGCACAATGGTGAGTGGAACTTCGTGGGTGTGCAGCCTTGCTAGTTGAGTTGTAAATCAACCATTCTTCCTGTCTCTGACTTCTTCAATGTCCTCCTCAGTGTCGGACTGTCCGCGTCGCATTGAACTGGTTTGATGAGGCTGCTATTGCACACACAGTGAGGGAACTCCCATACGGGAACTCGGAAGTACTGCTACAGTACAGGTAAGGTGGCCGTTGCTTATGTGCGTGCGCCGTTGTTGTCAACTTTTAAGCCAGATGTTTCACAATGCATTGCACCAAGAGTACATAACCCCGGAGGTCATGTACTCTTGATTGCACTCAGCACCGCTTCTCGGAATATCTTGTCAGGATAGCTGTGGAACGCATCCTCCCCAGTGGAGGAACGGCAAATGTGCTGTTCATTTTAGGCTTGCTTTTATGGTACGTACAAATCCCCATTGAAAAGACATAGTGGAGACGAGAAACTGCAAATAGATGTTGGGAACCGGGAAGACCACCCTTCCTTGCCAAGTTCCCTGAGGGTGTGGAGGGGGGGGGGGGGGAGAGTGGAGGAGGAACATTTAAAGCAGGATTCACAGGAGCATTTTCAGAAATTGCTTGTACATTTGTACCAGTTGTAGCCGACAAACGCATTCTCATTGAGCTTTGACTTGACAAGTTGAGGCACGTCAGCAAGGCGCTGTTGCATCGCTTACGTCTTGTCGTGATTCTGTGAATGGTATTTTGTGCGAGTTTGCATCGCACGCAGAATTGCAGGTCATGCCGCATTGCGCAGCACACTGCCAAATTGCTTCTGTGACTCCCACGTGAATAGGAATTCCAATGGGAATGTAATCCATTGCCAACAGGTGTATTCCCGAGCTGCGCATCATACTGCAAAATTGCTCCTGTGCATGCAAGTGGATTTCATTGCTCTTTTCAGTTTAGGAAATTCTCGATTATGATAATTCTGTGTGTGTGTGTGTGTGTGTGTGTGTGTGTGTGTGTGTGTGTGTGTGTGTGTGTGTGTGTGTACACCAGCCCTGAACATACATGTAGGTGACCCATTTGTGGTGTCTCATAGCCTACCTCACGACCTTATGCTTTCTTTCTGCATCACTTGTATCTTGCAGGTATATCATCCCGTGACGACCACATTGAAGTCTGAATTTGAAGTGTGAAGATGCTTCAGCAACCCCTTCATTTTTTCCATTGCTTTTATTGTGCTGCTACTGTGCATGTGATGACAACGTATGCCGGTGACACGGTCAGATTTTGTCCATGCGTGAACGTACACCTGCATGCTATCGTTGAAAAGGATCTGCCACTTACGATCTTCGGACGAGTATCAGGTCAGCTTGGTTTTGTGTGGGCTGTACCAGATGCTGTTCACTTCTCTATCTGTTGGATATGTGACTTTCTGCAAGTTTCTGGTGTATGGTGGCCACTTCTTTGCTTGTCTTTGTATGACATTACAATCATTCTGCACTCACTACTTCCATGGTGTGGTCTGCAAACTGCAATCCTTACGCAAATATCATCACGGTTTGCAATGTTGTGCTTTGGCTGCCAGCTTACCTTTATTTTGTTTCACAACTGACTTCCTGAAGTATGGTGGCCACTGCTTTGCATGGCATTATACAATGTTCATCAAGAATTTTCCTGTTTGGGCCGTGTGTGTGTGTGTGTCACTGTGTGTGTATGTGTCACTGTGTGTGTATGTGTGTGTGTGTCACTGTGCATGTGCTTGTTTGTCACAATGTGTCTGTGTGCGGGGTAGCGAGGTGGAAAGGGCTGGAATGTATCCGTGTGCTACTGCAATCGCATGGCTACATAGAGTGCATCGCGCGCATGCTCACCATGTTTATCTTCGGAGCTGGGCCGGGGTGGGGGAGGGAACAGAAAAAGAACTGAAATTACCCATATAAAAACCGCTCTGTGAGCGGTTCTGAAAAACCTCTACTGGTGCAGCCCCGTCGTAAAAGTAAGAAATTAGGACTGGTGCATTGTCCTCCCAAATGTGAACTGATCCACCTAAATCGCGATTGACGGGACCCGAACGCACCAGTAGCACGAGGTCGGGAGGGCACAGGATACAGCAATGGACCGGCGCCGATCAAGTTACCATACAACACTTACACAGTACCCCGAAGCCCACCTTTGGCTTTGGCTATGGACCAGCGTCCCCAGCTGCATCCACAGGTAGGAACCTCGTGCTACTGGTGCGTTCGGGTCCCGTCAATCGCGATTTAGGTGGATCAGTTCACATTTGGGAGGACAATGCACCAGTCCTAATTTCTTACTTTTACGACGGGGCTGCACCAGTAGAGGTTTTTCAGAACCGCTCACAGAGCGGTTTTTATATGGGTAATTTATCTACTCTTGGTCATATCAAGACAAGAGTCCATAAATGTTTACCGGTATGCACTCTTGATCTTGGTCATATTTTTTTGTTAGGGCGCGTTCGAATCTCTTTGACTTTTCGAGTCGTTTCGTTTCACACACACACAACCTCATCCGATGGGAGAGGTGGATTACGATTGTTGTTGTAGTTCCGAAGAGTTTGGAATAGCTACGTCGAGATGGTCGATCTGATCGGACGTCATTATCGCCATGACAATTCCACTGAAAAATGAATGCATCGCGAGGTCTGTCTCGTTGTCCAGGAGACGACCAATCAGCGTCCAGAAGACTACAACATTATATGGACCGATCGCGGTCATGCGTGCTATTAGTAGAACAAAACGGCGCTTTTAATGACATTTTGCTTACAACTCCCCATCTGGTAGGGCACAGTCACCCAGTTTCGGTGGAAGTGCGCTAGTTCGATCGGGAATAAAGGAGGAAGGGAGCGTCTCAGCTTCCTCCAACCAAGACCATTCGACTCAGCACCCCGAAGACTACAACAGTAGAAAACAAAGTTATCATCTACAATGTACAGTAGAAATCGGTTATAACGTGCCCTTCTGATTTTTCATATTTTATCACTATAACCGGTATATCACTACAGGCGATTTTCAACTGCGCGCGTCATACATACACGTTATACACGTGTGGGTACTCGATCGCGCTAATGTAGCGTACTGATACGTGATGGATGCTACTGCACCTTCTCCAGTCTACACATTGTAGAGTGAAGAACTTCTTGGCCCAAAGGCATCATCCAGGAAGCACCAGACCAGAATACCCTATGACAACACACATGTGGCTCCAAATCGAGACATCAATGCCTCACACTCGTGTGTTGCTATCACTATAGACGATAATTTTTCTGCACAAATAGGTGTTTTGAATGGTCATTCTGTATCCTTATAGCCGATTTATCGCTATATACGATATATTGGTTATAGTGATAATTTGACTGGCTTTTTCTTGTTTTGCTTTTGATATTTTCATTTTGTATCAATATAGCCGGTTTATCACTATGTCCGATGACTTTATAACCGATATCCACTGTACAAGACTTCAACGTATAGAAGTGTGGAAAGAAGAGAAAAGTGCCACTGATGGTTTGAGTCGGGGAGTAGTACAATACTACTCCCTGGTGAGTGCATAGAACGATGAGGACGTCACGTGGCATGAGTCAGCTGACCATGGGCACGATGGGCAGAGAGAAAGAGAAGCGCTGCTCGCACAGCAGTCCAAGGCTGTAAAATAATTCTATTGCGATGCGTGTGTGTGTGTGTGTACGTGTGTGTGTGTGTGTGTGCGCGTGTTTGTGTGTATGACAGCAGAACCAGCTGGTCGTACAAGATACGTCTTACGAGCCAAAGCACTGCACACGGCCATCTGCCAATCCAAACTTAGACACATAAAGAAAATAGAAGTATAAAGTAAAAACGGGAATACTCAAAGGCGAAACAAACAGCCGAGAATGCCGACAAGGTAAACCAGGGAAAGCAAACAGCGCAAGTGAGTGGAAGCAAGTTGGACTATGTACATGGATCATGACAAGGTAGCGCAGAGCAGGAACAAAACGTGCACAGCAGCATAAAATCCCACCCGGTGATAGTTGATGTGATAGAGGTCTTGTAAAATAAGGTGGACATAAGTTATTTTTAAACAGTTCAGAAAGTCAGGGGCTGTACATGTATATTGTGTGGACCTCTCAGATGAAAAGTGCTTGTAATGTAAGGCAGTGATGTGTACAGTACTAAGTACACACACGAGTGTGCGCGGTGAGCGAGTGCGCGCGCACGTGTGTGTGTATGTATGTGTGTGTGCGCGCGCACGTGTGTGTGTGTGTGTGTGTGTGTGTGTGTGTGTGTGTGTGTGTGTGTGTGTGTGTGTGTGTGTGTGTATGGTGATGTAGCCAGGCACGGCTTGTGCTACATTTAGCCTCTAACCTAAGTCTGAACTCTGAAGCGAAACCAGACCCGTGCTTGGTTTTAGACTCAGGGCCAAGACATAAGCGAAACAGCACACTGCACTCACGTTGACGGCAGCACGCGGAGAGCAAAACACAGGGAGTCGTCGCAAACACTGCAGCTAGGAATCTAAGGACGTAACGGCGACACACACACACACACACACACACAACCGATGATCAATTCCTCAATTATGTTTAACCGTGAGGCCGATGACGAGTCCAATGAGACCAAGTACAATAACCAGCAGGATCAAGCAGATGCACTTCTTCTTCCGTGACTTTTTCTGTATTCGGCAACAAGCAGTAAACAGGAATGGAAAGGGGATGTCGACAACTGGCACAATATGCTCGATATAGCAAATAAAACTAAAACTCAGGAGGTATAACTCTTCTGAAAGAACTACAAGACAACATTGCAATCTCAATCTCAACACGCATTGCCGGGGGCCTCCTTCCCTTTCTCCTCGGGTGCTACAGGTATTGCTTGCGTTCTAGTAATGCCAGATACATGTACTGCATGTAGTCTGAACAGATCATGCACTGGCACTGGCACTGGCAGGCGGTATGTTTGTGGCAGGGATCGGGGAGTCGTAGCATTCAGGGGAGATGATGTGGGATGATAACGTTAGTAAGTTACCAAAACGCGATGTGCGTTTCGACCTAGGATAGGGATGTTGTACATGATGCAGATGACGCTGAGTCCAGTGCCCTGCTGACTACATCGGCGATGCCACTGACTACATCGGCGATGTCACTGACTACATCGGCGATGTCACACGCCAGCAAGTACAAGTACAGTAGTTCTGGCCAGAGAAGTCCAACCTCATGCATACAGTGGCACCGTGTCCGAAACAGTGTGTGTAGTGCTAAGGTTGCGTAGCGCCCGGCTCTATTTTATTCACGAGGCTGGATTTCTCTGGCCAGTACTGTATAAATCAATACTGCTCCAAGCACAACAGGAGTGAGCAGCCTGGGAGCGTTTCAAATTCCACTCGCCTGCGTTGTCTCCCCAGAGGCTCCGGCCCACTGGTCAACAGAATTTTTTCAAGAAACATCACAAGGATAATATCATAGTGATGTTTGTTGAAAACAGTCTGTTGACCAGTGGGCCGTGTTGTTTTTTTAGCGCTTTCCCAAATACACAACCTGGGATTGGGAAAGCGCTCTAAAAGAACATGCATGTCAGGAACGTCGGACACGGTACGATCACTACGGTATTGACTGTACCACTTTTTGCCCCAAGTACCCCGTGAACCAATAAAATATACTGATCTGGACTCTAAATTTCCAACATTTTCGGCTCAGCCACCCCTCCCCCCCCCCCCTCCCCATGAGTAACTTGTACTTCACATGGCTGACCGTACCACACTAAAATACCTTTCGATGCCCCGCATGTAAACTAAGAGAACAATACTCGAACAGCGAAAACTGTTGAGACCGCATACCTGGCTGTGCAATGCTTGCCGCAATTGATCATTAGCATTCTCCACGTCAACAGCAGCATGCTCAACATTGCCTTCGATTGTGTCTAGGAGCAGCAACAACAACAACAACAACAACAACAACAACAACAACAACAACAACAACAACAACAACAACAACAACAACAACAACAACAACAACAACAACAACAACAACAACAATAGCACCGGCAGCACACAAAGTTTAAAATATAACTAAAATGAAGAAAAAGGGGTCTACAGCATTGGGTAAATAAAAAAGGCTGGATGTCAGCATGTCACACACTGACAATGCAGCCATTCTTCTACTTGCACTACAGCGGTACTCGGATAAGACGTACCCCCCCCCCCCCCACACACACACACACAGGGAAGAGAAACGTGTGTTCAGTGTCCGAGGTACTTCGTACTTCCGAACACACTTCAATGTGGAGCAATACACCTGTGTCCTGAACAATAACTGCACCAAGCAAGTGTATATCTTATCAGAGTATTTCTCTGTGCTGCGCTGATGAGTCCACAAACGACGAAACAGTTCTGTCCGCAGATTGAGTATTTCGCTCCTGCTCTTGTAGCAGTTGAGCACTCTCGTGTGGAGTAGTGCCTTTGCTGTTTGCGTTATGCAGCGCTCACTCACTTGTCAGTTTGAGCACTCTGGCAAGGTACGTTCGGGCCTGGTTTAAATCTGGCTTTGGAAATTTATTTTTCATTGCTATCAGGTTCGGCCTCATTTTCTCTGTGCTGCGCTGGTGAGTCCACAAAGGATGAAACAGTTCTGTCCGCAGATTGAGTCTTATCAGAGTACATACTTCAATCGTAGGTGATTCGCATAGCAAAAGAAACATCCCGGCAACGGCTCGAGTAAGATGAAGCACTCAAGGAGATCAGAGTAGGAAGGTCAGACAAGAGAAAGTGAAAATATCCAATGCCAGCAAAGCAGCACTCAGAGTACACTAGCCAGCATGAGTAGGTGACGTTACACCCACATGCACGCCAACATTCCCTCTTTCACATGCAAACACACACACACGTACAAACAAACACACACACACACACACGTGCACACACGCAGTGGTCCAGCAATCTTACCTATCACCTCGCCTTGCTCATGCACCATCGCCCCGAGGTCTCGAAAGATCTCATTCACGTCGAGAATGTCATTCTAATCGATGCACATAGCACACAGCAAACCAATAAACACAGGCACACTGGTACACAAGATGTGGCCAAAGCTGGTGGGTACCTTGATACAGCACGGACAAAGTCAACAAGATGAGTTGAAATTGAAAGAAAAACAATCCTGCCAACTGAAGCAGATTTTGAACAGTCAGACGCTGGTTCAGTTAGTGGGCTCGATCGCATAACTTGTGCCCACATTTTTCCATGTTACAATTGTTTCCTTGGCTCACCATCTGAGTTCTTAAAAACAATCCTGGTGTGAACATATCTAGAGAGCTGCCAGCCGCCCTCTTTCTCCTTAACTTTTGCAAAGAATCTGCCATCAGCACCAGCTGCAATGACAACAGCATGCTACACTTGCTGGCCTGTGTCTATTGTTCAGAGCAAGCATGGCAAGGAAATGGGAGCCCACCTCGAGTTGCCGCAATGCATCGGCACGTTCCTCTATCGCCTGGACATCAACCTCCTCCTGCTGGTGGACTACGTAGCCGCGACTGCAAACATGGTTACAACACACAGCAGAAAGACCCAATCAACATACAAACCGAATTTACAAAAAAAGCTATGCTTTGAGCTCTAGGTCAGAAGCCAAGAGAGCCATATTTGTTACAGAACGCAGGCATCTGAAGCATCCCTTCAACCAAACAAAGCAAGACACTAGCCTAGACCGAGGCTGTAACTCAGTAGATAGCTAGCAAGACGCACCAACACTCAGATTGAATGTATCTAACGACCAAAACTGCGTGCACGAAAGCTGGCTTCACTCCTGTAGAAGCCAATGGTAGGGCTAGCTGTCTATTCAAATCAGGTATCTATCCAAAGCAAGTGATTCAGTGCATGTCAGCACAAAAACTTTTCGTGCCAAATGTCCATTTTGAAAACCAGGTGTGCATTCAAAACAGGCTTCTACATGAGACAGGCTTTCACAAGACACTACTACTACAGTATGAAAGCATAGTGCTTTCTATTCTTAAAATCTTACCACCCCCCCCCTCCGCCCAAGCAAACACACACACATACACACACCAGCAAGGAAACAGATATCTAATGTTTCCTTGAGAGTCACGACCAAGACTATGCTTACCCCCTGCCACCTAGTAACCGGTCATCTTCATCATCATCTCCAAGTGACTAGTAACAACAAGGCACAAGCACACACACCAACAACACAGCAAGGTTACAGCAGTCAGTATTTACTTTTTCAGAAAATTTACAAGTACCAGTTTGACACCTTTTTCGCAATGCTAGGGGTGTCCAGAATGAGAAAATCAATATGCCAGGGTATATATTCGGGCACTTTGGAGGGGTGATGGCCCCTCAAAGTAGCCCAAACGAGGCGTTCTCTAAGAAAGAGAAAGGTTTGCATTGATAACAATAAAATGCTTCCAGCCTTCATCTGTTGCTTCACGTAATCATATCGGTAATTCCCATGGTATCATAACATGTCCGGGTAGATTTATCAGCAAAAATACACTGGTTGAAAGTACAGGCTTCTGTGTGAGAAGACGAAACTGGTATTCCGAACCCCGATTCGATATGGTGCCAAAATGCTTTGAAATTTAAATTTTGAAAAAATTGGTCCGAAAATAATTGAGTTTTTGTTGCTACAGTATTCGCATTGCACTACTAAAGTCAGTAGCATCATGTCATGTCAAAATGATGTTAGGTAATTGATTCCAGTGTATTTGCCTCAACAGTGTGTGAATATAGTGGTCCTGAATTCCAGAAAAATAATTGAAATGTACTTATAACGGAGGTTTGCACGTGGCAAACCGTAGTTAACATTCACGAAACCAACAAGCCAAAGGCGCCATAATGGCAACCAGTAAATGAACGGAACTGGTTCAGATGTGCAGCGCTATGGGAATGGGTGTGTCCACCCGAATTCCTTTCATAGATGAAGCTGAAGGAAGCCCCAGCCCTTCTTTAGAATAAGAAATAGAATAAAATCAAATGTAGTGTGACAACCAAGGCTTCCTTTCCGGCGAAAGTGCTGCAACTGAGTTTGTCTTTGCTGACCATCAATTTGTTTTTGCCCATCAACTTGTTTTCCAGTTGTTTTCCTCTAGCCTCCTCAGTTTGCCGAGGAGCATAGTCAGCTTTTCCACAGTTGTATTCCTCTGAACGAATTCGCAATTTCAGGATGGCCTTCTCTCCTGATCAGCAGCGGTCGGTCTTTTGCCGAAATGATTTCGGTTTCGGTCACGTTGGCGTTGTCGGCCCACTCCGCGACTCGAAGACCTGATCGGGGAGCGTCTGGTGGGCCATCAGACCAAGCCGGTATGTATCTGAATTCTGTTCATGCTGTTATGCCGGCGAGTTTAGATTCGGCCCCCACACTCCCTGCATGCGTATGTCATGTTAGTCACGAAGCCATAGCAAAAATTTGCAGAGTCGGATTTTTTGATCTGGCGCTCCTGCTTCCCGTCAAGTATGAGAGGCCCTCTGACGATCAGCCTCTTTCCAAGAGGGTCAAGGTAGCAGAGGAGGGCGATTGCCTGTTGATCTCTGCCTCTCAAGCCTCCAAGAGGCGAATTGACTCCTTAGCTTCGTGGCTCGAAGCATGGTCTATCTTTACCATCATAGCCACTTCAAATGACCCGACCTGCGCTGCTAGCCTGGCAGAACATCAGCTACAGGTTGTGCAAGCCGCAGCAAAGTACCGCCTGGCTGCGGTACTTGAGTACGATATCCGGGTTCGGCAATCAGTGGCTCGTGCACGCACCCCGCTTTCATCGCTTGACACGGCGCTCTACACAGAGTGTTACACGGGCCAGGCACTGCCCACGTGTTCCAAGTGCCGGAAGGTGGGCTGCCTGGCCAACAATTGTCTTTTTTCGTGGCCCTGACATCCGGACGCTCCCTGCTACCTCCGGCTCGGGCACAACAGGTGGAGGAAGTGTTCACACGCCCAGACAGTTCACCATCTGCCGCAAGTTCAACGCAGGCAACTGCTCTTTTAACCAATGCCGCTTCAAGCACTGCTGTTCCTTCTTCTGCCCCCCAAAGGTGGCCGGGCACCGGGTTGCCCAGGGTGACCGCGGCCCAAGACACTATTCTCTTGTTCCCTGATCGTTGCTTTGGAACAGTATCACTTTGCTCTCAGATGTTTCAAAATTTGATTCGAATGATTAATAAATCTCGCCGATTGTGATCCGTCGTTGTGTGGAGTGAATGTTGAATCATAATTAGATTTTAGTACAAGCCTGCATCATAGAAACAAATGAACAGTGAACTCCCGAATGTAAAAGTAGGTTTTTCTCTTATTTCGGGACATAAATGCGAACGTATGGGTGTGGCTTTCACAGACCCCAAACACAGGGAAAGATTCATTCCACACTATCCACATTTTGGGAATAACAGCTTGCCCTCCTGATGCTTCAACCCTGAAAATTTGAACAAAATCGGACCGAAAGTGGCTTTTGACCTCTGGTATTTTTCGCGATATACACTGCAGTCTTGATAGAGCCACATCACCAGGCAAAGTGGACCAGTACACATTCAGTGAGCAATCATGCAATCAAATTTTTTTAAATCACGGTTCACGTGGCACTTAGACCGAGTTTTCCACATCCGTAGGAACGCCATAACCCTCAAGAATCAAGGCGCAGATGCAGCTCCTAAGGCAGTGGGAGGTGAGTAGATCATACCCACCACCATAGTGGTCAAAGACCGCAAATCCCATTCACTGCATCCATGTTTCGTTCTCTTCAGCATGGTGACGCTGAAGTGTATGCTGGACATGACTTGACACGAAGCCAGCAAGCCTCGCTCCACCAGGCCCTACCCCTGTACAAAACGTCTGCGGGAGGAGTCCGAACGGTGCTCCTTGCCGCAGGGTATAATTTTGAACGCGGAAGGTAACCCTATCCCATCAGACCAGATCTCTACCCAGCTGGGCGAATAGGCTCTTCCCGGAATCCCTCGCACACATACACGCACACACACACACACACACACACACACACACACACACACACACACACACACGCACAGTGCGAGCACACCTACCCCGGAAATGCTGGCAGCACGCATCCGCTCGACCGTCTCTTTCTCCTTCTTAGCACATGTCTATTCAGGAGCAAAACAAATTTAAACAATACATCATGACGTCACAGGGCAAACTAAAAAATTACAAATATTATTACAAATACTGCTAACTGCTACAACATTCAAATCAGAACCTTTACTTAGAGTAATACCTTAGTAAATAGAAAGTTGGAAATAAGACACCGTAGATGTTATCTGCATGTTCTTCCATGAATAGTAGTACACAGGGTATTACCTCACTGCATGCCTAGGGACGACGGGTCAAGTACAACTCTTTGTATACATACAGTTTTCCGCCGTGTTCAACGCCACCCAGATCACAGGCCGACCTGATCACAGTCCGACCTGATCACAGCCTTAACAGACTTCACAGATACTGGGAAACATGTAATTTTCGGTGTAACTTTGATTTCGGTGATTTCGGTAGAGAAACCCGGCACCTAAATTTAAATTACACCTAAAAGGCACTAGAGTACGCACTGTATGTGAAGGGAATGCTGGTCACCTAATTCTACATTCCACCTGAAACCTGGCAGGTCTCTGGCACCGAAACTTTAATGCACCTAAAATTACATGTTTTACAGTACCAGCAGCTGAGTGTAACGTAGTGTGCATGCTTGAACTCTGCATGCTCCATGCACCTGCGGTGTACCCCCCCCCCCGCAAGTCACACTGCACAACTAGTAGTATGTAGCAGAGTTAGACCATGCATGCATTGCAGACCAGTCAACGCAGAGAGAAAGCTGAAACCCACCTGCTCCACCGTGTGGAAACTTGAGATGGCAGATTTGAAGCTGGACTTGAGCTTTTCTTGCTGCATACGCCGTTGAGCCTGCACACAACAGAAGGTGAAGCAAATCATATCAGCATCCGCAAGGCTGTGTGCTCTTTGAGACGATGAAAACCCCTTTTTGCACACTTGCAGTGCCACACAGCTGCGTTGTCCGAAAGGCGTGTGCATGTGCCAGCTCGATGTACTCACATTGCAAAAACCCAGCACACGCTTGTACACTACCAAAGAGACCCGTAGAATCGGTGCTGCACTCGAGCATGAAAATCAGGGGTCGGATTTCAGTGGCCACCATTGTAGATGGCGCAGCTGCATACCTGCCACCACAGCCAGGCATTGCTCCCTGCCACCACAGCCAGGCATTGCTCCCTGCCACCACAGCCAGGCATTGCTCCCTGCCACCACAGCCAGGCATTGCTCCCTGCCACCACAGCCAGGCATTGCTCCCTGCCACCACAGCCAGGCATTGCTCCACCAGTACATCAGTAGATGTACAGAACACACGACCGTATCCGTTACATAATGCCATCATATTCACGACTCGTACGAGTCGCATTCGTAAATTTTCACACACGGGTCACTGGCACAAAGCTCAATAAGCTAAACTTCAGCCTGATGAATACAGGATAAGCTTGCAACATATTTGCAGGACACAGAAACAAACCTTTTCCTGATCAGATCCACCGTCTAGGTAACTGAGCTGCTGAATATTGCTGTTTGTCTCCCGGACAAGACCAGCCGTCGTCTTCTGAAGAGAAGACCTGGACCAGGACACAAAAGTGAATTTCCATGAAAAGAATGCAGGTCCAGAAACTGAACAGAACGGAAATGGAAGTGGTGGAACCAGGCACGGTAGCTTTTCCTCCAGCAAGCACCTGGCTGCTTGTGCAAGCTGATACGAAATATTCCACTTGGCGGCAACAATCTGCAGTAGTTCTGGCAAATCCAAATCTTGCCTGGCCTTTCTGAAATGCATTCCAACAGCTCACAGCACGCAAGCTGTTCACATTGTTCATTGGCACCTCTTCGCGCACTCCTTGGGCTGGGAGCTTTGCATCAACCCGCACCAACTGAATGCTTTCCATTCACATCACATCACAGCATTATAAATTGTGTTAGGCAATAAAAGGGTTCGCGCCACCTATCAATGATATTGAGAACATGCAGCGTGGCACCTGATGAAGTCACGCGTACCAGATTAGCAATGCTTACATAGTATCACGCAGGCGAGAATTGTCGGACCTCGTTCCTAGCTGATTCAGATAGCGCTTTAGCTCATTGGCTGCATACGACACAAAACAGAAAAAATGCACAACGAACTCAGGTGTATCATGTCTCAAACCAAAGATGAGACAAGTCAGTGTTGAAGTCATCACATCAAGGTTGCATGATTACTTCAAATACCAAATCAATTAGCACGCGCACACACACACACACACACACACACACACACACACACACACATTCATGCACGGGGCACACACGCACACGCACACAGATACACACACACATGCACGCGCACGCGCGTACACACACACACACACACACACTACACAGAAGCTTACCATTACTGTTGATTTTCGTGATATTCGTACTAATGCGATCGCTGAGACGAATATATTCCGAGTCTCCATCTCGACCTGCAAAGCATATCAAAGTCAAGCAAAGGCAGAATGCTTAATAACATCACCTAAAGAACGTGCCTGCTTGCTCAGTACGGCTTACGAAACAACTTCAAACAAGGACACTGGATAACTAAATTGCCTTGGTCAACTGGCTTGCATGTGATCGTCCTGCCAACTAGGAGGCCCTGCTTCTTGGTCAACTGGCTTGCATGTGATCGTCCTGCCAACTAGGAGGCCCTGCTTGAGCATTTAGGAGCTGCTGCATCTGCACCGCCTTGATCCTGAGTTTCTGAGTTTCCCTACGAAGGCGGGAAACTCAGTACAACCGAGTCTCATGTCAACCGTAACATCTTTTAATCCAGGGATGAATTTATCCTGTATCGCATCGCAAACTGCGATGCGATAAATCGATCTACTGCTACTCAAAAGTCACCGTGACTTGCAGAAAACAGCGATACAGACTATCCTGCGCTGTCTAGCAGCATGCATACAGTGCAGTGTATGTGGTGCAGGCACTCTCAATCAGCGTGCGCATGTATGATTCAGTCGTTTTTTTTTGCAAATGGGTTTTCAGGCATCACTCTCAAGAAGGACAATGTGGTAAATACCCAAACTTCGAAGAAAAATTCAAATCAAAATTGTGATTTTGTATAGCAGAAACTGCTATGCAAAAATGTGACAATAAATTCATCCCTGTAATTATTTTTTTATTGAGCATGTGGTGCTGATGGTCACAAGGGAACCATGCGCAACGCAACACAATACATCACATCCCTGGGCATCAACATGGCAACGGCTTCAAACACTATGGCTCTGGGACGAAAGCTGGACGGCAGCATACATGTAGTCTTCTGCAAACTCATCAGATTTCTTAGCATGGCATTCGATCAGGGCCACTGCACATGGGCGTAACCAAGAGCAACAAGTACGCAACCTAGAGTGTGCAACTGAGCATAATTTATGAGATCGAGACAGCAGCCTTAGTCCATTACGTAAGTTAGATGAGTCATGGCAAGCGCAGTCCGAAACTGTTGCAGTGCTGTACTGCATGAACAAGACCTGTAGCATCAGTTTAATCGTGCCTTGATGTCGAAGGTACCTCGAACTTATGCTTTCCAGCAAGCTAGTGAGTTGCAAGCTCTGGTTCATGTTCATGTACTCTACACCTGCATTGCATGTGTTGATTACATCTGTCAGCACTGACAGCAGTCGAGGGACAAACCAGTTATATCAAATACTCACAGTGATCCATGAGTTCAACCAACTAATCATTTTCTTATAATTGTAGGGATTAATCTTCTTGGAGGCAAACAATGTAATGAGACTAATGAATAACACAAGCTTCAGGCTCTTTCCAATAAACATTTCATATTGACCCAAGTACTTTCATTGAATTCTCTTCGGGTGGATACAGAAAAAGAAAATTACTGGTACAGTGCAATACTTTTTAAACAGCGTATAGGTGATATAAGTAGGCAAGCAGTAGGTAGATCAGCGATGAGCATGTGCAAGTGTGTGTGTGTGTGTGTGTGTGTGTGTGTGTGTGTGTGTGTGTGTGTGTGTGTGTGTGTGTGTGTGTGTGTGTGTATGTGTGTGTCCAATTTCACTTCGAGGTACCAGTGCATAGTGTCTGCTTATATCAAAGCAGCGTGCTATCTATACTGCCTTACTGGCTACCCCAGCAAGTGTAGGGTATGCATAGGTGACTGTCTTGGCCGTCCTATTCCGATGTGCTCCATGTGGTGTAGACCAGGTGTGCATTGGTGGTCGATTCACATGGGTTCGCCAGTTGTGTGGATGAGGCAGGTATCTGGAGCTACTCTTAGTCTGTTTCATTCGGATTTTGTCCGCTGTCGTTGCTATAACTTCTAAGAGAAAAATCGTGGGTGCATATCCAGCGCATATGCAGATTTGTGTGCTACTCAGTCTCTTGCGACGGGCGCATACATGGTGTGTGTGTGTGTGTGTGTGTGTGTGTGTGTGTGTGTGTGTGTGTGTGTGTGTGTGTGTGTGTGTGTGTGTGTGTGTGTGTGTGTGTGTGTGTGTATTGCTCTGCATATTCGTGTATTGAGCACTCTATTCGAGCTGCCTCGACTGGCCCTGTTTGTGTTCTGTTTCTGTATTGCTTCACCTCGTATGCTGTGTTTGCTATCGCTAATCTACCTACTGCTGCTTATATCACCTACACTAGCACATTGCTTACAGAGTACTGCACTGTACGGGTTAGTTTCTTTTTCTGCCTGCATCCACCTGAAGAGAATTCAATGATGAAAGTGCTTCACAATCTGCATTCTCAGTGCAGTGGTCAAGCAACCAATGCTAGTCTACAGGGTCAGGTTGCAAACAACTGATGTACAGAGTTTCTTCCTCCCTCTCGAGACCCAATTGCTACAATCAGAATAATCAGGGGTGCACTGCCAGGAGTGTCAATGGTGTCACAGTGAAGCTTACCTCCTGACCGTCCGGAAGACGAGCTTCCAAAGGCACCGAAGTCACCCATCGAAATCTGCTATCAATAGGATGCACCAGGATGACGCGAGAAAATCGTGAGTTGCAGCAGGAGTACAAAGCAGGATCAACACGGCATATAGGATACAGGGGTAAACTTGAAAATATAAGCGTTGTGCATGTGACGGAGCTTACTCACAGAAAAGGAAACAAACTGCTAGCAGATCTTTTCTTTATCTTTCTACATCGACATCATCAACGTCTCGTTCAAATCAAACTCTCTTGTTGAATGTTGTATGTCTGTGACATGACGTAGGTTTCGTGGATGAAGCATGAAAAGTACATAAAATATGTACGCTCAGCTCAGGAAGAACAGCAAAAAGAAAAAAAGAAATGGAAAGAAGCCTCCAGGGAGGATCGAACTCCCGACCCCTGGTTTACAAGACCAGTGCTCTGCCACTGAGCTATAGAGGCGACCTGACGATAGCATCATAATGATGCCTATTTATAGACAATCGTGTAAACCGGTGCACCATCTGGTCTGATCATGCATACATCAGGCTCGGAGTCGGAGCCTTCCAGCTACAGCATGTCATGAATGCACCTTTAGTTTATCTCTATGCGCCGACATGCGGCCCGGATCCGGCGCCGTGGGATGATTGCGGTATCGTACCCGGGTGTCGGAAACCACTCCGGTATGAGGAGCATTGCCATGATGTGGGCGGGAGTTATACACTCTGGGGAGAGGGGAGGGGGGAGGAGGAGGGATCACGTACTCATGTCATACAATGTAAGCCATTCAAGTGTTGTCGGTCAAGTCCACATGAAATCAGAAGATGGCAACACCAGGGAGCCCTACACATACCATGGTATGTGTAGGACTCCCTGGGCAACATAGCACCGTGAGCTAGGGTGCACAATGCCGCCACTCGGAGGATCAGGGAAATGTATAAAACCCTATGTGTACGACTCTCTGGTACATTACCGGCACCAAGAGTACATACATGGTTATGTACTCTTGCCGGCACAGTGAGCTGAGCCAGACCCGGACCGCAGATCATAGTACTGCGCGCTTTCCACAGCCACGCACAGTCACTGAGTGCAACGACATCAATCGGACAGTCACACCAGCATGGCAAATTGAACGATACTGGCATATATGCATGCCAGACAGTACAAGGACTCAAGCTGAACTGCTGCCATAGCAAAGACGCAGCAGTGATCAAGTCCACTAAGGCAACTCAGACCAGTTCACAATTACCTTGCGACTAAAGCCAAGAAATAGTTTTTATTATTTTGTTGGTCGCCTGGCTCGGTACAACCGGCTGAGTTGTGGCTCAGACTGCGGGCCATGACTGGTCGAACCAGGAGTCATGATAATATAGAAACGAGAAATAATCTGTACAAAATCTGATAAAATATGATGTAAAATAAGTACTTTGCCCAAGCCTGAGAAATAATCGGGGAAGGAGGAAACGAAAGTTCAACAAGCAAATTCTCAGCAGTGCACAGCACAGGCTGAGGCGACTCGTATACAGCATGGAGCTCTTGTGCCAGCAAGAGCCTATTCATCTGCATCCCGGCATTGCCATCCATTCCCGGCAGCAATGACCACGTACATAGGTCATACGATGACAAACTACTCGCACAAACTGGGAGGTGTAGGGCCATTGCAGAAAGAAAACTGATTAACGTTCCTGGTGAAAAAATGCTTAGTAATCAGTACTAGCAAGCAGTACTAGCCACACACCTAAATAACTTGATAAACAAGAAATGCTTGTCTTCAAAAACTAAAATTGTAATGTACGGGAGCCCCGAGTCGGACAAACAAGAGTCGACTCGTGCAATTCACAGGCTGACGTGGATACGTTCAGACCTCTAACCGTGAACAGTCATAACAGCACTGGATCTGGCATAATATAGGGTTCTGATCAGATCTGATCGGGGTATTATGTACAATGGAGAGATGGGGGGGGGGGTATGAGTCATGAGTCATGTTTGGGCTACGTGCCCAATCTGTACACTGTCCAGGATAAATTACTAGGTTGCAGAATACGCCGCACCATGGTCTGCCGGTGTATGCTGCTGGGTACACAGGCGCTCAGCCACACGTGGAGGCGGGGCTAGTAGGCATGATCAGTGCCTCAAGTAGAAACACCCAGTGTCAGTCCAAGGGGCAAGGAGCGATGCACTACAGTGCAGGTTCATCAAACACCAACATTAGCCGCACTCGCATGCATAACCGCATAACCAGGCTCATACCAGAACCTCCATCTTGGCGCCATTCCTCTTGCAGAGGGGCGCATCCAAGCGCTGCGGTGATGGCTTGAAGTTCAGCTGCACTTGCTGCTCCTTCACTCGAAACTCAGTCCTGCAACAGCCAACAAATTTGTCACGTTCGAGGTTACTATTAAACTGAAGTTTCACTGTGTTATAACAGTTAGTTATGCAATCCCGGGCAAGTCAAGTTTCCAGTTGAGTTTCGTATGTTACATGCACCAGGATGAGATATCATGCTGTAGGGTAGGCATACCCGCAATGTCGCGTATTAAAGCCGGGCTTATTCCTGTAGAAGCTGATGTCAGGGCTAGGCTTCTATTCACATCAGGCTTCTATTCAAACTAGGTATTTCTATGTGTGTCAACACTAAAACCAGGCTTATGTGCCGACAGTGTATCCTGAAATCAGGCTAGTATTCAATACGAGATAGGCTTTAATACAAGACACTACGGTACTTTGGAATACAGGACTTACTGGTTGCTGATGTTGACAGTGAATGCAGCGCGCTGGATGTCCTGTGCTACCCTCTTCACCTTGGTGACCAGCTCAATAACCCGCGGTGCCTGGAACAGGAAGTCGCCCTTCTTTGCAGCATCACCTTCACTACCCTGGGAGCAAAGGGGCACACACATACTGGACACGGTTACACAATTGAATTTACACGTAGGTATGCATACAGGCAGAAGTTAATAACCCCAATGATGAGCAACTTCATGTACTATCTCTGTCCAGTGCTGCGACAGCGGAGCTTCACATCACATGTTGTGTGACAAGGTTAAATAGGTTACCCTGGAAAACCGGCAGTGCAAAGTTACCACCAGAGTGTACTACCCAATCGTTGGCCAAAGCAGGGTAACGTACAGCCCAGCAAAGCAGGGTTGCGCTTATCCCTGCAAAGCAGCCTGCAAAGCAGGGATAAGCACAACCCTCAGTGCGAAGCAGGTTGCGTACAGCCCTGCAAAGCAGGGTTGCGTACAGCCTTGCAGCTATCATGCACAGAGTGCAGATGGTGTGTGCGGGTTCGGATTTGTCATAGGACGTGAAGCTCTTTCGTTGAAGATCCCAATGACCGGAGTTGCACACTCTCGGGGGTTACATACTCTTGATGACAGTCAGCATACCACAGATAGCATTAAACAACTGCATAATACTTCAGGACCAACTGGCTCATGAAATACAGTTTGTACTGCATATTGCAACAAAGCGTTGTATGAGTGTGACTTGCAGGACTATGGCGGGTCCGGCACCAGGCACGGCGATATCCAGTGTCGGCGTGCAAGCAAGTGTGCATGCATGCATTAAAAAAATTACTAACAAACACAGCCCTACCAAATATCAAGGAGAGTGGAAGTGACAAGACAAACAAAACAAAGGGAAGTAGGGTCGATGCGCTGCATGCATTCAGACTAAGACAACGCTACTCACTGGCTTGATGTGGAAAACAACAATGTTGTCCTTGAGCGTGCTACACGATACGGCTAGCAGGTTGAGCAGGGAGACGCGGTACGTCGACTTCATCGTCTTCGGGTCCAGCACTAAGAACGCTTTGCTGGTAATGGCCAGTACTTTCGGCACGCACTGTGAGGAGAAGGGTTAGAGTACACACACAGAACCCAACAGAGCAGACAGTAGCAGGTCATAAGGCGGGTTATCATCTATAAGGCCAAGTTACCGTTGTCAAGTTGCCAAAAATGTCAGAGTGCTCAACCAACAAAGATGTCGTCTCACTACAGTCCACTGGTCAATGAAACACCTCGACCAATCCAAAGCAACTGGCAGCAGCGGCATGCGGCCAGCACTCGTGCTGAAGAGTGCAGCTAATACAGTCATGTAGCTGTTGGCCAGTCTGCACGCAAACCACTTTACCTAACGTTTATCTAGCGCCGTGTACTTGAACAGTGAGGACTCCAAGACCTAAGGCCGGACAAGCTGCTCACCTAAGCTGCTCATCTAACCACCACTGCTGCCCGCTTCTATACACGTACAACCACACAGAGTGAGTTTTTGTAACCGTGGCGGATACAATGCATAATGCGTGTACTACTACCGTTACCAGGACAAGTTACTGGTACATATACAGTAAGGCCTGGTTTACGCGACCACCCCCCCCCCCACCCCCCCCCCCACCCCCACCCCACCCCCCCCCCACCCCCCCCCCA